CCCTTGGTTTCATTAATGCGATGCATGCGTTCCATGATGTTGTATTGCACTCATTGATCTACCAGTTATGTTGAATGATTTCTCTTTTAATATCAATTACTCACAAATACTTCATATATTTCAATCATACAAACAACTGCTCATTCAATGTGTGACGGGTGTATTATATACCGCTCGCGGTAACCTTGTTAAATTTGTATTTGAACAGATTCTAACTAATATCTTACTGTAAATGTGAAAATTTTCTTGACTCTTTAAACGTAGCCTGGAATTTTTTGCATTGACTGCAATGCTTCAGAAATCTGTGCCTATATACATGTATCTACAATCTGTAAATTTATATTTGCATGTGAATATTTTAGTGTATATTTACTCAATGTAAAAAATATGTGAACATGCATTTCCACACCAGAAAAATTTGCGATTTTACAGTATACCATATCTTTTATACAACTAAACTACTGTATGTATATATAGTACTCAAAGCTGTACAATGTACTGCACATTTCATAATAGGGTAACCATATTTGACTTAAAAAGAACACTGTTTGTCTCGCTGCGATGAAGAGTCGGAAGTGAGACTCGGGTGTTGCTTTTCCTGCAACGGCGGCGGCATCAACATTCAGTTTTTGCGTTTAAATTAGTTTCACTGAAAATATAAGTGCTACACCAACCAAACTTAGGCCATATATGCATCTTAGGTAGTACACCTGAACCCATGCATCAAATGCTGGATGGGGCCTACCTTTTATGGTCCATTGACTTTGTCAGCATCTCTATCAACATTAAGTTTTTGCATTTAAGTTAGTTTCTCTGATATGTGCATTGATGGTCAAAGAGGGGCACAGGCGAGACATATCAATCAGAATGGGTTGTTCTAATAAGGATACCCCATCCAGGAACTTAAAAAATTGCAGAGTTTTCTATTTCAGATTATATCATAATTTCCGGATGTCATGCAGTTGGTTTTGTTAGTTTAGACAACTTTCGCTACCAAAATGGCATTGTACACAAAGACAATGATAACTTTAATTTTAATGTCTCGGATTGTTTGGAAAATCGTTAAATTACGAGGTACAGTAGATTTCGGTTAATATCACTTTTCATTTGTCAGAGAAAAACAAGATATTAACCGGTACGTGACATAAAACAAAAACAGGTTTTTCTGATCATTTCATTTGTATTTTGTTAGAGGAAAAATGTGTTGATATTTACCAATGCCTTATTATGTCATTTACGATATATGGTAGTGTACACGGCTTTAATTGGCTTTACCTTGATGAAATGTTAAATAAGATCATACAACAATTGAAGTTTAACAGGTGATTTAACCTTCCATTGATGTAGCCAGTGATACGTTGTCTACCTTCCATTGTTGTAGCCAGTGATACGTTGTCAGTGGCTTTCACTGATACAACAAAATCTGTACATTAAACACAAAGCAAGTTTTATACTGAGAATTTAAATATGGGGCATGTTTTCTTTTATATTTGCAATAAAGCTTTTTAAATTTTAACATATACTATAAAAGGATAATCCTTAGCCGTTTAGCTGAATGTCTGTACAAAACCAGAGTTTAAGAAACTTCTGGAACCGCGTTTACTAAAAGCCATGATCTCAGTCAGATCATTTCCCATCTATGCATACAATTACGTGAATAGAGATGAAAAGTCTGTGAGTTTTTGACAAAAAGATATTTGTACAGGGACCAGGGATCTCTCCACTGACATGAAATACTGATACACAATCTGTACGTTTCTATAGAGTATTCACTGTGGCATACTTCATGGGAAATATGTCAGCAATAGGCTAATATTGTCACCCGATTAAGGTACTATTGGAATACTTGCATTCCAATCTCATATTTGTCATGGGGCAGCAAACATGTAAATATGACACATAACACTAACAGGTTTAATAATAAGTACATTTTGTGTTGTTTTCCAGTTTCCTAATTAAAATATCATTTCCTATGAGGACTAGTGAGTGAGGAATTACTAGTGGTTTAAATAAGGCAAAAAAAAAAAGTGTCTGTTTAGGGTTCCCGACCGACCCTAGTTTTTTACCCAAAACTTTTTGATGAAAAAAAAAAAAAAAGGTCATCATATGGAGCACACAATTTGCCTCCAAATGAACCTTGTTTATGTAATTATTTGTTTTACATACAATAGTAGGGTCATAATCACATGGCCAAAAATATACACAATTTTTTTTTTTAAATCTGACCTACCTACCCTAGTTTTTTTGCCAATGCAACCCTAAACAGACTATATATATTTTTGGCCTAATTATATCATTGACCATTGGTACCCAACTACTTGACCAGTATACATATTACCCAACTACTTGACCAGTATACATATTACCAATTACTGGACCAGTATACATATCACCCAATTACTTGACCAGTATACATATCACCCAATTACTTGACCAGTATACATATTACCTAATTACTTGACCAGTATACATATCACCCAATTACTTGACAAATATATGTACTAATATGATATAAACCATATTTATTAAACAACAATTATGAAACAAGTTTTTACATCTTAATACTAATCACTCTTGTTAGCCCGGATGTAAGCGCACGGGGGGTCTTACTGTGGGAGGAAACCAGAGTACCCGGAGAAAAACCCACCTGGTCGGGCAGGTGACCCCATACCTTTTCACGTCCGATCGGGGAATCAAACCCCGGCCGCCTTGGTGAAAGGCAAGTGCGCTATGCACTGCCCCACCCTACCACCCAGTATGTATTAACCAATTACTTGACCTGTATACATATTACCCAATAACTTGACCAGTATTGCCCAATAACTTGACCAGTATTACCCAATAACTTGACCAGTATTACCCAATTACTTTACCAGTGTTGCCCAATTACTTGGCCAGTACATGTATTACTGAATGACCTGACCAACAGTACCCAATAACTTGAACAGCAATACCCACTGACTCGGCTTGCATTGCCTGACTTCAGTCACATGTTAGGCATGTCACTGACTCGGCTTGCATTGCCTGACCTCAGTCACATGTTAGACATGTTGCTAAGACATACAACTTCAGACAAATATGTCCGAAGTCTATAAACAAATAGTTTTGTCGTTTTTCACTCTCAGACCTAACCTTGCTCTGATGTCCAACAATTATGTATTGATTACGAGGACTGGGAAGTGACTGGAAGTGAAGCATTACCTGCCATACCGTTTTGTGATATTGATTTAGACCCCCGGCATCCAAAGCCTTGTTATCATGAATTAGCTTCTTGTGGTGATATCATTAAACCACTGCACCAAAATGTCCCAGATGTTTGAATTATTTCTGTATTTGGACATCAGTGTGTTTATAAAAAATGTTTTATTTTTGAGGAAAAGGTAAGAAATTTGTGGTAAATGAATGAATATTTCTTTGTGTAAGTTGACTTTACCAAAGACCAGTTATAATAAGTTAGATATTGTCCTGATAGCTACTGCTTGAGTTCCTTTGTAACCAAGTATGAGATTTAGCACTATCAGACATAGTCATGCATATACATCAAGATATATTAATTGATAAGTATTTACTGAGTTATTCCCCTATATGTATAATCCCCATATTTGTGTCCAGACTTTTTCTAGAGCCAATTTGAGGCCAAAATTTGGCCTCAATTCTAACGAAAAATATTATATCCCAAATTCTCCTTAAAATTTCACTGTGTCTGATTGTTTTACCCGTTAATTCTCAGCTTATGCATTCAGATGACATTGCAACTTTACAAATAAGGATGTATTTGCATTTTAGATGACATTTTGCAAAAACAAATCATTTTTTAGTACAAATCCAAAAATTCCCAATTTGGTTTACTGCGTCACAATTTTCTCAATCGGAGCCCAAACTAGTGGGAAAAAGACATGGGTTCCATCTGATTTCCTTATATGAAACATACTAGGTTATACTTTCATCAGTTGTAATTGGGTTTGTCTATCATGCTTATTGATCAGAGTTACTTCCCTTTGTGTACTGGTTGCATTATGGCTGTTTCTGTGTTCTGATATAATTTCTTTGAACAATTTACAACAACGTATACAAAGTTGTTTATGTAAGCCTAACAGCCACAGTACAAACTTCTCAAGACAACTAACCCTTCAATTTTCTTGTAAATTATTAAGCTTTTACGGCCATCAAATCCTTGACTTTTGTTTAGACTAGATGGGGGAATGCGGTACCCTGGTTGCTTGATTTGGAGAGGGTGAAAAACAAATTTACAGCCAGTATAGTGTTGATTATGTTTGTATTAACAGGAAGGTGCTGAAGGAAATCTCAATAGGGGAGTTACAGCCAGATGAGACAGTGGAAGCTGCGAAGGAGGCACGTGTCTTATCCAAACTCATGCACCCCAGCATCGTCAAGTTTCACGACAGCTTTATTGATGGGGATGTGTTCTGTATCATCACTGAGTATTGTGAGGTAGGTAGGGAAATAAACATACGACACACATAGGATAATACCTGAAGCTTATTGTAATGAACCTGTATCACTACTGACAGGTTATTTCTGTACCATTATTTCTTAAAAATTAGACTTAACTCATTCACCCTGAAGACATATTTGAACTCTGTCAATTCAAAGGTTGGAATAGTCCATTAGGAAATTTCAGGGGTAAATGAGTTAATACTGTAAGTATTGTCATTACAATGTTAATGTTGATGGCTAACAGTGACCTATCATGGCTAACAGTGACCTATCATGGCTAACAGTGACCTATCATGGCTAACAGTGATCTATCATGGCTAAAAGTGACCTATCATGGCTAACAGTGACCTATCATGGCTAACAGTGACCTATCACGGTTAACAGTGACCTATCACGGCTAACAGTGACCTATCACGGCTAACAGTGACCTATCACGGCTAACAGTGACCTATCATGGCTAGTTGATTACCTATGTTGCCGTTGTAGGGAGGAGATTTGGACATGAAGATCAATGATTTAAAGAAGAACAAGAAACTGTTTGATGAGAAAACGGTGCTGGACTGGTTTGTCCAGCTTGTACTTGCCGTCCACTACATGCACACACGCAGGGTATTACACAGAGACCTCAAAACCAGGTAAATATAGGTCACATTGACCTCAAAACTAATCAAATATAGGTCAGAGACCTATAAACCAGGTAAATATATAGGTCACAGAGACCTCAAAACCAGGTTAATATATAGGTCACAGTTACCTCAAAACCAGGTCAATATAGAGGTCACAGTGACCTCAAAACTAGTTAAATATAGGCCATAAAGATGGCAAAACCAGGTCACAATGACTTCAAATCAACGTAAATGTAGGTCACAAAGACCTAAATAACCAGATTAATGTTAATATAATTCAGACCTCAAACCACATCAATATACCCCGTCTCCTGCAAACACACACACAAGAACGCATACACTAGAACACATTGAGGCACTTCCTTAAATGATCTAAGCTGTTAATAGGACGTTAAATAAAATTAAACCAAACCAATCAAACTACAAAACCATGTATATCAGGTAATAAGACCATAAAAGTAGGTCAATCATGGTCTAAGTGATATCAAAGTATCAAATTGAAATTCATAATTCTTTTCCCCCATTTCTTCCAGAAATATTTTCCTTAAGAAAAATATGATTAAAATTGGTGATTTTGGAATATCCCGGATATTGATGGGAACCACAGACCTAGCATCAACCTTCACTGGAACTCCATACTACATGAGTCCTGAGGTTCTCAAACATGAGGGCTACAACTCCAAGTCAGACATATGGTAAGTTCATAGATTTCTCCCAAAATTACGAGTGAAGGACAGAGCTGTCCCTCCCATAAATACGAGTGAAGGACAGAGCTGTCCCTCCCATCAATACGAGTGAAGGACTATAGGCTGTATCCTGTATCAGATGTATACCACTATTTTCAGGTCCATAGGCTGTATACTGTATCAGATGTATACCACTATTTTCAGGTCTATAGGCTGTATCCTGTGTAAGATGTATACCACTATTTTCAGGTCCATAGGCTGTATTCTGTATCGAATGTATTCCACTATTTTCAGGTCTCTAGGCTGTATCCTGTATGAGATGTATACCTCTATTTTCAGGTCTATAGGCTGTATCCTGGATCAGATGTATACCACTATTTTCAGGTCCATAGGCTGTATCCTGTATCAGATGTATAACACTATTTTCAGGTCCATAGGCTGTATTCTGTATCGAATGTATTCCACTATTTTCAGGTCTCTAGGCTGTATCCTGTATGAGATGTATCCCACTATTTTCAGGTCTATAGGCTGGATCCTGTATCAGATGTATGCCACTATTTTCAGGTCTATAGGCTGGATCCTGTATCAGATGTATGCCACTATTTTCAGGTCTATAGGCTGTATCCCGTATCAGATGTATACCACTATTTTCAGGTCTATAAGCTGTATCCTGTATCAGATGTATACCACTAGTTTCAGGTCTATAGGCTGTATCCTGTGTAAGATGTATACCACTATTTTCAGGTCTCTAGGCTGTATCCTGTATGAGATGTATCCCACTATTTTCAGGTCTATAGGCTGTATACTGTATCAGATGTATTCCACTATTTTCAGGTCTATAGGCTGCATCCTGTATCAGATGTATACCACTATTTTCAGGTCTATAGGCTGTATCCTGTATGAGATGTGTACCCTGAGCCATGCATTTGACGGCACCAGTTTGATGGGGGTCATGTATAAAATTGTTGAGGGAGAACTACCCAAACTTCCTGATAGGTTCTCCAAAGATCTTAATCGGATAATGGTGTTGTAAGTATGGAAAAAATGTATTTGTTTGTTATAAAACATATCATGTTCACATTCTAGAGCTATACATAAAATGGAAAATATTTGATCGAAAAATATTTCAAAAATTTGTCGACATATTTTGTCAACCATAATTTTAAGTAGTTTAAGTTCAGTTTGAGTAAATGTATTGCATCTTTTAACATAAACATCTTGTTAAGGTGGATTTCATGATCACATAAGAACACATATCATGAAGTTTCAGACTTTGTTACTTTTCAAAATATTCCAGGAAAATGTCTTTATCATATGAATATAAATATATACGGTTTTCCCTGAACTTGTTATATCTTTGCCTGTTTCCAGAATGTTAAGTAAAGACCCAGCAAAACGACCATCTGGGACTGACTTATTGAAGGAACCTCTTATAGCCAACCATATAGCTGTAAGTACAGATTGTCTCCCCTTTATTACCAACCATATAGCTATAAGTACAGATTATTTCCCCTTTTTTACCAACCACATAGCTGTGGGTACAGATTATCTCCCCTTTATTACCAACCACATAGCTGTCAGTACAGAGTGTCTCCCCTTTATTACCAACCGCTTTTAGCTGTCAGTACAGATTGTCTCCCCTTTATTACCAAACACACAGCTGTTGGTACAGAGTGTCTCCCCTTTATTACCAACCACACATAGCTGTCAGTACAGAGTGTCTCCCCTTTTTTACCAAACACATAGCTGTGGGTACAGATTATCTCCCCTTTATTACCAACCACATATTGCTGTAAGTAAAGATTGTCTCCTTTTTATTACCAAACACACATAGCTGTTGGTACAGAGTGTCTCCCCTTTATTACCAACCACATATAGCAGTCAGTACAGATTGTCTCCCCTTTATTACCAACCACATATAGCAGTCAGTACAGAGTGTCTCCCCTTTATTACCAACCACATATAGCTGTTGGTACAGAGTGTCTCCCCTTTATTACCAACCACATATAGCTGTCAGTACAGATTGTCTCCCCTTTATTACCAACCACATAGCTGTAAGTACAGATTATCTCCCCTTTATTACCAACCACATAGCTGTCAGTACAGAGTGTCTCCCCTTTATTACCAACCACATATAGCAGTCAGTACAGATTGTCTCCCCTTTATTACCAAACACACAGCTGTTGGTACAGAGTGTCTCCCCTTTATTACCAAACACACATAGCTGTTGGTAGAGAGTGTCTCCCCTTTATTATCAAACACATATAGCTGTAAGGCCAAATAAAATTAATTACTTGGTTCTCAGGCCAATTTTATTCAAAAGAGATGCGGCAGGGCGGTATTATTTTTTTCATTTTACATGGCAAAAACGAGATGAGGGCGACTTTTATTTTACTGTGTAGTTTGTAAACCGTTCATTGTGGGCATTACATTGCAATTGTCTTTTTATAGTTGTGTAGAGACCTCTGAAAAACACACATAGCTGTGAGTACAGAGTGTCTCCCCTTTTAATATTACCAACCACATTCTGAGAGTACAGAGGTTGCATTTGTGTTTATCCCATATCAAACAGTTGGACCAGAAATGTTTATTTATGAAATAGGGATGGATCTTGTATTTGATGTTGTTGTCTTGCAAGCCTTGAGAAAGACTTTCATTGCCCGTATTAATAGTAGCATGTCAGGCTTTATCCCTGAAGTATTACGTTTTAATAGACACACTGGTTGGTCCACGTATAGAACAGGCCTGTGGTCTCCCACTTATCACCACCCCAGGTAGATGTCTCCCTCTGGCCACATACAATGTATAAGCTATAGTCACTTAGTGCTTTGCAACTGTTTCAACTATTTGAACCTGTTTGCAGTTCCTCAACATAGAACAAGGTTGATTAACACATAAATATAAATAAGATTAAGTTCTTGAGTGAAAGAAGCACACATGATTCTTAATGATTTATTGTTAGTTATTTGTCACAAAATAACAGAATTAGAAAAAGAGCACTGCTTTAGGTTTGCCAAATTAAATCCAATAGCATTCATTTATCACAAAATACTTCTGTACCATCCTGCTATTTCAACTGTGATTTGCAAAATCAGCTTCAGGCAGATTCATTTTTCATAAAACTTTCCTAACGTTGGGATTTCTTTTCAGGAATAATTTATGAATGCTATTACATGCTGGCGAGAAAAGTTTCCAATTATAATTGCAACTTTCATCAGATTTTGGTAGTGGTATGAGGATAGTTAAGCTTAAAGTTGGCCTTCCTTTATAAAAGGTAAAATAAATCTCAAATAAGAAAAAATCTTTAAAATTTCAAAATTTTCATTGAGAAAGATAATGATGAATATTAAGTTAGGTCAGCCTTCAGAAAATATTTTAAAACATTTATCTTTTGTTCCTTCTTCAGAAAATGTCTAAGGATTACCAAGCTCGTAATCAAGACAATGCCAGCACAGAGGCTGAGGAGATAGCACGATTATTGTAAGTTTGGGTAATTTATGATATTAAATGTATATAAATTACATAAAACCTCCTAATCCTTCTCAAATGTCAGGCCATTCTACATACCCTCTCCATCCTTCTGAAGGGGTAATATAAATTCCTTTTTGAACCCTCAATACAAGTTTTATGCATATTTTATCATAATTCTTAGGGAGATATTTCGTACTTCTTTACCCCTATACATGGGGAAAGCTTATATTCTATCAATTCAATGTCTCTTTTTGAGTGTAAGTCGTGAAATATCCCAATTGTCAACTTTGCTCTGTAGACGTGAGAAATCACACCTGAGTGATCTGCGATTGACTGAGGAGGAGGTCAAGTACAAAAACCTGCCCCCACGAGAGAGGATGAGGTTGAGAAAGATGGCTCAGGCAGACGAGGATGCTCTGAGACTCAAGTAAGATCACAGGGGCCAGTCCCTTTCTACCAAATTTTGACCGTCTGCAAAGGATTATTATATATCTCTTTTAAATGAAAAGATTATTGTATAAGTACTTGCTATTTTCTTTCTGTAACATATTGCCTGTGTAAAAAGCCTCAAGACATAGTCATTACAAATTTTGTGGAACTTTTTAAATTTTAAGGGGAAATAAAGGGGAGATAATCTGTCCGCACAGCTGTGTGGTTGGTAATAAAGGGGAGACAATCTCTAACAGTCATGTGGTTGGTAATAAAGGGGAGATTTTAAGGTATTTAGACTCGGAGAGAATAATGGTACAATGATATTAGTAAAAAGAATATCATTGATGATTTTTTTTTATCACAGGGAGGTCGCCAAAGTACAACTTATAGCAAACCAGGAGAGGAAATCGAAGATAAAGAGTCACCTCAATAAAACAACAGTAAGTATCTGGAGACAATTGATGGCCAGCTTACGTTAAATGAGTTGCCCACGTTTAGTTATAAAAGTTAATTAAATTAATACTGTTCAGTGTGTGGTTGGACAAACAGATAAAATTTCTATAAAAATTAGAACATTATGAAAGCAAATCTTTGAATATCTCTCAGCGAAAAAAAAAATACTAAATGAGAGAATTTCTTGTATTTATCAACTTCCTATGAAATACAAAAAGATAAGATTGTTTATTTATCTAAGTTAATGTTTATTGTGTACATACCGAATCCTCATTTGCCTCTTTCAAAATCTATTGGCAAACACATCTACGATACTTACAAAGTAGATCTAAACATAATGTAAGTTGCTGATCTACTTCTGTCTTAGATACGGTATGTCATATAAATCACTGACTTACTTTTGCATCTTCTCCAGGTTCCAGCCTGGCAGGGAGGTGCAGGGGAGGGGAAAATATTTGAAGGAGCTCCCCGTAGGAATTCCTCCACATCATCGGAGCCAGAGAGTCCTCCCGCAATAACCGTCACTCCAGCTCATTTCAAAACAGCACCAGGTAGGGACAGACAACTCCGAGCGTTCTCTCTTATCTCTCTCTCATTACCTTGTGTTTGTGCTTTGTGTGGTAGTTAAAATATTGAGAGAGAAACATGTTCTTTGTTCTTTCAATTGACTAATTAAGTAGTTTAACAGCTTTAAGCTTGAAGTTATACAATTCTGCCATCAAGTTATATTGAATAATCATATAAACTATCAGAAAAGAAGATATATCTTAAACACTAAGGAAAGAAAGCATATCTAAAAGATAAAGAGAAGAAAGTATATCTACAAGACGAAGAAAAGAAAATATTTCTTAAAGGTAAAAGGAGGAAAGTTTATCTGGAAGACAGAGAAAAAAGTACATCTAGAAGACATAATATTAATTCATATGAAAGAAAAATATATCTGAAAGCTTAGATAATGAAGTTCTGTTAACTTTTTAAAATTTAGAGTTTCTGTATGAAAGAAATTAGAATATTGTTTAATATACACATATATTACTGACCAATCAATATGGAAGGTAATGGCAGTATAAGTAGATTTGTTCACAGCATAGTGTAGACAAGGTGCACCCCATCACATGTTACTAACAGTTTAAGATAGAGAGTACCCTGGTTCTCTATCATTCCCACACAACATTCACCTGTAATTTATATATTCATCATCTTTTTTGTTTCCATTGAATGAACTCGTATCGAAGTTAATGAAAATGGATGACCATTTGTAGGTTGAAGATTTCTATATTTTTGTGGAATTCGTTTAGCCAATCCTTCATGCAAAACAATGATCAGACAAATGTGATTCCGACTTTTTTGACTAGCAGTCTTGTTCCATCAACGCCCACTAAATACTGTTTTAGAAAAACAGATGAATGGGAAATTAACTAGACCTATTAATGACAAAATGATCTGGAAGTTAAGGAAACAAATGTGAACATATTTTTTTTCCTTCGTCGTTTTGCAGTACCTAGATATCTAGCAGATGATGCTGAAGATGAACGGGAAACATTAAAATTCAGACCATCAAAAACAGTAGACCAAGCTCAATTATCGTCAGTCATCTTGGGTCCAGACGAAAGACCTATTACACCTTTACGAGATAAAATGGTTTACGATGTGAAAAATTCATCTTTAGACTTCAGAGATGGTAAGAATCTTTGGTTAAAAATCTAGGTATTAAGTTTGTGAAACACTTCCCTTTAATATTCTGGGGTGGTCATAATCTTTGTTTAAAAAATCAGGTATATAGTTCAGAAATGAAGGCTTTAAGTCTGTATGACAAAATTAAAATATTGGGTAGTTCATGTTTCACTTATTCTTGTAAGAGGTATCAGTCATTTCCTTTGGTTGTGACCTAATAGATAAAGAACCAAGCAAGGTAAATAAAATTTGATTGAACTGTGCCCAAAAATACTTTTGCTTGAACAACAAATTTAATTTGGGAAATTTTTTACACAAGTTATATAGTTCATGTTGAGTTAAACTGACACCGTTATTTGCTTTTCTTTACAGACAACAAACGTAAGATTTACTCATATTTCTTTTCATGAGAAATGAAAAGAAATTCATTTACCAAAAAAGATATATATATATATACATATACATAGTGCATCAATCAATATTGTATGTAGAATCCTTGTAGATAGGTTTATTAGAATTAAAAAATTCCTTTGTATGTGAATTGAGATAGATGGTCAATGTATAATATCATTTTAAAATTTAAAAAATCTGATTGTGTCAAGAAATCGGACTTCCTTGCTCATTTAACATACCCGTTATTTCCACTAAACAGAGTTATGGACCTTTGTTTATTTCCAATATCAACGTTTGTCGGGGATTATGGGTTCACAATTATTCACTCCAATAAGACAAAATCAGTTGCTGACAGTGTTTTGGCGGAAGATATTATTCGACAGATCAAAATGGCAATTTGAAAATAATACATCACATAAAGATGATGTAATGTTTAAGAACATCATTTGACAAGATGTTAAACAGATTTAAACTTTATTTCTACTTACACATTTTGTAGCTAGTATTTAGAAAACAATGTAGTATCCGTGTTTTTACGAGAGAAATCCTCAGCTGATCAAAATGACAATTTGATAATGATATGTCCCATTAAGATGATGTAATGTTTAAGACCATCACTCAACAAGATATTGAATATTTAAAATTTTATTTCCTTTAAAAAAAATTGTAGCTAGTATTTAGAAACAATGTAGTTTCCGAACTAGAGATCAGTGTGTGTGGTCATGCGAGACACAAAATGTCCTACATGGGTGTTCCACATGGGATGTGTGTCTTACATAGGAAGAGGCTGGAGAAAGGATGTATACTTCATCACTTTGAAATGTTTTGTTTTAGTATTTGACTGTTCAACCAATATTTATAGGTTCATTACCAGTGTTGCTCATCATGGCTGGTATACAGTATACCGATACACTTCTCCTTCGGTGTTGCTTACAAAAACTAACCTCACTGCCACCCATAACACATGTGAATGCTTCATTTCGATTCTCTCTGATTTTCAGTGTTTTTTTTAAATTGTTCCCTGTGTTTTCATGACAGATCATTGCTGACTTACATGTCACCCATGACAAAAGTTGGGAAACGATATATTGAGTTTGGACTTGCCCATCAGTGTTTACGTTTAATTTTGCATTAAGCTTAAGTTTCCAAAAATTAAAAAGCTATGAAGCTTGAAATATAGATACAGATCTTGGAATTGATATCATTAAATATATGAACATGATATTTTAACTAATTAATTAGGATTTACATCAGATTTTCAAATTTAGCTACTTGCACTAGATGCTATTCTTTGTTATTGTAAAAAAAAATCAAATTATAAATTGAACATCATTTTGTTTCCTACGTATGTAAATCGATGATTGTACTGACTTCTGAATTGACCAATCAACTCACAGGTATACCAGAGAGCCCAGAGCTTGCTGACACTTATTATAGCCAGTATGAAGACTTTACTCAGAATTCTGACTCGGACTCGAACTCTGAAGACGAAAATCAGTTGACCGTAGTTGAAAAAAATGATAGCACGCTCAAGGCCAAAAACTTGACTGTCAAATCAAAAGGAAGTGACACTGTGATTGGTCATTCTAACGATGAGGATTCCTTCTTCAACTGTCTCCAGGATGTGTTAGAACAGGGCGATGATGCTGGTAGGTATCCATGGTAACATGTCTTCAAGGTGTATCTATAACAATGACTATAATGATAGTCAAACTTTCTCTGGTAAATTCATGAGCTGACTATTTAATAGGACAACATTCACATCAAAGGAATAAATGAGGTTGTTTTTGTGGTTACATGCAAGAAAGATGGGTTTTCTTTGAATTTAATGTAATCAATGTTGCTAAATAATATTTTGAAGTAGATTTAATATTAAACCAGTTTCGTAGGTAATAATTGATGCTAATGAGTCAAGAACATAAGTGAGATGGATTGTTGGCTTGTATGTTTTTAAAGCGAGACATTTTTCAAAATTTGGTTGCAAAATTTATCATTATAAGTTTGAAAATAAAGAAAAGAATCTTTTGTGTAAATAGAGGAATGCATTATGTCTTTTTGTATTGCAGAGTTATCGGCTCTTGTGAGCAGGAATTGATTGTTACGTCATTTGTTTGTGAGAGTAAATTTTTGAGAAAATGACGTTATTTTCTCACACAAACAATGACATAACAATCAATACCTGCTCACAAGAGCAGATAACTCTTCAATACGAAAAGACGGAATTGCATAATTTAAGGAATGCAATTTATTTTTTCCACATTCATGAGGTCATAAAAACATTGACTTTCTGGACATATTCCATGAGTCGGGTTAGCGATTCTTGGTAAATATGGCCAGAAAGCCAATGTTGTTATGACCTCATAAATGTTGAAAAAACAAATTTCATTCCTTATATTTACATTTTTAGCTGACCTGGCCCGAAGGGCCAAGTGAGCTTATCCCATGGTGCAGCGTCCGGCGTCCGGCAACTTTTTCCTTTAAAATACTACTTGTCCTGAATGGCTCAGAGGATTTTGACCAAATTTGGTCAGGAGCATCATTGGCCAAAGGGTTCTCAGTTTTGTATAAACGGAGGGTATAACCCCCTGGGGGCAGAGGGGCGGGGCCAAATAGGGGGAAAATAGGTAAATCTTTAAAAATCTTCTTCTTCTCAACCAATAGAAGGATTTTGACCAAATTTGTCCTAGAGCATCTTTGGACAAAGGAGACTCAAGTTTGTATAAACGGAGGGTGTGGCCTCTTTGGGGGCAGAGGGGCGGGGCCAAATAGGGGAAGTAGAGGATTTTTTCTCTCCTACTATACAAGTGAAGGGATTTAAACCAAATGCAGTCTGAAGCTTGGTCAGGAGCATCATTGGCCAAAGGGTTCTCAGTTTTGTATAAACGGAGGGTATGGTCCCCCTGGGGGCAGAGGGACGGGGCCAAATAGGGGAAAATAGGTAAATCTTTAAAAATCTTCTCCTCAACCAATTGAAGGATTTTGACCAAATTTGTCCTAGAGCATCTTTGGACAAAGGAGACTCAAGTTTGTATAAACGGAGGGTGTGGGCCTTCTGGCGGCATAGGAGCGGGGCCCAATAGGGGAAATAGAGGATTTTTTTTCTCCTACTATACAAGTGAAGGGATTTAAACCAAATGCAGTCTGAAGCATGCTTAGGGAGAAAAGAATCAATTTTGTTTAAACTGAGGTGTGTGGATTCCCCTTCTTTGGGGCAGATTAGTGGGGCCCATTAGGGGAAATAGAGGAAAACATTAAAGATCCTTCTCCTTCTGTACCGTTGAAGGGATTTTAACCTAACCAAACTTGTTTTAGAGAATCTTTGGGCAAAGGGAATTGAATATTTATAAATGGAAGATGCAACTTTGTTACTTGTACTCCTTTGATAAACCTGAATGGTACTCAGCAGGTTTTAAATTGAAAAATAAAATACCAGGTGAGCTATTAAGGCCCCTGGGCCTCTTGTTTTTTCTGATGCAAGCATAACTAAAAAAAAACAGGTATTTTTTCTTTTTATACATGGGGCCAACACAGTAGAGAGAATAGCGTGTTTTCGTGGGAAAATATAAAACTTTCAATGGGGGTCCTAGCAACAGCGAAACAACAAAACAAACAAAATATAGTTCAATTTTGTTAATCTAATTTATAGAATTTCTACAAGTCCTACACTACTATCATATACTTTACCTCAAAATCAAGCCAATAATGTCTAATGTTAACTCATATTAGCATACAAAACTACTACATCGAGGGCTGTTTCACGGTGGACGTGTACCAATTACGCCCTGTGCTAAATCATTGTAGCGTATCAATACGCGATGATGAGATCACCTGTGTTATGCAAAAAATGAATGTCATTTTCATCAATGGGTTGAAGCATACAGAATGTAAATATTTTAATTTTAATAAATTTTAGGGGGGAATTGATTTTACAAATATCTGTATTTCACTCATCATAATTATTATTTCAGAGTCAACAATGACCTTGGCAGATGACATTGAGGCTGGTGCATTTGGCCCGGTAGCCCGGGAACAGAAGATTAAAAACCTTAGATTGTATCCTTACACATTTACTGGAGTACTTTAACTTCCCGAGATTTTACCAAAGTATTTTTTTAAAGTAAATTTTGTTGAATCAAATTTTGTGAATGGATGCTTGAATAAAATTTAGTGTGTTGATGCTAAAGTCAATTTAGTGGCTTAATTTCATTATTAACCAACAAATTTACCAAAATGTATAGAGTCAAAATTCAAATTAACCAATCAATTATTTTCATAAATTGATGTTTTTCTCAAACTTAGAAAAAATTGCTGGTCATAGAAAAGGGTTTCTTTGTGAAGTGAGAATCTATGATTTATTATCGACAGTGCTTCTTGTTGGTTTCTTAACTACATCCTCAGAGAATGTGAGAAGATGCTCGGAAAAGATGCGTTTGAAAAGGCGTACAGTTATCTGAAGGACGCACGATACAACGACAAATCGGCTGAAGAAGACATCATGGCAGGACTGCGACATTTTGTAAAAAATCCCAGTGACTGTTTTCTTGTTGATCAACTGTTATTTTTAGAAGAACAAGCCAAGTTAGCGGCCAAAGCATCCTAAGTCAAAACCATGAATGGCCATAACGTTTCATGATTGCTGATGACTACCGTGAAGAAGCTGTTCATGTATTACAATATTGTGTAACTGCGTACTGCAAATCTCTTTAGTTTTAAGGATATCATTATTTCACTTGTATACTACCTTTGAATCTCTTTGAAAATAGTGCTATTGATATTTCAGCAGTGTTACATACAAAATGTAGAAGTTTCCCAAATTTCTGATCTCAGATCAATAGGAAAGATAATCTGAGAAGGAATAAAGACGTATGTAGCGTACAGGCAGAGATTTGAAATTGTGTATTGAATGCTTGTATGAGTGACGTTATTGTGTGAATTTTCAAGGTCATGAAGTCAATGTTGACGTGGCAACCATTAGTGCACTTGTTATGGTGGGCATTACACTTTCACAGTTTCTGACAATGAATACAATGGATAAGGTTGGTTTGGAGGTAAACAATATAGTTTGAAAGTCCAGAACAGTTCTTTTCCATTAAAAGAACATTGGCTCCAAGGTTGAAGTGAGAACAGTTCTAGATTGACTGCTCAGTTGAAAAAAGTTAATTCAATGCTTGTTTGTATTTCAGTATTGTTTTTTGTAACATATATCATGCAGATATTTGGCGATTAAGAAATGATTAAATACAATGGTATGAGTATTTCTCCTTCTGCTGATTTTTTGTTGATGAATGACTTCCAGTACAGGGTCTTTCCATTTTGTGGAGTCTTAATCATCTGAATGTTTTTATTTGATGCAATAAGCTCAGAATCACTCAAGTGTTTGTTTAGGTATATTAAATTCATGTGCATTTTAAGCATTTTATTGAAGTTGATTGTGAATAAGACACATTTTATATACGTGTATGGAAGTACTATGGTTGTTTGTAAACACTGTGTTGTGTTGTGTTGGATATATGTACAGTGGAACCGTTCTTGTTAGACGAGACACTTCATACTTTTTTTTATAAATTGTAAATATTGGGAAATAAGTATACAAGAATTGGTAATTCAGTATGATTGAGTTCCAAATGTAAGATCTTCAGAGATTTTAGATTTATGGTGTCTTGATGACAATGTTCCTCTGTGTCTTGTTTTATTACGGAGAATTTAGATTTATGGTGTCTTGATGACAACGTTCCTCTGTGTCTTGTTTTATTATGGGGATTTTGTAGGATTAAGTTATTATGTTCACAAATATTTATTTTTCATAAGATGCAAGTAACATTCCTTTTTTATAAGATGCAAGTAACATTCCTTTTTACATGTGTGTTTTAAAAGTGCATACACCTTATTGCAGTCTGTGCATCTATATTCCTTTTCTCTTAAAAAACATGGATATGCAGCTTTCAGCATCCTGGAATTTATATTAATGACATTTCCAAGTGTACTTGCAGCTGTTGTCAATTAACACATAAAGAAGGATTCTTTGTTGTCAGTAAACAAATTAAGAAGGATGCATTATCTACCATCATTTTTGGAATGATTTAAAATTTGGTTTGAAATTTACCAGGAAACATGAAATACACCAAGCAATGTTCATAAACTTAACCAAATCATTCGGTATAACATTGTTACTAAGTATTTTATTCTTTTAAAAAGGAAGAAAAAAACGTTGAGTTCCATCATTCCAACAATCGTAAGTCCAGTTTTCCTGTTACTAAGCTAGTATTTCGTGGTCTGCGCACCACATTTTTATACAGAATTGTCATGGTAACTCACTCAGTGTTCAGACACTCTACTATGGAAAAAGATGGCTGCACTTACCACACTTGACTGGATGATATTCATACTGATTTTGATCTGTCCATTTTAACTCATTCACCCTTGAAATTTCATAATGAACTATTCCAACCTTTGAATTGGAAGAGTTCAAATGAGTCTTCTGGTGACTGGGTTGGTCCTTGTGCAACCCTGCATTCAGATTAAGTCCTTCGATGGTGTACAAAAAATTCCAATAATTCTGCTTATAATGGTTGTCAGTGCCTGTTGATTAAAATATCCTGAATTCATATCAGTACTTGATCAAGATAAAGAGCACCTTGATTACTTCATTTCATGAGAAAATCATATTCATTTTCCTCAAATGCATTAATTGTGCAAAAACCTTTTATTATAGGTAATGATATGTTAATCTAATATTAAAAGGTTTGTGGAGTGTTTTCATGTGTCATTTAATTAATAAAAGCTTAAAAATTAGTAAAACAAATTGTAAAAATTTCATTTATATTTTACATTATCATAATGGATTCATTTCAGATAGTTGAAATTTACATACAGCACACATTAAATTGTTGAGAAATTCACAAAGATTGAATGTGGGCTTGATTTGTTTGCATATTTCCGTGAAATTGACTCATTTATAAGTAATATTCAGTTTTTGTCTATGTAGAGATTTGTACCAACCCTGTTCATGTAAGAAAGATTTCTCAAGTTTTTCACGTGTGTACAATGATTTGTATTTAAAATTATATATCTATATATGTCTTTCATGTTAGCACAATCTTCCTTGTGACTAAGTCATAAAAAAACTGTAGAAAAAGGCCAAAGGAAACTTATCTGTGTTTCTAGTTCCATGAACATGTCTTGATTCTTCCTGTTGACCTCTGAACCAGTTGTAGTTATTTTTTATCACCGGTAGGGAAGCATGATCCAGAGATATTATTTGTTTGTATATGTAAAACAACAACAACTTTTATAAGTTAAATAATATTTTACTTTCATTACTGATACAAATTTGAAATAGACCTAAATCTTAAGATAAACAGATACCTTTTTTTTAAGATCCTTATTAGCTTTCTAAACCTACTTTCATTACAACATTAGATCTGACACAAATTCGTTTTAGAATGAATTGAAACGTATCATTTGAAAAATGATTTTTGCTTTGTACTTATTTTGTAAAATCCAATTTCAAGAAAATATATTTAAAATCAGTAATGTCATTTGTATAGGAAGAAAACTGGTTTGGAAATACATGAAAATGTATTAAGAGATACTAGTAATTTAAAAGTTGAGAAATCGAAACGTTATAGTCAGTTGTTGAGCTACAGGACAAGACACACAAACTGTGTTTGTTTGGTCTTTATGTGGATTAGGTCTGTGTATGAAAGAGTGAATCTTTACTCTGATATACAATGTATTACAAATACAGTGTATAAAGCGGAAATGTAAATAAAAAATATATGAATAAAAATGATTTTTATCACTTTATTTTATATACTGTATAAGTATCTCCATACCACTGCTAAGACTGTAACTATATAATAGTATGCTAGATGATTTTTCAAAGCATGGCTACAGCTTTGATAAATCATCTCTGAAAATGCAACTGATAAAGACTTGGGCCGTATTCATGAAACTGCTCTTATGCTCAAGCATGGATCCTGTGCTCAAACCAGCTTTCTTGTAACTCACTTAATCGTGTCAAACGATCAAAAACTCCATTGTAAACATTGAAATCAGTATTCGGCTTTGAATCTCTTTAAAATATTTTCCAAATCGTTGACAAAATAAGGTTTCATTATTAACTTAAACGCGGTAAAAGAAAATAAGCTTGAGCATTACATTAATACGGCCCTGGGAACTCGAGCACTTGACCTCCGATCATTTTACTGTCGCTTTAACCAGATGAACTAATTGGTTAACGGTAGCGTCCTTGCAAAGTCGCGCTTTAGTTGTATCCAAACATAAAGTCACGGGTTGTTTCGATTCGTACGAAACTAGTGTAATTCTCTTGGGCGTTTTGTCTGCAGTGTGACAGGGGTCCTTATATATGAATCATGACGCTTTACAATACCATCACGTGTTTTACGTACACAATTAAACAAACATTCGTGGTTGGTATTACTGTTACTTCTGTATCCGAGTTATTAACAATGTTCATCTTTTCAGTTCTGGTCACGGTTCATCTGTAACGACGTAAACCGTGAAAATATTTACTCGCAGGGAAAGGTGGAATCACCACTGTGTGTGTGTAACGTTCAGCTTTCATTTATTAGATGAAATATGCCGTAACACCTGGATGCTTTTACGGGTCTTGAATGACAGGTGGGTTACATAATGATAAATAACAAACTTAAAATTGGTTGTGTTTTCATTAGCCTACATCACCGCATTAATGCGCCGTCGCATAGTAACGGAAATGTTGTTCCATTCCTCTATCAACTATTTCAAGAGCGAATTCTTCTAAGTTACAGGGTTGTATCCGGTAGCGTCGAACTCAATTTGCCCATGACATACCAAACATGTTCTATTGGCGACAGTTCCGGGGACTTCGTAGGGCATCTAACATAGTGAAATTGTTTTCTCTTAGAAATGTCCTGCTGGCTTTACTAGTGTGTGGGGTTGCTTTGTCTTGTTGGAAAATGGCACCTGCTCCATGACGCTGCAAGTAGGGGTAACGAAAGATCTTAATATTTCATATCTGTAACGGACCAAGTCAAATTTCAACACAACTTCCCTGGCGTGATTGCAACCAAAACCATGATGCCGCCAACAGCGAAATTGTCACGATGGCGATTGCAACAGTCTGTGATCACCATAATTCAAACAAAAGCGAGTCTTCTGAGAACAGAACGTGATTCATGGATCCAACTTAAGGCAATTATAGGGTCTTTTCAAATTGGCCGACACGCTTGCAAACGATTGGATTTTAAACGATTGCATAAGATTCGGCCACTTACATATATACGGGGACTAGGAAACAACGTTCATTTGGTGACTGCGGCTGAAAGAGACCTGTCCCGTAAATGGCGTAGTCGTACATGACGGTCCTCATGACAGGTGGTGACACGTGGTCTGCCAAGTATGGGCGGTCAGTTGTTGACTCACGTGCTTAAAACGGTACCACAGACGATAGATCGTCATCCCAGAGCAGGCGAATGTCGTACGTGTTTGCAATTGAACTGATCAATTTGGAGCATCCCAATATCTAGCTCTGTCAGATCTTTACATTGATTTGGACTAACTACTTTGACTGTCTACTGATGTACTAACGAGCAACGCTTTTCAGTGTTTAAAAAACCTTTCCAGTACTTGAGCTTCAATGAAAGGAAATGACCCGATCAACATAATACAAATCATTCTATTACCAGATAAAAGTCGTCTTACATGTATATGGTACAATTCGTTTCGAACGAAAGATCTGTACATCCTTCGTAATGGTCTTCTGTATTTCCATACTACGGTGCCGTTTCGTTGTTTTCGACTGCTGACAGGCAATTGTACAAAGCATGGTCGCGAAAACAATGCTGTTATTATCTACTTTAGAGTGAAATAGAATTTCAAAAAATCAAAAACGAAATGCACAAGGGCAAGACACGTATAGACTACCAACATGAACGGTGGAGACACCAAACACGAAAGCATATCACGAACTAAGAGCGAATCAACTTTTACATGTGAATTTCAAAGCAGGGAAGGTTAGTATGTTACTACTCAGGAAATGAATATTAACGATAACGAAATTAAGGAGACTGGTATATTCATTTCTAGTTTTGGAGAATAAATAAGATGGAAGGAATTTTAAAATATATTTCTTGTTACATCAAAATGTAACTAAAACAAACTTGAAGGACTAGACAAACCTTTGAATAAGTTAAGTTGTATGATGATCGGCCAAAAGTAGTACGCTAACACAGAAAGTCGACTGAAATCAACAATGATGTTGACCAAAACTTCAATATGTCGTCAATATGATCATACGTGTATTATTCTTTTTACCAGTATGATGTTTATTAAAAGAAAGAAAAACAAATTCTATTCACATAATTAAAATTGAAATTTGAAAACGGTGGTTTATTACGCCAAAGGTTTTAAAAGAAGCCGTTTTACAAAATGATGGAGATTCAATGTCACCAGAAGTTCTTCCGAATTTTTCAAAATCCATAATTGAATGATATCACTACTTGCATAATCAGTATCGAAGTATGCTTAAACTCTTTTTTTTTTCGAAAAAAAATATCAAGATCTTCTGGAGAATATTAAATCACCATTATTATCGTAAACAACTCATGTTAAAACTTTTGACTACTCAGTATTGCATGCCGTCTATGACGCTGATCTGCGTATTGACTTACCAAGGTTGTCGTCCCGAAGCTTTAATGAAAGGGGCTTTAACCGATTGAATGATAAATTATGCTTAGTTGAGTTAAAAGGTTAAAAATAACAATTATCATATCTATAATGCAATGTATCACAATTAGTTGCTAGGAGTGTGATGTTTTAACAAATAAAAACAAGTCTTATTTCAATTGGAACATATTTATATTGTTAACGCGCACTCATAGAGATGGCAAACAACAACAATATATAATACAGGAAAGAGATACCGATTACTTTGATCAACGTTGCGTCAAGTTATTCATATTTATAGAAAGGACCCATCAATCAACTTTCTACGTACAAGGACTGATCAAGGTATTTTAACTTACCGACATTTTTTCCGTGATATTTCTTCTGAACGATTCGCAATGTAAAAGCGTTTTGGTCATTAGCAATGTGTTACCGATGAGAATGTGTGAAAAAACGAACAAGAAGCCCTTTATTGAAAGCTTTGACATCACAAATAATTCTCTACCATTTTTAGTATATTAATCCTATGTTTATCGCCCTGCCAAAGATTTATTGCATAACACACTCAAATGGTTTTCATCTTCTCCTTACGCTTAATACTCTATTTTCAAGTTAATTCCATTCTTTCCACGTAAACACAACTGGTCATTATGAAAATATATATAGATTTAATACTGTAGCAGCGAAAGTATAAGTTATGTCAATTTCCTGGACTGTCCACATAGTGTTTTCTCCACGTCAGCTGTCAGCTCCGTCTCTACCATAAAACGTGTCAGTTCCGACAGTAATACGTACACTTTATTGGGTGGCATTTCCAATGCACAAAAGGAAAAGCTGTCGTTTCCAAAAAAATGTTAGCTCTGCCCCCATAAATGAAGCATCACAGCAAGTACTAAAATATTAATCCGCGCGGTTTAGTGCCGAGTGGCGCGCGATTTTTCTCGGATAAAACAGCCGATAGCTGTCACGGTAGACACTAACACGCAGAAACCTGGGACCAGGGACCTCGGCAACTAAGGTGAGACATATCACTTATTGACGTTTTAGTACCATCTTTATTAGCAATCAAAGATCGTCTTGATATGTATCTTTATTGGAAGATTTAAACTAAATGAAATTGTTATATGTGATTCATACATATGACTTTTATGAAAACATTGACATGAATTTAACAACGTGAAAAGTTGATAAAATAATATATTGTATTATGTATTATCTAGTGTCATAAGAGGTAATACGACCAGATTTTCGTTACTTTTGTTGTTTTCTTTATCTTTGACATATTAGATAAAAGAATGCAAGATACCATATTTGGGTCATTAGTATAAACACATGAAAACATTTAATACGAAAACTGTTGCGCGTTGATTATTTAATTATAATAATGTAATCATATATACATGTGAAGTGTTTCTTACAGGTCGATCCAAAACATAACAAGGCTTTAGGTCACAATTGGAAGTATATTTATCCGTTAAAGAGATAATCATACACAAATATTTACATTTCCACTGCAAGGTCCTCTAAAACCAGAAGAAATTGTGTCGTTCATAGACCTATGAACACAATTTGGTCACCGTCATATTGAAGCTCCCGCCTCGAATAACATGATGCAACCGTTAGAGGCAAACATGTTGGTGACGTTAGGTTGTTCTAGGAATCTCATTTGCGCTGACGACAAAGACACTTCAATATTGCAAATATGAAGTAATATATATATTAGGTCAATAACAACTAAAACTTTGGAACGTAAAATAAGGACTGAACGGCAGGTTTCATTGTTCATGCCGGTATGAACGCAAAGCTTCGTGGAATATGTATGTAACCGATGTGTTTTCATAACCAACAAAAACTTGTAAAAATGCCGTTTAATCCTTATGTGAAGTATATATTATTGGTATGTGTTACTTATCTTATGCATCTTATACATCTGAAATTTATGTCAATTATGTATCAATATTAATTGTTGAAAAGTTGGTAGGACTCCAGTCCTTTTTGTTCTATTTTGTTTTTATTTTCCTCTGCTAAAACTGTCAAGTGGATAATTAAGAATATTTAAATCATAGTGCAATATGTATACCTCTTTTACGTGAAACAGTTTTTCAAGAATTACTCCAATAACAATTCATTAAAATGGTGCACATATATTTCTCTAACGCAATACTTCATTTATTTTGTTTTGGATATTTGCAGGTAATTTTCATGATGCTGAGGTACTTGCTTGTGTCATGTGTTCTGGTCCAAGTGATAGCCTACGTCACTTCGGCTTCAGTTAAAGGTAAGAACAAATGTATGGATGACCAATATGGCGTGTCAACGGTTGCTATATCTGAACATCTTGTGATCTTTTTCTTCATTTTGTGATTTCTGTTGTAAAGATTTTATTGAGAGAAAATTGTGATGTTTATCTAATATTTTGATTTCTATTCAAAGTAATTTTTGGTTTTAAGAAATTCATAAACATCCTAGAAACCTTATAATGTATTCATGTTTAATCTTTTATTGATAGTTAAAAATGTGTTTATATTATATATAAAAAAAAATAAAAAAATATAACATTGCTTTTTGTCAAAAGCACAAATTACAATGTATGAAGACAATATAAGGATTTGGAAATCGAAAAACTGATAAAATAATACTGTAAAGGCTTTGCTCTCATAGGAATGCGTTCCTTTAGATAGGCATGATGTATGGCAAGTGTAAAGGCAAAAGGTCAAATGTTCTGATAAAAGAAATATTTTTAAGGATATATTAATCATAAGAAATCAACAAAGGATGCTAGTCAAACGATTTAGAATATATATTTCAGAATATTTTATAACTGAAATCACAAGATTGAGAAGATTATTCACAAGATTTTGAATGTGTATCAAAATAAAATACTTCATGTATTTTGAAAAACGACCTTCTGATCTATTCTGTCATATTCTGTTAAACTATTTACGTTAAGTCTGCTATTGGTAGATTTGTCTGGATACTGTTTTAACTAACTGAACTAAAACAAAAGGTCTCCTTTGTCAATCAAACGAATAAAGGACTTTTATCTTTATGATTTGTTATGTTGACAACACACTGCAACTATTAAGCGTATTTTTCCATCTCTGTAGCCAAATGTGGAAAGTACAACCATGGCGATACCTGGAACCACGATACCCTTACCTGTCTGAGCTACAGGTGTAGGGACGGTACTATCTACCCCAAATATACAGGTGAGTGTATCGGATACCATTCTCACCTGTCTGAACTACAGGAGTAGGGACGGTACTATCTACCCCAAATATACAGGTGAGTGTATCAGACACATTCCTCACCTGTCTGAGTTACAGGTGTAGGGCCGGTACCATCTACCCCAAATATACAGGTGAGTGTATCAGACACCTTCTTCACCTGTCTGAGTTACAGGTGTAGGGATGGAACTATCTACCCCAAATATACAGGTGAGTGTATCAGACACCATCCTCACCTGTCTGAGTTACAGGTGTAGGGCCGGTACTATCTACCCGAAAAATACAGGTGAGTGTATCAGACACCATCCTCACCTGTCTGAGTTACAGGTGTAGGGACTGTACTATCTACCACCAAATATACAGGTGAGTGTATCAGACACATTCCTCACCTGTCTAAGTTACAGGTGTAGGGACGGTACTATCTACCCCAAATATACAGGTGAGTGTATCAGACACCATCCTCACCTGTCTGAGCTTCAGGTGTAGGGACGGTACTATCCACCCCAAATACACAGGTGAGTGTATCAGACACCATCCTCACCTGTCTGAGTAACAGGTGTAGGGACTGTACTATCTACCACAACTATGCAGGTAAGTGTATCGGACACCATCCTCACCTGTCTAAGTTACAGGTGTAGGGACGGTACTATCTACCCCAAGTATACAGGTGAGTGTATCAGACACCATCCTTACCTGTCTACGTTACAGGTGTAGGGACGGTACTATCTACCCTTAACATACTGACGCGAGTGCTAACATTAGTCTATTGTCTGTAACAACGATTTGTTTGTGTTTTTGCCTATTGTCTTATTTTCTGTGTCAATGCTCTATATTACAAGACAAACCATTTTACTTGTGATAAAATGATGATAGTCATTTTGATTGATCGTTAACGTCATAATTATCTAAGTACGCCGATATTTTTGTATGTAATTTGGAGCATCTGATGTTTTATGTGGAAGGAGGTTACGGTGTCTTTCATTTTGTTTTATTGTCCTGACAGTTTGTATGGTGGCCAATGTGTATCTTTGTGTTCCTAGTTTTTTCTGTGTGTTGTGACGTTTTCCTCTCCCTCTTTAAAAACGACTTGCAATGCATAGTATTATCTTAAATAATACTATTGGATTCTAAGGTAGTATTTTAAGGATGGTTAAAATCACTTTTTAGGTAGGTTTATTTTTACCTGTATTTTAATTTGATTTAAAATCTATATTTACTAGTGTTTATGATGACACACCTTTGCAACATCTGGGTGCAATACATAACATGAATTGACACTTAATACCATTTTAAACATTAAAAACACATATACTGGTATTAAGCATACTTATTGAATATACATACTTTAATCCTCTTAATGTATATTTTAGCTACATAATATCAAAAAAACATTTTCTCAATATATTTTTGATTACCGGAGTGCAGGGAGGTGTTGGTATAAATATATTGAAGGAGATAAATAATGATATTTGGTTTCACTTTCTGGCTTTTCTAGGGAGGGGGTTGTAGTTTTGTTTTGATTAAGCGTCTCTTCTGTTCCTGGTGTTGTCCTTTCATATAGATACTGCAGAAGTTCTAAATTCGTGTGCTGACGTTGCTTTATATTTTCTTAAAATTTGATCTTGTCATAATAAATTCATCTCTCCAGAGTCTGTTCTAAGTATCAGTTCTTTCTCGATAGAGAATTATTGAGTCATTTTATATCTTCTGCAGGAGATATTTCTTCTGTGCTGAAAACATTTTACGTCATAAACATAGCCTGAAATCAGACAGTGATATAACATTGTCTGATATATTTAAACATATCATAGGTTTTTGTCATTGTTTGTAAGCACCATGGTAATGTATAGAAATTTTTTTTGTCAAAACACTGCATATGTAACCTTAACTTGTTTCCCCCCTTCATTTCGATCAACTGGTTAAAACTAAATAGGATACCAGCATCAGTGTTTAAACAAACTCTGTATACACCCTTTACTTGTTAATTAATTTGAAATTAACGGGTAAATGATTGAGTTTTACTCAACTCTTCTTCTGTTTCAACAGTAGATGAATTTGAATGTCCATCGTTTTGGCCCCTAGCATCACCAATGCGTCTTATGACGGAGTGTAACTCATTCTTTCGCATACTGTATGCATTACCAAATTTTAAAGAGGAAATCATCTTCCTGTGTATTACGTTTATGTTTGAGGAGATCTGTATTGTTTTGACGTCGTTCCTATGACGTCAAAACAATGTTTGAATGTGACGGTGTTCGTTGTGAAGGTCCGTGGTCATGTTTAACATACAAAGGATGCCGGGGTAATGTCTATGTAGACGTAATATATTCCAGGTTACCATGACGCCCTGCCATTGCAATATATTACGTCATTGTCATTTCGAATAGATTCCTGATTTATAAGACGCTATGTCCTATAATTTAAAGCACATGTTAGTTGCGGAACGGCTACCAATGTGACTAAAAATCTTACACTATATATCAATATTTAACCTTACAAAAAAGAGATATTCGAATTAGCCAAAATATCGCTTATTATCCATTCAATAAAACCATTAGGTTTTACTTACTACCGAATTTGTTTTATTTACAACGCAAATTCGTTCCCCATTTTGAAAGTAATATAGAGACAATGTTTCTTTTCAATGAAATCACAGTCAGTAAAAGTTTTAAAAACTTTTTTAAAGTTCGTTTTTATTTTAATGTCAGTTTTGAAATCGTAAATATGATTTAGGTTGCGTCAAGGATGACAAGTGTTACGATGTTAACCAGAAGTGGAAGAAAGACTGCAGCAACTTTCAGTGTGTCTCGTACACACATGGAAACATGACCGTCTTCGAAACAAAACTCGACATGCGTGAGTAAATTATTTTGTTTCAGACAAAACATGGCAGAATAAATACACCATTACACAAAGAAACAAAACAAAAACAAAAAGGGTTTCATATAAAATCCAGGTCGAGTTGGGCAAAGGCCACCGAAAACTTTGATATAACATAGCAGGTGGTGGTACATTTCATTACTCCAAGAGAAACGGTTGATTTTGAAATGTTTTTTTCACATTAAGTTTCATATCACTTTACAAACAATTACGTATATTTTCAATTAGTAAGATCTTCTTATAATTTTAGAACGTCCTACTCTTTAAAAGTCGTTTTATGAAGAAGGCCTTAATCGCTGTCTCATATATTAACATTTTCGTTTGTTTTATATGGAATCTTTCCAAAGAAGATGAATATAAAATGGATGTCTTTTATATATATATATGCATATAAGGTATGTATGACGCATAAAACTATGATTGTATGTTGTAGAAACTCTTTCATGAAGTACTTGTGTTTAACAATTAAATAGAAAACTTTGTAAATCATCCGCTTTTGATCCGGCTGTTTTGTTGAAGTACCACATGTATATGAAGATTATAAAACTCAGACCATTCGGTGTAAAATAGGTTCGTTTAATGTTTATGGTAATCATTGCAGAGTGTACAGTGAATACGAAAGGTAAAAACAAGTGCAAGCCTAACGGATCAGAGTGGAAAGAGGGATGTGACTTCAAGCGCTGTGACGTTACTACCAGTCAAAGTGCCCAGACTGCCAAAATGCAGTATTCCGCACAAGTGATTAACGTCAAACAAGGCACGTCATAGTATAACTTTGCTTGTTTAAACAAGCCCCAATCACCTGTCGAAATATAATTTCACCTCCAGCGTTAAAAGAAAAATATCATGTTGTCACATCCAATAACTAATAGCAGGACAATATACAGTTTGATATATCCTGATGGGTAGGGTATATACTAAACGCTTTAGGGATTTAGATCAACACTGTAAAAATGTCACCTCAAATTATGTATCTCCTCCCGAAGCACCGACAATTTCGACGGAAGAATTTTGTAAGTCTTTTTCCCACTTTAATACATATTCATGACAGCACCATCGGACGAGATGCTTTATGGACGTAAAGCCAGGAAATCCATAAATATGTACAAAAAATACCGCTGTCCCCGATGGTAAACTAAATGTGTAAAACACTTTTTATTCTTAATAAAGAAGGGTAGGGAAGACTGTTTCGTATTTTCATGAATACATAGCAGACGCAGATGCATGCAACTGATGAAAATGGGGGAAATAGTAGTAAACTTACCCGGGGCCTGAAATAACATGTCTTTCTGGGAGAAATGGAGATCCTGAGTGCGAAAACAAAACACATGTTGTAGGTATTCAAAAGTTAACTGAAAGAAAAATGATTTATTCTTCTAAGGATGTGAATCGTGTTTTTTCATCAATCAGAGGTGTTGATTTTGTAACAAAAATGTAAGCCCCGGAGAATTCTTAAGACTCGGAGAGCTCACTTTCTTTTCTATAAATACCATCACACAGGGTGACCTTTCCATCGATTGTTGATCTAAACCCTTGAAATGTAATATAATTATGTTGTTTCCGCCTCAGATTTTGGATTTTGGATTAAAACGATTTGGTTTGTGTTGGAAAGCCTTATGGTAAAGGACATTATTGACTTTAAATAGTTATTTTGTCCATTTTGGTCTATAGATGACACAGATTTTGGATTTGAGATGAAATAATTGGATAAAGCAGGAGAATATTGATTATAAAATATTGTTGGTTGTTTGATTATCTAACATACATTTTCTTAAAAACCAAAATGCAACTTTTCTATCTGTAGGATGTCAAGTTGGTAAGAAGTGTTACTACAACGGAGATAATTGGTTTCAGAAGTGTGTCTGGTACACGTGTAAAGTGACGTCTCTCTTCGCCAAGGCTGTCGGCGTCCCAGGTATATTTAAATGATGATGATGATGATGATGATGATGATGATGATGATGATGATGATGATGACTATGATGATGATGAAACTTAAACGTTATATACTTTTGATTTGTGAGTGATTTTTTCACTCCCTTTAAGTTCATCAATTAACATCATTTAATGTTATCATGAATAACATGGATTGTGCAATTGTCCTTTCAACGACATATTCGGAATAATCTGAATTCGCGACTAAAAATTTATTTGAAGATTGTCTGATTAAATATTTTCGAGATTTTTGATTTCGTGATTATCTCGAGAAATATCGGTGATTAAACGTCAGTCAGAATTACGCGTCGATTTGTGTTCTTGCTTGTTTACCTTTCAATTTATTTCAATTATTAATTAAACATTTGTGTTTTTTAGTCAGTTACTTTTAAAAGCATGAAAGTATAACATAGCAAGCAGTCTAAAAGATGCAGCCCCATATTCGAGTTGAAGTCATAATTTGATTATTTAATTTTGATTAAAAAAAATTAAAAAAATCAACATTTTAGTCCTTACAGAAATTCGATCCACCGTACGATACCGGGGAACTGATATCAGATTTGTAACTAATTGAGGATATATTTTATTATTATCTGTCATAATAGCTCAATTGTTTTTTTATTGCAAATAGTTTGCTAGTTTATTTGTTGTAACTGTTAGGTTAAGGCCATGTCGTCATCATTTTTATAGATTTATTTTCCTCCGTCAGATACCTTCATGCTGTTATTCCTTTCAAAAATGTTAAGGCAATTAATTCAATTTTCTTGTCTATTGATTCAAATAATCCTCTCACTCAAAATTTCTTTTATAACTATAACCTTATCAAAAATCTAAATAATTAAACCACGAAAGTATACTTTTCTTCTTTCAGGCTGCACCAACAAGAAGAAGTGCTTCAAGGTCGGAACGTTTAGATCGTACAAAAACAAGAATGGTTGCTACAAGTATTTGTGTAAACAGACTAATGAAGAAGTTGGCTGGAAACTCATCTCTGCTGGTCAGTAAATGGTTATCATATAGATATATATAACATGTTAATATAAGTCGATTTATAAAGGTGATTTAAAGATCTATTTTGGCTTTAAAACTTGATTGATAAAACAATCGTTCATTTTACGGTACTTATAAACGACACAGAACATAAGTAGCATAACATATGTAACATTATATAATACAATTGAAACTATGTTTATATTTGGGTAAAATACGTTTATTAAATTAAAAGAGAAAAAACTCTTAGTATAAAGGATATGTATTATAGTGTTATCTTTATTAAAAGGCTTTATTATGGTTTCTTTTTAAACTTGATCATCATCACTAGCAAAGCATTGATATACATTAATCGAAGGGCACTGGGTTTTTTATGTAAAATATGGTTATCTACTTCAAAAACATTCTTTCTATAAAATATTTGTATAGTATAGTTAAATATTCATTACCAGCTATATCATCATTTCATTTCTAGGTTGTAATGATAAAGGACAGTGCAGAGACAACAAATCTACCTGGAGGGATAAAGACGGCAATTGTATGGAAAAGAAATGTGTTAGTATCGTTGAGAACGGCAATCAGAAACTGTCCATAGAGGAAAAGCCGTACGGTACGTTTGCAAAGATTGACCTGTTCGAACCGGAAAATCAGCTATAAAACAGTGCATTCCTTGTGCAAAAAGAAATTTGTTCAACGTAGCATCAGATAGATCCTCTGTCTAATGTAAGACTCAGCACATATTCTTTATGAATGAAGAACGTCATTTATTCAACGTAGCATAGGATGTAGAAAAATACTTCCCTTTTCAGAAGATAATAGTCTAATGTAGACTAAACCATAGAACATATTCTCTTTATGCAGACCGTCATTTATTCAACGAAGCATCAGATGAAGAAGAGTTTTTCCTAGTTCAGAAGAGCAACCGTTCGATGTCGATGTACCTATGATATAGTTCCGTTTCTTTTAAACCATATTTTTTCCTGCGCAAAGGGGCATTTGATTAGGACAGTTCTACCTGTATAACACCTTTATCAGGGTCATACCGCATGTTTCCTGTCGCCTACAGTTGCAAAGTTTTGAATGCGAAGCATCACATACTGAAATCAAATCTCGTGACTTTCATTTGATATCTAATTTTGCCTCGAGATAAGGACTATGATTGACAATACTTTGCCTGATTTTATATATAGTTTCCTCTGTAAAACATATCTTCCCTCGCAGTTGGTCTACTATTCTCAACTTTCAGCTCCATCTCTAGAAATCTGTTACCTATGGGATATTTCCGCAGAAGGTCGCCTTTTTATATAGCTTCGTCTGTAGAACATATGTATACTCCCTCTTCAGAGGGTCGTCGTTATGGATTTCCTTCGCAGAAAGTCTGATTTTCAATGTAGCTCTTTGATTTGTAGTGCAGCTATCCGTTTTGTAGCAGATTGGTTGTTTGATGTATTTCCTTTCGTAGAACATGCATTCCCTATGCACAAAATGTCATTTTCTCAATGTAAAAATATTATTTTTAAGTGTATACATTCCCTATGCAGAAAATCATCTTTTCATGTGCCAAGCTCCAGTTTTGACCATCTTTTTGCTTTGGAACAAGTCATACTCTTAATTTTACAAGTTGCTATCGTTTGTCACCCAGTATTGTCACGTTTTACGTTAGAAAATAAATCAAACGGAGAGGTTAAAGGAATACTTTAAAAAAATGGTAGAAATAGAAATTGTAGTATACAGACATAAATCGTTCTTCAGCAGAATCTACATAATTTTCCCTTCCACTAAATCTCCATGTAGATATCGCATGGTGAATTCTTATACAAATGTGCACGTTCTATGCTCTCTGTGCATTATCAACCTCCAAAAATAATCGTAGGCTAAATAATTTGGGTATGGAATTACAGAGGATGGTTCCTTTTAAGAGCCTGGTTACTCTACACATCTTTGGTAAAAATTACATTTCTATTTATAACTTGGGTCTCATTGTATTTTTCAATCTAATAAAACATCTGTTACAACTGAATACCAATAATACGAGGAGGTTTATAGGATATATCTTACATTACACATACTGTGCTCTGACGGGGAAATTGTCTGAGGTTTATATTGCTTGATCATCAAGACAGAAAGCGAGACACGAATGATAACTGCGCTCATAAATTTCCTTACTAATAAGTGTTCATTATGTTCATTCAAAACATTCATATTTTCTGTAGTGTCATTTCGTTTATAACATGTTGTTTTTTGGGGAAATTTTGCACTTCTTGGTCAACTTCTAGAAGGACCAGTGTATGACTTTGATTTCCATGGTTTATGAGCGAATTTCTTTTCCTTTAGGCTGTAAGGATGGGAAGATCTGTCGGGACTTTGGAAAGACCTGGATGGATAGTGGTTGTTCCCTGCACAAGTGCAGACTCAGCTACGGTGCAGCCTTCAACGATGTACTAAGGACTGGTATGTGTTTACATTTATATATAAAAGAAAAACACTTTATTGTCAATTATGAATGACTACATTATTTAAGGAAAAACAACGGAATCTTCTGGCCTTACCGAAAACAAAGCATAGACGAATGGCAAAGGAAAGTATAATACAGCATTCCAGAAATATCGATAGTAACATTTCATGGTATATCGTATTGGGTAGTATATTCAAGGGCTAGATCGCAGGGAAACAGGAACTTACCAAGAAAATACAATAACATTCAAAACCGAACGACTGTTGACAAAATAACATTAATAGCGAAGTGAAGATTGTCTTAGCGCCCTGTCTACAACATCCTCGATACATCCGGGGTCACGCTCACTTTCGCTCTCTGCACCCCAGGAATATGTCATAGCAAAATCGAAGACACAAGGCAAGCTCTGTGATTGGTGTAAAAGGTAAAAGGATTTGACCAATCTATGTCTGATAATTGTCCTTTGAAGATTACAGAGGAGCGACACCCGACTTCAAAACCAGTCAATTTTACCGTTACGCGACTGCGATAATCTTTTGATGTACATCAAAAGATCAAACAAGTCTTCTCGTCTGACCTACAAGTGGGCGCACATTGAGCCTTCGATTTTGCTATGACATGTTTCAGGGGTCAAAGAGCGAAAGTGAGTGTAACCCCTGGAGTATCGAGGATGTGCGTATTATATCTGTAGGTTTATTAGTTGAATTCACGCCAGAACATAGTCGGAAAAACTGATACAACCCAATGACGAACTATCTCTCCTGTTAGAGAATAGAAATATATAATACCGCTTACTATTTTCAACGAAAGATCGAGGGGATATAGGATTGCGTCCGTCCGTCCGTACAGATGTACGTACGTTACGCTCTTTGTCATGGCTCTTGTGACTCATTCTTCAATGGAATTTCATGAATTTCATACAAGTGTTTGGTATGACAATACATTGAACAATTTGTGTTTCGGGTTACTGCGTGAAAGTTCAAGGTCACTGTTACTATTTTTAGGAAAACGTTGTCATCGTTCTGTCGACTTCATTCCTTAACGGAATTTCGTGAAACTTGATACAATTTTTTTGCCATGACAATACCTTCAACAGATGCAGTAGTGAGAGCAGTTACTGCTACATCATTGAATTTTCTATTCATTTCCTCATACATATGGCAAACAATTTGTGAAAGCGAGGGGATTTGTATCACTTGTGATGCCTTGTTTATTTTACAACAAGTATGAAACAAGTTATTACAAGTTCTATTAATCGCCATTGTTGGCAAGGATATTAGCGCGCGGGGGGTCTTATTGTGGGAGGATAACAGAGTACACGGAGAAAACTCACGTGGTCGGGCAGGTGACCCCATACCTTTTTAAGCTTAACCTTTGTTATGTCATAGCACACAAGTGTATCATTATTTAAGCGAAGGAAATGAATATGTCATAATGATAGCATGGCATATACGAACTGTTAAGCATTTTGCCGCCTATACACAAGTGATCTATTCAGTTATGGTATACTTCCGTTGTCACCGACATGCAATTGTTTTCTTCACAGTTTGCAAAGACAAGACAGGAGTGTGCAAGGACTGGAACTCAGGGGCATTTGAGGGCCTTGTCAAGAAAGGCAATAAGAAAGCCTATTTCAAGAACTGTAAATGTCAGAAGGATGGCGAGAACGGGTCAGTGATGACGTGTACAGACGCCGCACCGTAATAAGGATTCACTATACAACTTGACTTATTTGTTCCTATATTTATTTACTGTCCCCCTGGAGATGTACAATGACATCACACTTGTTAAGTATTAATACAGTAAAATGATTACTTTATTTTGAAAGCTAATGGAATACGTACTACGTTAACAAGTACTGTCGCATTGTGAAATCCTGTGAATGATGGGCACTTTATTTCCCGGTATAAAAGCCGCGTTGGCCATGAACACCTTCTGTATATTTTCCCGCTGATCTTGTGTTGTCCTGTCGTTATGTTGTCTTAATTAAATTATTTCCTGAATATCGTCTTCGATTTCATATTTTTTAAACTGCTATACGTTATACATTATTGCTAACAGAATTGGAAAGTCAAGATTTGCATGTGCTTTGAGAACATACGTATTATCCGTACACGTAGATTTAACACTGAACATTACGGCATAGACGAAACTTTAAAAGGTAAAAGAAACAAAACCAAAGAAATACCAAATGAAGAAGATGTTCAACTAATGGTTTAAAAGATATCTCTGTATTCCAACTATATATGTAACAGGAAGCAGCTTACTCATCATTAGCTATCGTTCTATGACGTACGACATCAATGGTTATACATATAGCCCTAAAAACGCTTACTCTTCCAGAGTACCAGGGTTCATCCTCGTTGTGGAGTTCGGAATGCCAGTTTTTTTCTGCAACCACTCAGTGTCTACATATTTGGGAGTTTTTTCCTCAGTTTTTGTATGCCTCTTTTATGTCGACTTCGAGTTCCTGTATCTGTAAGTTGACACTATGGTACTGTGTCTTTTTCAATTGGAGAATGAAATCCGCATTAACAGTACCGGCTTAGTATTGTTCAAGAAATCATCAGAAATGCGATAAAAGGTAGCAACTGTTCAAAAATATAGTAATTCGATGCAGAAAATCAAACAATGTACGTTTTTACTGCATTATATGGCCATTTTGTCAATTCCGGACTCATCAGGGGTATTGCAGGTCAGAATGAAAATTCATTTCTACAATGTTACAAAACTTATGTAGAAGTACAGCACAAACAAACGTTTGAACGTAAAAATGTACTTTTAACTACAGCAGATAATTTATTCTTAAACTAGTATTTCATGTAAAATAGGCCAGACGACATTCCGGCTACCAGATTGCGGCCAACACCCAGGACTGATGGTGCAATAGCAGAGTTGATCTAAGACAGAAAAAAAAACCTGTTTTAATTTTTGGGTGAGGATTTGTCACTTACTAATATGGTAAAACGGTAAGTGTCTCCTGCTTTATCAATGACACCCGACATGTAACACCGACTTTTATTTTACCGGGGTTTGAGTACGCCTGTGAATTGTGGGATGGATGTACTCCTAACGAATCGGAATTACTTAAAAAGGCTCAAAGAGAAGCATTACGAATCATTACTGGTCTTCCGTCATATGTAAACAACAATGCTTTATACATTGAAACAGGATTGGAAAAGTTATCAGACCGAAGAAAAAAAGAGAAAACTGCAGTTGTTATTTAAGATGAAAAACAGTATTACTCCTTATTTTCTTAAAGACCTCTTGTTACCACCTACGGTTGCTTTTAACAATCCCTATCCACTTAGAAACAGAGATGATTTTATCGTTCCAAATCATAGACTTTCTTGTACACGCTCTTCTTTTTTACCATCAACATTACTTTCTTGGAACGGGTTAGACGTGGAAACAAGATCTTCTCCTTCGCTTTTTGCTTTTAAATCTGCTATTTCACATCCAGTTAATCAAAAAGCACCATCCTTTTACAGTTTTGGAGAAAGAAAACTTAATATATTGCATACAAAGTTGAGGTACCAATGTAGTCCGTTAAATTATGACCTTTTAAGAGTAAATCTGACTGAGAACTCTGAATGTATTTGTGGAAACCCTTGTGAGAATGCCTACCACTTCTTTTTCATATGTCCTCGTTATAATATACAAAGACGTACTCTTCTTTCAAATATAGATGATTTAAATCTTGATGTTGTCATCGATATAAAATTATTGCTCATAGGAAATGAAAATCTGTCGGTAGAAGCACGCATATAGATATACCTAATCTAATACAATTCCGTGGTAGAAGTAAACACTTCAATTTTTAGAAATGCGCAAAAGAACATAAAACCAGCCAAAGGTTCAGTTAATGTGATATGACATTAACTCATCATATTTATATCTCTTGTATTATTTCATTTATTGTATGAAAAAAATGGTATTTATCGTGATCACATTATGCTATTTCTTAATTTATGTAAAATTTATTGTGGAGAGGGCCTTTGTAATGTTGATATAACTTGTGCCTAATCCGTTTGCTTCATTTATGCAATAAAATATGTTTAAATAATAAAAAATGTAACCCAATTAATGATGCGTCTTCAAACACGGTACACTGATGAGCATAACAAAAGAAATAACATAATTCCCAATGACATGTCTTCATTGACCTGCATCGTTGGAGACCCTGTGTTGTGAGTTTGTCCATCAGCAATCGACATGTATCGTGATATTAGGGGCAAGCTCTTGATCACTGAAACATCTGCGACCTGTGTGAATGTCACTATCAGGAAAGGGAAAGTTTCACAGTGGAAAAACCGAATTCATCTTATCGTAAAGCTAAGTAGTAAGCCGTCCATGTTGGTCATGTAGTAAGTAAAGATCGAGGAGAGAAAGCGGGTGGGGCAGAAGAATCTGTGGAGTCCTTGATCTCAAGCTCATGGGGGTATAAACAATCAAATATGAAAACAAAACGTGTCGACCAGAAGAGGGGCAGTTTTCCCATAGGAATGCCCACCGGTAGGTCTGCTTGTAAGTCATGCCACCGAACCCAACAATGATTTTGTCATCTAGGAACTCAATCATTCACACAACTTCATCCTCTGATTTTTTTTACTTTTTGCCTTCACAAATATGCTCCAAAATAGTGTATAACCATATATTTATAACGCCGTTCGACTTTCTTTGAAAAGTAAACTCTCACAATAAGAGAACGAAGTCTTTCCTTCAGTTTGGTATGGGGTATGGCCAGCGTAAAGAGTGGAAACGTCAAATGTTTTGATAGAAGAAACATTTTTGTGGAGTGAGTACGTCCCAAGATTGATAACAAGATCTTTCGAATACTTCAAAATCCACTTCATTTTCATTTCTGGAGTTTATAATGTCACAATGTAACAGTTACCCTAATTTAATGCTTCTTAGAATGGTAGTCTGAAATTTGGATAATAGCTTGGCCTTGACATGTGACCTTTATACGTTATGTTCAGGTCCATTTTATCGAAGCAGGAGCGGAGGTATATATGCATGGTAACTTTTTTCCTATTTGATAACTGATGTTTTCTTCAAACTGAAAAATTACAAAAACCCGTTGTCCACATTACAGTGGGCTCATAACTGCACTAGCCGTTTGATACATTATTTGGACGCAACTTCTTTATCATTTTTTGGAGGAAAAGATTTTCGTCTCCATAAAAGATTTACAAAGTACAACTTCAAATCCGAGAAATGTATTCTTATGTAAAGTTGAATGGATACTTGTCCAATCCTTTATTTTCACATTAAGACAAAAGTGTTTTGTATTTTGACTAAACCTTCCGATATATTAGTGATGTTTCTGTTTCATATATTTATCATATTTATCTTTTGTCTTTGAATATAAATAATTTCCATTTTGAGAACTACTTGAATATCTTTCTTTTCTTAAGAAATTGAAATTAGACCAGACCCATATCTTGATTTACATACAGTATGACAATAACGTTCACAAAACTATGAAAACTCCAGGATAAACGTGACGATTTCAGGATCGTCATTTCTTCAGCAACAGGTAGCAACGAGCCAACCCCTGTTATTTATCGAGTTTATATGCCATTTTATTCATTCTTTTTCCGTTAAACCATAATGACCAATAAAATGTCGCACTAAATTGTGTTTCAATTATTTGTAACACATCCTAGGTTTGCCATCTACTTTCAGTATATTTGATTCTTCTTCAATACTCTTTCGGAATATTACTGTTCATTTATTGAATATTTGTTACAAAATACAAGTGGAAATGTTCAAATTGAATTCTTTATTTACATAAGCCATCTTGAATATCGATATAAATTATACACATAAATAATCCTCACAGTGTTAGTGTTAAAAGTCTTTGTGTGTTGACGAAAAATACTGGAACATAAAATACACAACTAGGCCAGAATGAACTGTCACCTTAATCTTTCTGTGTAAACTATTTCTATCTGACAGGTGCTATTACAGAGAGTTCGAAAATGACGATATAATATTGGTCGGGGCTGTTTCAACTGTAAGAATTTGTTCTATAACTTAAAATGGTAAGGATCCCCCGTACCACTGCCGAAAACTCTAACGAATAATGGAAACTTATTTTTCCGGCAACTATTAAACTTTGATAAATCATTTCTGAAAAGACAACCATGCTATGCGGGACAGTTGTGAAAAATAATAAAGACGAAATAAAACCACAGACTTAGATGATCTTAGTCAAACCACAGAATTAGATTATCTTAGTCAAACCACAGAATTAGATTATCTTAGTCAGTGATAAAACCACAGAATTAGATTATCTTAGTCAGTGATAAAACCACAGACTTAGATTATCTTAGTCAGTGATAAAACCACAGAATTAGATTATCTTAGTCAGTGATAAAACCACAGAATTAGATTATCTTAGTCAGTGCAGAGACGTATGTGTTATATACGTCTCTGGTCAGTGATAAAACCAAATACAATCCACAACAGTGTTGTGAGCGAAGCAAATTAGAGAAGCTAGACTGGGATTCCAACCCCGAAATATATATTATTACAGTATCACTCTAACCGACTGGGTTACGTGGTTGACGGAGGTATCCTAGACCAACTGGGTTAGTTAAATCAAAAACGAAATTAAGGGGAGCTAGGTTACTGTATATATATATATACACGAAAAACCACAGTGCAGTGGGACAGTGATCCTTAAAACTATCAACGCGACAGGTCATTCCGGCGCAGTTACATTACCAAATAACACCTCGTCACTCTAGACACCAATCAATAAGTTAACATAATCCATGAAATAACTCGGATAAAAAGTTAGGTGTGAAATTGTGATGACTTTCAGATGGAACCCGGTGTATACCAGCCTACCCTGGATTCACCAGCTTCCTCTGGACTTCCCTGAACCATTAACAATTAAAACATGAACTGAAATGATACTGATAACGGTTATGATAAATAATTTGAACTGGAAAAAAATGTACATACATGTAGGTCCAAATGAATAGAGCGTTTTTATTCTCTCGAAAAATATCCATTATAGGAATTGTCTGGTCCTTATCAAAATATTACCCAAACAAACCCCAACAAAACAACCCATATAAAACTGGATCACTCTACCCAACTGTGACATATGATTCTCTAAATACCTAGTGTTTCAGGAAAGAAGATGTAACTATTTATTGCCCAACTTAACGTTTAAATCTTCCTGTATACATAGTCATAAAAGTTACTTTGTAGAATTTTTTTTACTTGTACCATGAAAATCAAACATAGTCTCAAGCTGATTTATTTCTGACTAATGCACAAATACTGTATTGCAGTTATATTTCGTAGGGTTTTTATTTTCGCTATATTCGCCTTTTGAATAAAATCCATGAATTCTAAACACCAGCTAAATATTCTGCACACCAGTTTCTACTTCCAATATGGAGATGTTACACTGTCAAAGAACTGTATATTGTTGCCAGATGAAAATATAACTCAACATCTTTACATGAATTTGAAGAGAATTTTAATTAAATCAAGAGATTTACTCCCAAACGATGATGCTCAAAATACATTGCACTGCAAGCTTGAATAATGTTTATTTCAAATTTTACTGATATGTAAGTGACCTGCAAATTATTGGAAGTCGGTGTATAGTGAAATTTATTCCCTGCGAATATGTTTCGAAAAGAAAACACAAAATAGTGACCCCACATATTAAAAATACTATACAGTATAGGCAATTAGACAATAGGACCAACTCTAAAATAAGTTACATACATTCATAATAGACTCATTTTAATCATAGTTTTTTTTTTTAAATAGTGGAGAATTCAAATGAATTTATTTTTTTAAACAATTATTGGAATGGAAATGATATGTCTATCATTATAACAATAATATAATGAAATTATTAGAGAAATTATACTCCAAGAAATTTACCAAAATGGAAAAAAACAGCAAAGCATATAATATTAAATTCAGTAATCATGTACCGTGGTCAGAGAAATCACCACCTGTATGGTGTACCCACAATCCCATTGGGTGGTACCTATAAACACGACCTCATCTAAAAAACTCAAGTACTGTAAGCATACATATTTTTGTGGTAACCTTATTTTGGCGCTTTTCCCATTTCGGTTATTGCAATAAACATTTGTATTATGATTGTGCTAGTTGCTGTATGTTGTTTTCTATTGCGTTTTTTACAGATGGTCCAATTCATCAATGTGCTAATCTTTTATAACTCAATATTGCACTAAAATCTCAGTCTGCTAAAATAAGTATGTTTCCAGTACATCCGTTTTTCAGTGAATATGGATTTCTAAATATAGCCTTTCGGGAAATCCCCTTAACCTGTTGTAGAACATGCATGTTTGACTCGAAACTATGTTTGTTATATGCTTGGTTGTAAACAAACAAACATATTGTTTTGGTCAGCATGTTCTTGATCATAACACTTAATCCTGATTGTTGACTTACCACAATCTGGAAAATACTATAAAATATGACAGAAAACCTACCACCCAAACTATTCAATTAAATACCTTGATACTTAAAACAGTTATGGATATTTGTGATGGCTTTAGTTTGGTTAATATCTACTATTCAGGTTCATATCGTATCATATTAACCAATTGCAAAAATCAATAACTTAACAATAATATTACATTACACAAATATCAACCGGTATACAATTGTGTGTCATAGGGCAAGGGTATCATGATCTGTTCATCAGAAACCCTTACTACAAAAAATATTATCATTCATACCGCAGCTACAGAACTGTCAAAAGTATAAATGAAAATGCTTTTTGTTCCATCTAAATATTATTAGTTCCCTCTAAATATTATTAGAAAGAAAAAAAGAAAAAAAAAGTGAAGTATTTTCATTCTTAAAAAATAACCCATACGTGGAAAAGCACAACATATGTAGTTCTGCCTCTTAGCCTTTTAATTATGTTAACGTATTTCCCTATTGGGCCCCAACACCTCTGTCCCCATGACTATTTCATTGGCCAAGGGAGTCAGTATACCGATACAGGTTGAAATCCTTCCACCATTCATAGTGAATAGGCTTCAAATATTTACCCTAATTTCCCTATTGGGCCCTTCCCTCCACCCTTTGGTCTTAAAAACTAGCCCTTCTTTAAATAATACAACAGTGAGTTTCCTTGTCTCAGGCATGCTCTAAACTTAGATTTTAACAAAATTTGTTAAGCCATTCTAGACTAGTGGTCTTTTAAATGAAAAACATGACAGATGGACAATGTGCAACTGAACAAGATCATTTGCTCTTCAGGTAGGTGAAATAATAAGTTAATGAGCAACTAGAAGATAAATCACTGTACATTGATTATAAATAACATACAATTTTCAAGCACCATGAATAAACATGTACAGCTTACTTAAGGATCCCTGTCCCACTGCCGTGTGTTTTTTTGTAAACAGTTACCTCCCCTTAATTTCATGTTCGATGTAATTGTAGCATAGTTGTGTCGGGAGACTTAGAGCACTAGAACACCAATCCAGAGTCCAGGGTTCAAATCCCAGTCTAGTTGCACTAGTTTTTTATGCTCAGAACACTGTTGTTGAACATATATCGTTTATCAATGGAGCCTCAAAATATGGGTTCTGTAGTCCCATCTTTATTGATTTTGTTTCAAGCCTCGCGGTGTAAGGTTTTCATTTAAAAAAATTGATGCTATAGTCATGCTGGAAAAGTCAGTTTCCAATTGCAAAGTTACAGTTTTTGGCAGTGGTACAGGGATCCTTAACATTATAATACTACATTTGTACAACAATTGATGGAAATCTCGCTCATTATATACAAGTATTTCACAATTAAACTACATTCCATGATCATTTGAATATGTCATTGATATTATTACATTATTCCTGAACGTATGTTGCCATGTAGTGCTACCTTCTTACAACATGTGAATTGGTAGAGAAAACTGGTTTAGTAGTTTGGTAGTAGACGTACTCGTGAGTACTATGTCCAACCTCTTGATCAGACGGTCTGGAGCATGCTTCCCTTAATTTTCTTTTGAAGTATCTGAAGTTTTTTAGTAGCTTATAAAACTTATTTTAACAATGAATAGAACACTTCACAAATTTTATGTATGTACCCCGACATCCTACCCAGATATGTCACCGGAAGAAACTGTATCGGTTCTATTGCTGAAACTGCAAAACTTTCATGAGAGGAAAGTGTTTCTGGAGAAGAAAGGAAATATTTGTGTTCGATTTCACATCTATCGAGTGTGTACAAGTTTTGGGTTGTCTATGAATGCTGCACCATAAATGTACATTGTTGCCATGGAGATGATGCTGGCTGATCCCCAGAATAGCACGTACACAAACTGTTCCGTCATGTCCTCTGTAAAACAAATTACAAAACATATGTTGTTGGAATAAACAGATACACTGTTTTCCTTATTACCTAACAAAATGTGTACTATACAGGGCTAGAAATTAATGTTGAACATCACTTATCAATTGGGGTAGTTGTTTCCAATTAATAATTGTTCATGTACAAATTCCACTTACTTATATTCAACAAGGTAAGTAATATAAAATTCTGACAAGTCAATTGGGCTTGTGGTTTTTAGAACCACCAGTCCAGCTGGAGATTTCACTAGTCTCAGACTATCGTGCTACCCTTATTGTCTAGCCCTGCAGTAGTCCAGCTGGAGATTTCACTAGTCTCAGACTATCGTGCTACCCTTATTGTCTAGCCCTGCAGTCCAGCTGGAGATTTCACTAGTCTCAGACTATCAGGCTACCCTTATTGTCTAGCCCTGCAGTCCAGCTGGAGATTTCACTAGTCTCAGACTATCAGGCTACCCTTATTGTCTAGCCCTGCAGTCCAGCTGGAGATTTCACTAGTCTCAGACTATCAGGCTACCCTTATTGTCTAGCCCTGCAGTCCAGCTGGAGATTTCACTAGTCTCAGACTATCAGGCTACCCTTATTGTCTAGCCCTGCAGTCCAGCTGGAGATTTCACTAGTCTCAGACTATCAGGCTACCCTTATTGTCTAGCCCTGCAGTCCAGCTGGAGATTTCACTAGTCTCAGACTATCAGGCTACCCTTATTGTCTAGCCCTGCAGTCCAGCTGGAGATTTCACTAGTCTCAGACTATCAGGCTACCCTTATTGTCTAGCCCTGCAGTCCAGCTGGAGATTTCACTAGTCTCAGACTATCAGGCTACCCTTATTGTCTAGCCCTGCAGTCCAGCTGGAGATTTCACTAGTCTCAGACTATCAGGCTACCCTTATTGTCTAGCCCTGCAGTCCAGCTGGAGATTTCACTAGTCTCAGACTATCAGGCTACCCTTATTGTCTAGCCCTGCAGTCCAGCTGGAGATTTCACTAGTCTCAGACTATCAGGCTACCCTTATTGTCTAGCCCTGCAGTCCAGCTGGAGATTTCACTAGTCTCAGACTATCAGGCTACCCTTATTGTCTAGCCCTGCAGTCCAGCTGGAGATTTCACTAGTCTCAGACTATCAGGCTACCCTTATTGTCTAGCCCTGCAGTCCAGCTGGAGATTTCACTAGTCTCAGACTATCAGGCTACCCTTATTGTCTAGCCCTGCAGTCCAGCTGGAGATTTCACTAGTCTCAGACTATCAGGCTACCCTTATTGTCTAGCCCTGCAGTCCAGCTGGAGATTTCACTAGTCTCAGACTATCAGGCTACCCTTATTGTCTAGCCCTGCAGTCCAGCTGGAGATTTCACTAGTCTCAGACTATCAGGCTACCCTTATTGTCTAGCCCTGCAGTCCAGCTGGAGATTTCACTAGTCTCAGACTATCAGGCTACCCTTATTGTCTAGCCCTGCAGTCCAGCTGGAGATTTCACTAGTCTCAGACTATCAGGCTACCCTTATTGTCTAGCCCTGCAGTCCAGCTGGAGATTTCACTAGTCTCAGACTATCAGGCTACCCTTATTGTCTAGCCCTGCAGTCCAGCTGGAGATTTCACTAGTCTCAGACTATCAGGCTACCCTTATTGTCTAGCCCTGCAGTCCAGCTGGAGATTTCACTAGTCTCAGACTATCAGGCTACCCTTATTGTCTAGCCCTGCAGTCCAGCTGGAGATTTCACTAGTCTCAGACTATCAGGCTACCCTTATTGTCTAGCCCTGCAGTCCAGCTGGAGATTTCACTAGTCTCAGACTATCAGGCTACCCTTATTGTCTAGCCCTGCAGTCCAGCTGGAGATTTCACTAGTCTCAGACTATCAGGCTACCCTTATTGTCTAGCCCTGCAGTCCAGCTGGAGATTTCACTAGTCTCAGACTATCAGGCTACCCTTATTGTCTAGCCCTGCAGTCCAGCTGGAGATTTCACTAGTCTCAGACTATCAGGCTACCCTTATTGTCTAGCCCTGCAGTCCAGCTGGAGATTTCACTAGTCTCAGACTATCGTGCTACCCTTATTGTCTAGCCCTGCAGTCCAGCTGGAGATTTCACTAGTCTCAGACTATCGGGCTACCCTTATTGTCTAGCTCTGCTATAAGTAAAACAATACACCATTTTCCTTATCTACCAAACAAACTTTGTGCTATATTTTTGTGTGCCATTTAACATTATCTCTGGGGTCATATTTTCATACAAAACGGTTTCAAGTACCAGTAATCTGAAATGTTCTTGAGGCTAACTTCCTGGTATCTATCAGTTTCTCTATGTATAAATCTTTGGTTATAATTATTCTCGGAGAAAGAATCACTTGAATATTTTATTACCATACTTTTTTAAACCTATCTTGCACTAAGTAATGTTGTTGGAAACGTTAGCATACAAAGAGTGCTAACAATACACTTACCGTCAGGCATGAGTATGCTGATGGTACACATGGCCAAGGCAATCACAAATATCACAGGAATCTAAACGTCAAAACAGTCCAAAATGTAAGTATGCAATACAAATTAGATAGACACCTAAGTGCATTATTGGTAAAATGTGTATAGCTTAAAGACAGGAGAATCATAGCGAAAAAATAAGATTATTCTATCCTCAGAACAGATACAATGAACATGTTTATAATGAACCCCATGGGACCATGAAAAAGATATTGTTTCAAAGTTTGATCCTTGTGGGAAAATTTCTTGTTTGGAAGACACAAAACTAATGTTAACTTTAGAAGCAAGAACTGTTAACAATTTCAAGCTATGCTGCTTCTGTTGGGGTGTGAGGTGTTGGGGTGTGAGGTGTTGGGGTGTGAGGTGTTGGGGTGTACTTACTGCATAGAACTTCCAGTCCCGCTGCTTCTGTAGGGGAGTGGGATGGACCACACCCTCATTATCCTCCACAACATAGTTACCTAGTATCAGGTCTATCGAGTCCTTAAAGTAATAACATATGGATATCAAAACAGTGCATAAAGTTTAGTGAGGAACAAATTTAAAATGTCTGAATTTGGCATTCATGATGTTCAGGATTTTAATGGTTTCAACATTTTACTTATGTTACTTTGAGAAAAAGAATGTCACATCTGCCATAAATAACTTGCAAAAACATCTCGTTTTTTTTTATCAGAGTGAGCTTACCTGTCTGAAGCCATCACTGAAGTTGTTCTTGAAGTACCTGATGAGGGAGTTCCAGCCATCCATCAACAGTCCCATCGTTGTCCTCTTCCCTAGTCTGTAACCATGGAAATACATAGAGGTCAAGGTCAAGTTAAACTTAAATTCAAAGGTCAACATTTCTCAGTTAGTTATATACAAAACTTTTATCTGCCAGGGTGTAATTATGTCTGAGTCAATAATCATAATGCTCTCTGCCAAATCCATTAACTTTTCTCTTGAAGATATTCTTACATTCCATCTTGTTTAATGATGAAAATCAGCATAATATTATATCTATTGTAGCAATTAAGTTTTGTTTTTTAAATTTCTCTCAATGTTAGGCTATATCTGGACCTGAAAGTCATATGGATCTCCACTTTGTCTTGGATCTCCACTTTGTCTTCTGTCTTTCTCTGGTCAATATAACTGCATATTCACCTCAAAAATTCCTTATAGATTACTATCGTGGAGAAAGGCAATACAATTGTCAGATTTTGGAACTAAGTTTCCTTTAAAACCAGAACTTTTTAAAAATTCAACAAAGCCTAACTAACCTGGTAAAGTCTGTTTTGAGGGCACCAGTGCCTGCATACTGTTTGGATATACAGTCAGCATTGTCTGCCCATACTGTAAATATAAATCAATAGATGTAAACTGGTGAGTCTTCGACTAAGTTATGTAAGAGTCTCAACAGATATTTTAAAATGTCTTATTTCTGTTTTCTGCAAACACATAACAGACCCTGAAGATGTTGAACTTTTGCTGTTTTAAGGATCAAAACGTAGTACATGTGTATTGATCTACCAAACTGCCAGTAGCTGCCCATGGTTGATCCATGTGGCACCAGGCATTTTTACCAAAATCTTGATATTGCCAGTTGATCCTATGTGACACCATGTATTAAAACCATACCTTGATCTTTCCAGTTGATCCTATGTGGCACCATGGATTAAACCCTTACCTTGGTCTTGCCAGTTGATCCTATGTGGCACCAGGCATTAAAACCATATCTTGATCTTGCCGGTTGATGCTTTGTGGCACCAGGCATTAAAACCATACCTTGATCTTGCCAGTTGATCCTTTGTGGCACCATGGATTAAAACCATACCTTGATCTTGCCAGTTGATCCTATGTGGCACCAGGGATTAAACCCATACCTTGATCTTGTCAGTTGATCCTATGTGACACCAGGCATTAAAACCATACCTTGATCTTGCCAGTTGATCCTATGTGACACCAGGCATTAAACCATACCTTGATATTGTCAGTTGATCCTATGTGGCACCACAGATTAAACCCATACCTTGATCTTACCAGTTGATCCTATGAGGCACCACAGATTAAACCCATACCTTGATATTGTCAGTTGATCCTATGTGACACCAGGGATTAAACCATACCTTGATATTGTCAGTTGATCCTATGTGGCACCAGGCATTAAACCATGCCTTGATCTTGCCAGTTGATCCTATGAGGCACCAGGGATTAAACCATAGCTTGATATTGTCAGTTGATCCTATGTGGCACCAGGCATTAAACCCATACCTTGATATTGTCAGTTGATCCTATGTGGCACCAGAGATTAAACCCATACCTTGATCTTGCCAGTTGATCCTTTGTGGCACCAGGAAACCTAAACCAATCTACCTTTTTGATCATAATTATGTGGAACTAGGCATTTAACCTGTAGGGTATGTAAAATCAAACTCAGGTGTGCACATATATAGTGGTGTAAGATGATTATGGGCATAATTAAATTGATGTCAATGTTTGGGTTTAATCCCTGGCAGTTTAAACCTAAACACTGACATGATTTTAACTCTACATGATGTCATGAATAAGTCCAAAACTGCAGGGAGCCAGGGATTAAATCGTCAATATGCTATAAGCGTATGCACACTTAAAAGTGTTCTTATAGCATATCTGAATCGACTTCAATTTTATCTTACCAACACGCACATATTTGACACCTTTGTGTACACATGCTTCACTGGTCATTTGTCTGATGAAGGTGACAGGGTAAGTACTGTACTAGTCATTGAAACAACACACGTAAACGATTACTGCATTCTTGAAAACATTTTTGTTTTAAATACTTACTGTTGTTGTACATGCGTTTGAAAGTTGTGAAATCATCTATTTTCTGTCCCATTTCTATTATCCCAAGTCTCTGTAAGTAACAAGTTCATATCAATCAGATAACCAGTCCAACACACAAAGCATGTTCTTTTTTCATCCAATCATATGATCTCGTCAAATTTAACCTCTGACTATATTTTACGAATTAAATTAAATGTTTAATCTTGCTTGTAACAAACATTTTCATTAGCTTTAAATTTATGTTATCAGCCCATAACGTAAAAAAATGATGTTGCCGTTAGTAACATCGCTTTTGATTGGCTGATACAGTGGCGTAATAATTTCTAAGAGAACAGAGTCCATCAATAAAAGTTGATTTCCACAGGGATTGTGTATAGTTGATTAAATTATAAGGATTAACTTGAATATATTTTTTATGTTATGGAGCTATTACACAAACAAATTGGAGTGTACACTCATCATAAACTGCTTCACGGTTTATTTAGAGTATACTCCGTTTTTTGTGTTATATCTCCATAACATGAAAAATATATTCAAGTTAATCCTTAAATAATTGCAATATTTGATAAATAATTGCAAAAATCAGTACATGTATAATGAAAAAGGTGCGACATGCACCCCGAGTAATATACATACCCCTAATTGTTGCTGTAGAACCACCTTGGCAATCATGCCCTGTACAACGTTAGTCCTGTCCAGACAGTCAATACAGTTGGTCCTAAACACTCCTTTCTGGTACGCACTGGCTACGCCATCATTTCCCACCATGTAATACCTGTCAGATTATATACAAGATAGACAAGTTAATAAACTGTCTTGAAAACACTTTTACATACAATTTTCTGCAATTATCAAAAAGTTGAAGAATCACGAAACACACATGTTCAAAAATTCTCATTCCGAAAAACAGTAACTTTACATCACATTTTGTCAACTTCAGAATTCCATTAGTCCTAGCCTTTCACCACTGTAGACCATAATGGACTCATCATGACTGTATGGTAGAGTCTACTAAAGTTACCTAGGGGTGAAAGAGTCAATAATGAGTACATGTATATATATAAGATCATAAGTGCAGCAGTCTTACCCAAACCGGTTGATGTCTTCAGACAAGCGATCTATCAGGATGGCAAGCCGATCCCATCTCATCTTTCGACACTCGTGGTGGAAGTCAAAATATTCATACCTACAGAAAAGATGAAACCACTAATAAGTTGAACTATTAGTACCTATAACAGTGTCACATGTTAAGTCAATATATTCAAACCTGCATTAGAGAGAGACAGCAGTATAGTCACTTAAACCTACTGTAGAGGGAGCCACTAGTACAAGTACTAAAACCTACTGTAGAGGGAGCCACTAGTACAAGTACTTAAACCTACTGTAGAGGGAGCCACTAGTACAAGTACTGAAACCTAGGGCCTGTTTGTTAATGCGGAACAACCCGTTTGACCGTCTTTTTAAATGTAACATTTTCAGGTATAAATCCTGGCAGACCTGTAAATGTTTATGCAGGCCTTGCAAGGCTTTGTCAAGGCTCGCCTGAAAGCAGCATCAGATTACTAGGTCAGACCTTATTTAATAAACGAACAACTGGTCAAACCAGTTCAATCGTGTAAACGAAAACGGCCCTACAGTAAAGGGAGTCACTATTACAAGTACTGAAACCTAATTCAGAGGGATCCGGAGCCACTTGATACTTACAGTAAAGGAAAAGGCTCCATATAATATGTATGTAACTTATTTACCAAAATTCAATCCCTGTGTCGGGTATGTAATGCATTTGTATATCTTGTTTATATGAAAGGCACTGTTGCCCTACCTGAGTCTCTGGTGCTGAAGCCTGGTGATGGACTGGGACAGAGCCCTTTCTAACTGGCCTTCTGATCCTGATGAATTTATCTGACAAATAAATAACATGCTGTTCATAATGTTCATTTTGTATAGACGAATGAAATTTTGATGTTTTCCTTTTCCCTTTTTTGTTTGTACTTTGCTTTAAAAAAATCAGACACTACCATTTTGTTGAAAAGTGAGCAAAAAAATCAACTGGTTTTTCTCTCACCCCTTTAATGTCCATTGAAGCTTAGTATGTAGTCAGAACTGAAAAGTCTCAGATTTGTTATTTATTTACTGTTGTTAACAGATCCTGTCACTCACCAGATTGACAGCCACTTGCTCCCCGTAGTAAAACACTTGGTCCTCTATGTGGCGCTTGAACACTTCATGCTAGAACATACAATGTCATTTATACTGTATGTTATATACTGTACAGCTGTAGTTGTATTCAGGTAAGTGTACCTGTATATATTTACTTACATGGCTAGCTGTATCATTGACTATCTTGTATAATATTTACTTATATGGCTAGCTGTGTCTGGCTATCTTGTATAATATTTACTTACAAGACTAGCTGTATCTTTGACTTTCTTGTATAATATTTACTTACACTGCTAGCTGTATCTTTGACTATCTTGTTTAATATTTACTTTAATAACATGGCTACCTGTATCTTTGGCTATCCTGTATAATATTTACTTACAAAGTTAGCTGTATTTTTTATTAGCCTGTACCCTATCTATTTACAAAGTTAGCTGTATTTTTTATTAGCCTGTACAGTATTTACTTACATGGCTAGCTGTGTCTGACTATCCTGTATTACATTTACTTAACATTGCTAGCTGTATTTTTTATTAGCCTGTATAATATTTACTTACATGGTTAGCTGTGTCTATGGCTATCTTGGGTTTGTATTTCAGATTTGGTCGTTGTTTCCAGAATACTGGTATTGATCCTCTTGTCTGCAAAAATGAAAAGAACACAATTTCTTACAAAATATCGATGTAAAGCTTATAAGAGCATAGCTCTTCGGCACTAGCAAAGCTCTTAAATTGTAACACATGTGTGCACAAGGAGTCACTTCCCTGCTATATGTTGTAACACATGTGAGCACAAGGAGTCACTTCCCTGCTATGTGTTGTAACACATGTGTGCACAGGGAGTCACTTCCCTGCTATATGTTGTAACAAATGTGTGCACAAGGAGTCACGTCCCTGCTATATGTTGTAACACATGTGTGCACAAGGAGTCACTTCCCTGCTATATGTTGCCATTAATATTTTCATTCAGATGCAGCAGTTATATGGGGTAACAGGAAGCATACCCTTAAACCATGATAAAACGGTGTTCCAACACATACACTTACATCTCTGCATACGTATAATCATTTTCTAGCTCTTTTCTGGTTTTGACCTTTTTTGATAATCAAAATGAATAGATATGAATTTCAAGATATTTCAACACTTTCAGCTCTTTACAAAATTTTAGTTCAATCAAAACTTTAGTTGAATCAAAATTCTATTCTCTGAAAATTACTAATTTTTTTGCAAGAAATAAATCTGTGAGCAATTCTATACTGACAATTCATCAAATTCATACAATTTAACAAAGGTACAAATAACCAGATACTACCAGATTATGTAAAGTAACATACATTCAGGTAACATGGGTAAGATAATGACGTGTTTTAATACTAAAAGTGCGAGTGCTGATTTCAATGATCTTTATTAAACTTGGGGACTTATTATATAGCAGGTTATTTTAGCAGAGCCTTAATTTGACAATTTGGTGGGCCTGCACATTTCTATTTTTGCTATGTTGCATTCCGATTCTTGGTAAACTCATGAGAATATCAAATAACAAAGGTTATTGATCGTTGTATTGTAATGGTATTAGTTATAATGCCGACAGACACAAAAGAAAACCTGGTTGACAGTGTTCATGATACCAATGGGATATATAACATCTTCATCTGTATTAATTAGATATATTACATCCTTACCTGCATTAACGAGAGAAAAAAAAGTCTTACCTGTACTAACGAGAGATGTAATGGCCTTACCTGTACTAATGAACACTTCTGCCCGTCGTATTGCACAATCTGTTCCGTCTCAACATAGTTAGCCACCTGTCCCTCGGTGTCTATCCCCCGTACATAGAAACGTGTTCCGGCCCGGTATATACATCGCCGAGAGATCAGAATGTAGTCGAACGGCTTGTTGTTGATGTTACAGGATTTCACAGTAATGACTGGTGCGAAGTTAGGGTAGTATAATACAGCGTTAATGTACAGTATCTCACCGGTTCAGTTAACTCATTTAACCCCTGAAATTTCATAATGAACTAATCCAACCACTGAATTGGAAGAGTTCAAATGTGTCTTCAGGGGTGAATGAGTTAAAGTAGTATGATCTAGGAGTAATGTAATGTCTTAGAAGACAAATCAGCTAAGTGAACCGCTTTCTACCTTGAGGGTATGACCAAAACATCTCAACCCTAAGAATAAGATTTTTTAATGTCAAACATTTCAGGAAACTTCCGTTTTGAACTTTAATGAATCTTATGCCAAAAGTTAAGAATTCTTTGCCATGCCCTTAACTCATTCACCCCTGAAATTTCATAATGAACTGTTCCAACCTTTAAATTGGAAGAGTTCAAATAGGTCTTCAGGGGTGAATGAGTTAGGGTTGGAAAGATTCTCCTATTGGCTCTGGTTTCAAGAATAGCCTATAGCTAGGGATCAATTTATAGAAGGATACAGCCAAGGAGAATGGGGAGACAGTATCGACCAAGTTCTGGCTGCTGGGTGAGCTCCTTCATCAGATGTCCATTCCACAGGAAGCGTGCATCTGCCTGAAGGACAAAACAGAGGCTATTATTAAATGTTTCTGAGACAGAAACAACAGTACTGTTTCATTGGAATATGATACAAACATTGAGGTAGGTCTAAAGTTACAAATAATCTTAGGTTACACATATTTACAGATAAAACGTAAAACAGGTTGAATGTTTGGTAGACACAGCAGGGTCTATACTTACACGTTCATGAAGTGGCATGCTGAGGAAATCTGGGCTGGTGTTTTGGAGTCGTTGTAGCGAGTGAGTGATGTCATACGTCGTAGAGAAGTAATAGCTTTCGGTTTTCAGAGCCAGCTCGATCATAGATAGGTAGGTCCTGTTGTCCATAATCTACACATAATGAGAAAAGTTTAACAGTCATTAACGAAATGTTAATTTATTGCAAATTCACCAATGCCTAGCATCTAGTAAAAAAATCATATATAACTTATAACATTTAGGAACATGTTTTTTATATTCTGTTAAAATGATCTATTGCAATCAGCTGTCAACCTGGGATATTGTGAGATATATAGCAACTGCTCTTCAATACATGGAGACATCTTTTCATTTTTCTCTCTGTCAGATAGAACTAAAACTGTAAACCAAAATCTAACTTTAACACATTACTACTGTATATATGTATCAGCATCAGCAGTAATAAATCAAAAGTTGTGAGAAACAGAATACATTAGTAGCCAGTGATTCACGATGTTACAGCAAATATGTTCCTGAAAAATGTACACAATTTTAAGCCTGATATTAAGGTATGAAAAACATTATGCCTAACTAAGTATTTCTGATGTTTAAGTTTCAAGGCAACCCAAACCAAGGACGTATTTGAACAGATAAATTTACAATTTACAACAAGGGCAGCAACTCTTACTTACTAACAGGAGGCACACACCTTCACACGAGGTTTAATGAGTAGGTAAAGTCTATCTGAGCTCAGATAAAAATTAAGTAAGATATTACTTATCAGGGTAAGATCATATCTACAAATGAAATATGCAAGCTGCCACCCATCCACCCAATGACTACACTCAATGTTGCAAATCCCAGCGTTACACTGCATTGCTGGAAAAGCTGTCTTGCCAGTAAGACAGTAATTTTCCTTCATATTTCGGGCTGCTACACATACAGATGGTATTATCCAGTATATACCCTTTGTGGTGTTATGGAGCATCTCACCTGTTTCTCCGTCAGATGGAGCATGGTCTTTTGGTAAGAGTACAAAGCTGTGTCTGTGACCCGCCATATTGTCTGGCCGCCAACGTCTCCCACCTTCTCTCGATTCGTTATCACGATCAGGTAGGGCCCTAAATGGACAGGTAGATATCAAACATACAATGATATTACATAACCAGGTAGTGTATTTTAGCCGGGCATGTACCAAACTTTTATAGGAAAACATCAAGCTGGAGAAAACAGTATATTAATCAATAAAGCTTGACCACTTTTGATATTTTAAATGTTTATTTGTGTCCGTTATGTGTTTCTTTTGTGTGTCTTTTCTCTGTGTTCAGTTCTTTATTTCATCTCTTGTGTCAGACATCACGCCGGGCAAATACTGTTACTGCTGTGTAGTTTCCGTCAGTCAATTTTTACTGCCTGCTGTAACTCCATACATTGTTGTATGCATTGTAATTTCTTAAACAGTTGTGGAGGGAATTAAGATATTATCTGCCAATTGCCAGGGCCTTGGTGACAAGGTTAAGCGCAAGGATGTTTTTACTTATTTAAGGGATAGGCAATACAATATCTACTGTCTGCAAGATACTCACTTTACCGATGAACAGGAAGAAATATTACTGAGTGAATGGGGCTATAACTGCTATTTTAATTCTTTTAAATCTAATGCAAGGGGGGTAGCAATACTTATCAATAACAATTTTGAAGTCAAGGTGATAAAGGAAAAAAAAGACTTGACAGGGAATTTTTTGGCATTGGATCTAGAAATTGAAGGTAAGAAAATAACTTTAATTACATTGTATGGTCCAAACTCTGACAACCCAACTTTTTATGATAAAATAGAAGAAACTCTCTATGAGTTTAAAAATGATAGCTGTGTTATTTGTGGGGATTTTAATTTAGTTCTTAATCCTGATTTAGATTGTGATAAAAGCTACAAAAATGTTAATAATCCAAAGGCTCGTGAAAGGATATTAGAAATAATAAATAACTTTGATTTAGTGGATGTTTTTAGAGAACAGCATGCTGACATTTCCAGATATACATGGCGCAGGAGTAAACCTATCAAGCAGGCTAGGTTAGATTTCTTTTTGGTTTCTGGGAACTTATTACAAAGTGTATGTGAGACAAGTATAGATCCAGGTTACAGATCAGACCATTCTTTCCCCAAAATTATGTTAAAATTTAACGAATTTAAAAAAGGTAAAGGTCTATGGAAGTTAAATAGTTCCTTATTATATGACCTGGAATATCTTAATATAATTAATGATACTATTAAAACAGTTAAATTACAGTATTGCCTTCCTATATATAATCCTGAAAATATAGATGATATACCTGATTCAGATTTACAGTTTGTTATAAATGATCAGTTATTTTTAGAAACACTATTAATGGAAATTAGAGGTAAGTCAATTTCATATTCTTCCTATAAAAAGAAACAGTGTTGGGCAAGGGAAAAGACCTTAATAGATCAAATACAGGAACTGGAAAATGAGAATAATGTAGACTTAGACAAGTTACTTGAGAAAAAAAAGGAATTGGAAAAGATTAGAGTACATAGGATAAAAGGGAGTATAATACGTGCAAAAGCCTTATGGATTGATGAGGGTGAAAAACCTACCAATTATTTTTTTAATTTAGAAAATAGACATTTTACATCAAAAATCATTCCAAAGTTACAACAGGAAAATGGGGAATTTCTAACTAAACAAGTAGATATATTAAATGAGGTGAAATTTTTTTATGAACAATTGTATTCTATTGATAATGAAGTCGATGACATAGATTTGGATGAATTTTTAGAAGATTTTGATGTTCCAAGATTAAATGTTGAAGAAGCGGTCAGTTTGGAAGGTATTATTACACTTAAAGAAGCATCTATAACACTAAAGAATATGAAAAGTAATAAGAGCCCAGGCTCAGATGGATTCACATCAGAATTTTATAAATGTTTTTGGAATCAGTTAGGTAATTTTGTGGTTAGGGCATTAAATTATGGTTTTTCAAATGGTCAGCTATCTATTACACAACGTCAGGGAATAATTACTTGTATACCTAAGGCTAATAAATCAAAGTATTTTATAAAGAATTGGAGACCTATTTCTCTATTAAACATTGTATACAAAATTGCTTCTGGATCAATAACAAGTAGATTCAAATTAGTTTTACAAAAAATTATAAACTCTGATCAATCAGGATTTATATCGGGACGCTATGTAGGAGAAAATACTCGCCTGGTTTATGACATTATGCAATATACAGAGGAAAATGATATCCCTGGAATGTTATTAATGGTTGATTTTGAAAAGGCTTTCGATTCTGTCTCTTGGAAATTCATAGACGAAGTACTTAGATATTTTGGATTTGGAAACGATATCAGAAATTGGGTCAAAATTTTACACTGTAATTCAAGCTCTGCTATAAACCAGGGGGGTAATTTATCAGCTTTTTTCAAAATAAATCGTGGATGTCGTCAAGGAGATCCCATCGCTCCATATATTTTTATACTATGTGCAGAAGTTTTAGCAATCCGCCTTAGAAACAATAAGAGTATAACTGGTATAAAGGTTAATAACTGTCCCATCTTAAACTCTCAGTATGCAGATGACACTTCTCTGGTATTAGATGGTTCTGAAAAATCACTGAAAGGGGCGGTTGATGAACTAAATATTTATGCAAAAATATCTGGTCTTAAAGTAAATGTAGGTAAAACTGAAGTTGTCTGGATAGGCAGTAAAAAATACAGCAATGATGTTCTCCTTCCAAATATGAATCTTAGATGGGGAGTTAATAAATTTACTCTTCTTGGGATAGATTTCCATGTAGATCTTTGCAAAATACCTAAAATGAACTTTGATAAAAAATTAGTTAAACTTAAAGCTCTTATTAAGAGCTGGAGTAGAAGGTTGCTCACACCTATTGGTAGAATTAATGTCATTAAATCTTTATTAATTTCTCAGATGAATCATCTGTTCATTTCCTTACCTAATCCATCTGAAAAATTTATAAAACAGCTCAATTCTGTTCTTTTCAATTTTTTATGGAATAGCAAAACTGATAAGATTAAACGGGACATAATAATCCAAAATTATCAAGAAGGTGGGCTAAAAATGGTTAATTTAATGTCTTTTATTGAAGCTCTGAAAATAAGTTGGATAAGAAGGTTTTTTAGATCAGAAGGTAAATGGGTAAGCATTTTAAAATCTTGTGTAAATCCTCATATCTTGGCTAACTCAGGAAACGAGTACCTTAATAAAGTTCAAGGAAATTGCAAAAATGTGTTTTGGAAAGATGTGTTTAGGGCATGGTATAAATTAAGAGCAAAAGAGGAGCTGTTTAAAAATGAGAATTTTGCCCTACTTAAGACACCCTTATGGTATAACAAAAATATTTCTGTTGGTAATAAAGTTGTTTTTTATAGTAAGTGGTTTAAAAACGGGATTATGATAATTAATGATTTGTTGAAAAACAACACAGACTACTCTTTCTTGTCTTTTAAGGAATTTTGTGATCTACATGGTACAATAACTAATTATCTAGAATATCATGGCTTGATAACAAGCATAAAGAATTATCTGAAACAACTTAATTTGCCAAACAAAAATGTGATATACCCAATTATACCGTTACATCTTGTAATAATTTTAAAGAAGAAAAAAGGTTCTCAAGACTTCTATAATATACTTATCAGAAATAATGCATCAATAACTGCTCAAACAAAATGGGGAACTATATTCGACTATAATCAGGAAACTTGGGGGAAAATATATGCTATTCCTTTCAGGGTTACAAAAAATACAAAATTGCAATGGTTGCAATTTAGAATTAATCATTATATTTTAACAACCAATTCTTATTTATGCAAAATTGGACTTGTAAATAACCCACACTGTGTTTTTTGTATCATAGAAAGGGAGACAATTACCCACGTTTTATGGGAATGCAGGGAAGTACAAAAATTTCTGAGCAATTTTGAAAGTCTTTTAAGTGCTCTCACTATTCCTTTCTCACTAAATAAAGAATCAATGATCTTTGGTTTTATCAACCAAACTGGAATTTATACCAGAATTGATAATGAAATTACTCTGTTCATTAAACAATATATATACAAAACCAGATGTTTTCATAAGTCACTTAATGTGACGGCTTTAGTCAATTCGATTAAAGATTACTATAAGGTTCAGAAATATATTGCTCGTGGTAAAGGGGAACAAGGCCTTAGAAGATTTACTTCTGAATGGGAAAAATGGTTAAAATTAGTAGAGCTTGACCTCAACTAACCCTGAATATTATGACTATTTATATTAAGTTATTAGTTGTTATTCTACTTAAAAAAAACAAAATATTGACAAATACTCACAGCAGTTATTTATTTTATTTAGTATCTTCTCAGATTTGGCAGTCTGATCTCTCTCTCTCTCTCTCTCTCTCTCTCTCTCTCTCTCTCTCTCTCTTTGTTTTGTCTATTCTATGTGTGAAAGTGTGTGAAAATTGAATGTGTCTTGGTGATTGTATAAAATCAGCATCAGATGAGGAGGATGAGGTTGCTGATAATTTCAATAGTAGATATGTGTGAATGTGTGGATATGTGTTGATGTGATGTTCTGTATAATGTACATGTTCTGAAAATCTTTGAAAATAAAAAAATTAAATTAAAAAAAAAAATAAAGCTATCAGAAATCAGGTAAAATAATCAACCATTCTTTAGACACAGTTTATCACTTTGAACAGGCCTATAAAGCAAAAGAAATTAAACTCTGAGAAAAACACATCATAAAAAGGTTCCCAAATAAAATGTCAGATTATGGTCCTTCTATATACATGTATGACAACTTGGTTGTGATTTTCGGGTGAGCCTGGTTTTAGCAGCCACCTGTCTTAAGCGGCCAATTTCTGCCGGTCCCTTGGGTGGCCTCTTAATACAGGTTTGACTGTACATATATATATGTATATACAACTGTAAATACAGGTAGCTATATAGTTGTACATCTAACAATCTGTCACATTAGCTACCATAGTAACAAACCTGCTGTGAGTCGTACCACACCAAAGATCCCATAGATCTGTTGTTTAAATGTGTCTGTCCCTGGTAATGCAGATTGTGGAGCTGAAACAAACGAATAATTACTAGATTAGGAAGGACATTCAAATTACTGTCAGGAAGTGCATGTAACAAGGGTCTATGGTATTGTTCATTTATGCTGAGGAGACAGTTTGTCTACTTTTAAATGTGACAATTCAGGGAAAACGCCAGACAGACCTGCTAATGTTAAAGCAAGTCTTGAAACTCAAGCCTCACCAGAAAACAACATCAAATCACTTGGTCCCACCTCTGTCCTTATTTCATAAATAAACAAATTTGGTCCAACCAGCCCAACCATTTGGAATTTGACAAACGAAAGCAGCCCTGATAAAACATCCATGGGTCATACTGCTCATGGAAAATGACAGAGTGTTGCTCTTACTTTGGTATGTACATTTCTTTATCTTTGTTCAAAACAGCAAATGTCTTAAATTCTCTCAAGTGGTTTAGAATTAAAACAATGTGATGGAGGTTTGCAGCTTTGTGTATGTGACTGGTAAAGTAACTTGAAAACTATCATAATTTTTATATACACACAACAGATTTGTTTTTAATTTTTCTGTTGGAAGATCTCCCATTACTCTTTAATAGGCTAGTTTTAATACATCACAATAATTTATAGTTGGTATGATTATTGGTAGCTTTTTTGTCTCATTTAATAAGGAAAAGAGATTATCATTCTTTTTTTATTTGAGGGGGGGAGGGGGGGGGGGGTATATTGTTTTGTGTTTTGTTGTATTTGTAACCATCCTCAAAATGGCAACACTGGAAATATTGCTTCTAAGTTCTAGATTAACTAAATTGAATACATTGCTTACTTATTATGGTTTGTTCCATATGATTAATTGTTCATCATGATCTTATTTTGTTATCTTCCTTTTTCATATATATATATGTTCATGTACCACATTTGTTTTCTTTTGTATACCTATTTTGCACAAATAAAAATTTCTTTTGTATACCCATCTTTCAATATATATATCAGTCACAGACAGCATGCACCGCTACATAAAATACATTTACTTCCTGTTAGTGACTTTACCAGTATTACACACATATGGTTGGTACAAAGTCCTAGTGCCCGGAGCTTTGATTAACACTGTATTTAACTTACGTGTATAAACATAGCCTGTGGCAACTTCCCATGATTGATCTTCTCAGAGCTGTTTGATAAATTAGAATTTATCCACTGAACAGGTCATACTAGACACTGAGTTTTGTCTTCACTTGTTACTTGTTTACTACTTTTATTGAGAAGACAATAGTGGAAGGTATCAAATGTGCATTTACCTATCTCTCCATATTTGCACAAGGATATTTAAACGACCTTTCAAAACCTCATCTTGTGCTTAAATTAAGTTCCATAATATAAGCTACCAATAATCATACCAACTACTCAAAAAAAAAAACGAAAATGTACATCACGTTTTCTAAGGTAATCTGCCAAAAAGATGGTAGGATTTCAATCAGTGCTGGTAAACAACTTTTGTCCTTTTCTGATGCCTGAACATGTTAAACACTGACCCTCGAGAGATATTTCGTGTGATATCCTGTCAATCACAAGAAGTTCACTGACTCCGGCATTCTGGGGCGCAATCAGGAACTTGTCTGCAGTTATATGTCTGAAAAATTAAGAATAAAAAAATCAACATATAAATTATGAAAATATTACATTTTATCACCTTTTTTATGCTAACTATGAAGGTGAAAATAATGATTATGAATACCTGTATCTTTGGGATATTTATTTATATATATGTAATGGTATGTAGTATGTGTCCCTTAACTTTCAAACATTTTGAGCACATGTGATATCTACTAAACTACACACAAACCTGTAAAACATTTTTTATGAGTGGATCTTTTATCCATTTAGTGAAAACAAAACAAGTGTTAGAAGACTCACTTAAGTATATAAATATCTCAACAATTCATTTCAAATATTGGGTTTCATCATTACTTTTGAATGACCTGAATAATGGAATGAATTATAATTATATAAATGTACAGATAAACCCAGTATAACCTGGTAGAGTCATTGATTGGCGGTTGATTTCTGTTGAGCTGATATACATGTAATATATATATACCATGTATCAGCTTCATTTTTAATGATGCAATAGTATTATATGTGTATATAGAAAACTAACAGTCCCCTAATAAGTAAATCACTAATCACATGTGATGATGTATCAATCTCATCTTTTTTATCTGTAATGTATATATGCAGGAAGTCAGGATCCATTAAATATTATTGTCCATGTCACATGAAGTTAAATTATTTATACTTATATCTTACATGTACCTATAGTTTTTATCTGTCTATGTTGATATAAATGTACCTATAGTTTTTATCTGTTTATGTTGATATACATGTACCTATAGTTTTTATCTGTCTATGTTTATATACATGTACCTATAGTTTTTATCTGTGTATGTTGATATACATGTACCTATAGTTTTTATCTATTTATGTTGATGTACCTATAGTTTTTATCTGTCTATGTTAATATACATGTACCTATATATTTCATCTGTCTATGTTGATGTACATGTGCCTATAGTTTTTATCTGTGTATGTTGATATACATGAACCTATAGTTTTTATCTGTCTATGTTGATGTACATGTAACTATAGTTTTTATCTGTCTATGTTGATATAAATTTACCTATAGTTTTTATCTGTTTATGTTGATGTTCCTATAGTTTTTATCTGTCTATGTTGATGTACATCTACCTATAGTTTTTATCTGTCTATGTTGAAGTACATGTACCTATAGTTTTTATCTGTCTATGTTAATATACATGTACCTATATATTTCATCTGTCTATGTTGATGTTCATGTACCTATAGTTTTTATCTGTGTATGTTGATATACATGAACCTATAGTTTTTATCTGTTTATGTTGATATACATGTACCTATAGTTCTTATCTGTCTATGTTGATGTACATGTACCTATAGTTTTTATCTGTCTATGTTTATGTACATGTACCTATAGTTTTTATCTGTGTATGTTGATATACATGAACCTATAGTTTTTATCTGTTTATGTTGATATACATGTATCTATAGTTTTTATCTGTCTATGTTGATGTTCATGTACCTATAGTTTTTATCTGTGTATGTTGATATACATGTACCTATAGTTTTTATCTATTTATGTTGATGTACCTATAGTTTTTATCTGTCTATGTTTATGTACATGTACCTATAGTTTTTATCTGTCTATGTTGATATACATGTACCTATAGTTTTTATCTGTTTATGTTGATGTACCTATAGTTTTTATCTGTCTATGTTGATATACATGTACCTATAGTTTTTATCTGTCTATGTTGATATACATGTACCTATATATTTCATCTGTCTATGTTGATGTACATGTACCTATAGTTTTTATCTGTGTATGTTGATATACATGTACCTATAGTTTTTATCTGTCTATGTTGATGTACCTATAGTTTTTATCTGTCTATGTTGGAGATTATCAGTACATATGTTCCGATTTGATTTGATAAATACTTTTTATTAATATCTTTCCACTCTTCCCCCAGACTACAGTTAGACCGAACAAAAAATCATTGTGTTTCCTGTAACATGTTTGAAATAGTTTGGGGGCGGTAGGTAAAAATAAAAAAAAATAAAAAACACTTTTATACAGTTTGTATAGGAGAGCGATCTTGACTTTAACATAGCTTCGTTGAAAATTAACTAAAAGTTTTCAAGGCAGGCATTTAAACTTAGAGTAGGTAGGGTTTCCAGAAACACGTTATATGTTTTGCTTGGCCTTAGAAAACTGAAAGATTCAAACTTCTTACAAATAAAACATCACATACATTCTCTTACATATTTTGTATATAAAATTTGTATATTTGTGTAATTATAGGTAAGCAAACATGTTTTCATTCCATCATTTGATGGTCACAATTCATTTCTTCATTCATCATTTAAATGATTATTTATGCATCAATCTTTTACCCAACCCAAGGTTTAAACATTGAATATTCTTATATAAAAATTCCACATAATACATAACACTATTAACATTTCAATTTGAATCAAATACATTCTTGAGCAATTACATATGACTCAAGATGACTAAATAAGCATCTATGGGTAAGGAAATCAATATCAATACTGTACTAGGTTTATCCTAATTACAGAGTAGCACTTTTAATTTGAACTTAAATCTAAATTTAACGGAACTTAACTGACTGTATTATTTATATTACATTGTACATTTTGTTTAATCAATACTATTATCATGCACAATGTATTGTATGATTTTGAGTCCGGTGAACAGGATTTTTCAAATCCTGTATGTACCAGAATAAACTTAAGTTATTAGGCAAATCAAATCAAATGCCTTTTTCAGAAGCAGAATTATTTCCTAGACTGGGTCGATCATCGGCCACTAGGTAGCTCAATTGGTAGAGCGACAATCTAGAGTTGGGAAGGTCCTGAGTTCGAACCCCAGTCTGGCTGTGCATTTTCCCCACTTCTACTGCACTATAAAGACAGATATTCTTATTTTTTGTAATATATTGTAATTTTATATGAGATCTATTACTTTGTTGCATCGCGACACTCTGAAGAATCACTTTATTTTTCCAATATCATGCTTTTGTGTGTGATAATTTGCCAAAATCACAAGGCACATGCATGCCTCTGTCGAAAGAGTAGAAAAATCACTGACAGGTGATCATCATGATAGAAGTCGTGATATCTATTATGTACAGTGCATTATAATTGTCAACATATCAGTTGTATAATTGTTCATTTGATCTATAACACACATATATTTTTTTTCATGAAAATAAATGCCTACGGTGCTGCAAGGAAACCTACAACATAAATACTTAGAACTGCCAGCTGACTCGGTCATATCACTATCAGTCATGAGCAGCCGGCACGTCATCAGACAGGTGTATCACTCATATCACAAACAAAGTAAACTAGACTCACTCCTTTTTGGGGGATATACCAATCGGCTACGTTCACAACAACATTATGTTATGCTCGGGACATTACATTAAAGATAAAACGAGTAAAATTGTAAACAGTACGCCCACTTACAATTGCAGCGATTCGTAGACCGCCATTTTGGACCCAAAATACTTCCTTACCGACCGACAGGAAAGAGTTCCGATTTTCTGTCGGTTAGTTTATCTAAGCATAGTTAGCTTCCTGTAGAATATGGTCAGAATACAGAAAGACGATATAGGTCTTATGCCAATTGAAAGGAACATACATCTCAGAGAATGTTATCAGGGTTTAAAATTCTGTGTCAACGATAAATTGTTTTTGTAGATTTTAAAGAATGAAAGTATACTTTGTAATTAAAAAATAACAAGTCAAGAAAAAGAAGCTTAAAATTGAACTAGTAAAGACAATGAAGATATAATGTATACTATGTACCGGAACATTATTAGTCAGGATACTTAATTTTTGACAGTATATTTTACATTTTATCCGTACGTGTACAGTTTACGTCATTGTAATTTGGTGTATTGTGTGTATAGTGACATCTCGTTAATTCGGCTCAGTAAAATCGTACTTTTGTGTTGTGTGTAGTGATAAGTCGCTAGTCCGTATATTTTGGTGATTTCTGTAGTGACACCTCGTTAATCCGTATACTTCTGTGTTGTAACGAATATTAACAACTCGTACAGGTAATCCTTTGTTTGGGATATATTTGGGATGTATCGGGTATGAGTGTTGGTTAACGTTGTTGACATATATGGTCATGGAGTGTTTGATGTGTTAAGGGGGTGTTATTGAAAGTTAAGGTAATTCAAGGCATGCCTGTGTGCGTATATGTTACTATGAATTCGTGTGTGCTGAAGGATTGATTTTGATGTATTTGCTCCTTTTCGATAGCGAGGGTCTGATATCAACTTTAGAGTGCTAATTCATTGAAATAAATACCATGCATGCTGACCCAGCAGAGAATTTCACCGGTAACATTATAATATAACCCGTTGTTGCAATTACGCCTAAATGCTGAACATTTAGCAGGGCAATACCAACCAAATTGTTTAAGGACTTCGATCAGTACAGAACCCTGACCGGCACACCACACTGCCTTCTCCACTTGGGGAACGTTCGATCAACACTAGGACCAAAAGTGAGGTATTGTCAAAGATTCATTGTTCGGAAGTAGAGAGAAAATAGATAGATGCCAAAAGCTGATTTCGCTTTAGCAAACCCGCAAAGCCGATTACAACATATGCATTGGGTAATGCTCGCCTTGCAAGGTTGATGTGGTGTGTATGGTATTCTAATAGGTAACACGTTGTGGCGATGATGTGTTGATGGAGTTAGTGGTATGGTGCTTGTCTTGTGGGAGATTAGGTAGTGCTATTGCGAAACATTAATGGAAAGAAACAAAATCTTGTGCTGCATTCGTTTATTGCGATCCGAACGGTGGGACCGGTTGGACCCTAGTTGTTCGTTTATAAAATAAGGTCGGACCTATTAATCTGATGCTCCTTTCAGGCGAGCCTTGATAAAGCCTCGCAAGGCCTGCATACACATTTGCAGGTCCGCCAGGATTTATACCTGAAAATGTTATATTTAAAAACAGACAAGCCGCTTATACGTGTAAGGGTCCTTGGTTTTCCACATTTGAGTCACCTTCCCCCAAGAATACTAAGATTATACGTGTTGACGTTCATATATGGTTGATAAGAAAATGTTGCTAATAAAATTGCACTAGACTTCAAGATGGGAACAAAGCATAACATAGTTGTCTACATTGTCATCTGATAGCGTGACCACCGATGCCTATCATACTACCATCATACATCCCTAATCCTGTCATTTGTGATCGTACCTGGTATTTATTTATAATAAACTGTATATCATCACGTAACGTGCACCTGGCAATCTCTGGCACTCAACCAATATCGGTAGTATATGTGGGGATTCTGCTTCATGGCGTCCTTTCCATTATACGCGTTCGCCACATCTACGAGATGTCGAGCTATATTAGAAGCTATTGCGCTTTCTTTGGACATTAACTTGCTTTGACCAATGAGCGTGAACAACAATATAACGCATGTGTACACATTTTTTCTCTCTCTTACATGTTTCTTTTTCGGTTCGCCGTTTCCCTCTTGACACCCATGGTAAACCCTGTTGTCAGAATTCAAATACATCTAGTACGTAGTCTTGTCACACGCGCGCACACGTTTTAAAGGGACGCCGTTTTACTTTATATTTTATTGAAGTGATATCACCTAATCATAAATAGAGAGATTAATAGATGTCTAACGTAATCGTTATAGCATGTCACCATAATGATATTACTATAATGATATCACTACAATGATTACGTAATATAACTGAATCATTTGGTGATATAGCCATTTTATTTAATGATAAAAATTGAACCTTATTTATTCTACAACTAATGTGAAACAAGTTATATCAACTTAAATCACTCTTTGGCCCGGATGGTAGCACGCCGGTGTCCTAATGTGAGAGGAAATATCATGTGGTCGAGCAGGAAGCTCCATACCTTTTTTACGTCCGATCGGGGAATCGAACCCAAGCCGATCTGGTGAAAGGGGCGTGCGTGCTATCCAATGCGCCACCCGACCGCCCATTAAGTGATATCAGTGATATCAACAATTGAGACTGAATACGTGATAGTTTTGTTATGTATTGATGATATCACTATAACGAAAAGGTGATATCGCCATTCTGTAAAATTCAGGACAACACGTATTTTTTATGGTATATTTCTTTTAAAGACCTAGACAAATATTTCTCAATAGTGACAATGACAAAACTTTAATTTAACTTAGCTGGTACTCTGTACCACAATGGTACCGAAGTTTACAGTATTTGATTGAAACATACCAAGTTTACTTGTGTCGATTTAAGTGTAACAATTTTCTTTGTGTACTTATATAGGTTTTTTCCTTTCCCGAATTACTTTTTTAAGTGTAGTGCCAGGTCCCTTTGAGACGGCGAGTCGACTGTATCGCGCGAGGTTTGTGTCAGTACATTACACGCCCAGTTCGGTACAAGTCACGTGCATTTGCATGTCAGTATTGTCATTTATGTTTCCATTTCTATCCCTAACAGGCTCTACACAGCCAAATTACTGTCGGTTAGAGATCAAGTGGATGCATAATTAATAAAGGGATAGGAAACAGAAATCAATTTCCACTGTAAACATGTGATCTACCGGTTCATTATGTCTATTTCCAATCAGTCAATTTAAGTCATTCACGCGCGAGCCCGTGCAGTAATTAACACAGTCATGACATCGAGTGAGAGGCGTAAATTAATTTGCGTTATTTCGGTATAAAACGGAAGATTCTTGCTAAGTTAACCATTACAACGTGTACATTTTAAAGTTGAATGAAGTTATCCATCTAGATCAATTTAGGAATCGGTTGATCTATCAATTGGAATGAAGATCTTCATGTGTATAAGAAATGGATGTTTCCTTAAAAACAACTTAGTTGACGTTCGGGACGGAGTCAAAACGAGAAGCTTGCAAATTGAATTCTTATGAGGCTTTGTGACGTTTTGATATTAAAAAATACCCTCAGTAATTTTAAAACCATCTTTCATGAGAGTCGACTACTAGGAAAACTTATGTTTTGAGTGACTTAATCTTGCTTCTTTGGATAATAACCTGTTAGGCCGTTCTCCTGTACTAAGAACGACTCTACAAAGGAAATTAAGTATGTGAAACAGACAATACAATATAATTAGTAAAAGAAATAATTCATCTGAAAACACATTGCTTTGAAAACGAACTGTAAGCAATGTTATAAATGCACTATATCAGTCAGTGAAATTGGATGCTGTTCTTGCCGTTTCTTTGCACTTTCGCTTCCAATTACATTACGGACAACCTGCTTTGAGGGAACACCGACGTAATTGCGACTTCCTTAACAATGAAGCGGAGACGTGCCAAGCTTCGCATCGTGGTCGGAATAACGTTTGTGCTGTTGATCTCCAGTATGGTCCTTTACTATAGCCTTTTCTACAAACCAATAGCTTCCGTTTGTCGACGTAACTTCAGGAAGTATCCGCATTCCGTGTATACGATGTCCAACGGGGAATGGACACAGAATTCTGGTGTTTGCGGAGAATGTCCAGACTTTTGGAACGCAACGCTTGTGTCTCCTGCTGGAAAAACGCCCATGTTCATACACAACCCTCAATTCGATGAAGAGATATCCGCAACTCTAAAACGGAAACATGCCTACGAACCGGAAACAGCTGTTGTGTTGTTCGATCTGTTGAAAAATGAACCAGAAGCAAATTTCATCGACATTGGCGCAAACATAGGCGTTCATACATTACCAATTGCTCAATATGGTCGCAAAGTCATTTCCGTTGAAGCGTTACATTTTAATATCGAACCCCTATGTGCTTCCGTAGATGTGGGGAATTTGCACGACAGGGTTACCATAGTACATAATGCCATGACCAATAGAAGGGGGATAGTAACCCTTGGAGCCGATGATGGAAACCTGGGAGGAACATTTGTTGATGTTGACTCCAAACATGTCAAAGCATTGAAAGGAGGAAGGATACATGGCAATTGGTTGAACCCGGTAAACACCGTGACCTTCGACGACCTCTTGGATCTGCCGGTAATAAGTGATTTCTCTAAGGTACTCGTAAAGATAGATATAGAAGGATCGGAATATAAAGCTTTACAAAAATCAAAATTGTTTTTTCAAAGAACAACAGTAATAGGAGTATTTATGGAATGGGAATTTCACCGGAAAATGCGTTCTGGAGAGGATATTATCAGGTACATGGAAAACGCCAATTTCGTGCCTTATTTCCCAAGTAAGGCCAAGACAATTTTAAACACCAGAAACAGCTCAACTTGGCCGTATGATGTTATGTGGCTTCCAAAATAATAGGTTTAATATTGTTCTCATCGTAAACCACATGTATGGCGCTGACTCTAGTGACAAGGAGACACCGGAGTTGTTCGACGTTCAGCGTACTAGCTAGCGTATCCTTATTATCCTGCCGGTGTATTGTAGCGACAGACGAGGAGGATACAATCCTGAAAGGTAGCCATAATATAAGACAATAATAAATTGTTATCTAAATAAAATATTTGTGTTTAATTTTTCTATGGTTATACCTTTTGAGATATGTATAAGCTTTCCAGAGCGTGAAGTTTACCTGTTGATATACCTGCCTTTCAATCAGGTGCATCAGAGTGGTCACCTGGAAAATGGGCCACCAGCGTATACTTATTGCTAAATAATCAACTCGGAAACAAAATACATGTATTATAGACGCCGTGATCTCATATTAGTGGCCTCTGATTATGTTTGATAAAACAGCGACCTCCTCACATTTATCGCCTCTCCAAGGCTTTCGGGAGAGGCAATAAACTTCATTTAAAGGATGTTCGATTTGGCAATGAAGCAACCATGCAGAATGTGTTATAAAATCAGCCCTGGTAGTAATTAAACTTGAGGTTTTGAATTATTTTGTATCTCGTTGTGCTTGTGTTCGTCTCTCGATGCCGGTGAAACTTGTTGTATCTGTAGGTATTATCCGCGCCTAGCCGGAATTGGCCGAGAAGTTGCGATTGGGTATTGTTGATCTCCCGGCAACTTTTGGTAAGATTCCTTCGGAAAGACGCCAACGTTCTTGGCTCAAATGACTGATCACGAATATTAGGTACATTGTATGGTTTCTTTGCAATATAGAATTGATCAAGGTTCAAGGGAAAATCGCACTGACGCTTATTCACCCTACGATTCTCAGACATTAAGGTTACTCGGACATGCAGACCCCGATTGTTCAAAAGTTGGTAAGAGTTAACCAGTGGTTAGGTAAGATACAGAAATAGGAATACAACAAAATCAAGAACACGGTAATAACCGTGGTCTGCATGTCTGATTCATGAGGACTGTTTGTTGCTCTCACGTGCTGCATTTTACACTGATTTCAAGTAACAAAGCATATACAATGTTCGCTGTAATACAAGTACGAGTGGTCCCTTAACAAATGCATTTGTGTACCTTTTGAGTACAGACAGGGGTACAGTTTGGATTTGTTGTTCTTTCGAGTTTTAAAGCAGACATTTATAATAATTGGTGCATTGCTAGGGAGATAGCGTAACCATGGGAGTTCCGATGACGCGGGTCGTGCGATCCCTCCTCTGAATCAAACAAAAATCCAGTTTGAATTTATTAAAAGTTATTAGGTTATATTGCTGATACCATCCCATTAGCAGAGTACAGAAGGACCGAAGTCGTTATTTTTGTCTCCTCCATGCTAGTGTATGTTGGTACAATAGCACGGGAAGTTAAAGCATGTTTATCTTCCAGATGATTTTGAGCGCGCTGCGTGTTAGTATTCAAGGTCAGTATGCATGTATACATGCAGAGAAACAGCGATATACATGATAACGCTAGTTTCCACAACTTTAATTATCTTTTATCAAGTCTGAAGTTCTCAAAAAAGCAAAAAAAAAATAAAAAAAATAAAAAATTTACGAGTTTAAATGTCGGTCTCTGGTTATCCAGTAAAAGATATCGTGTGAATTAAAGATAAGATTAACATGGGTGCCTTGTTCTGTTTGTATCCAACAGAAACGGAACACAAATATTCTCTCGGAGTAGTATGAATAATTAACTTGTCCCTAGAGAATCAAACAGCTGCTGTTCCTAGCTACTTCTGTAAAAGTACTTATTTTAGCGAACTTAATTCTAGTGCATTTTCGAATCTTAACAGTAAACGAATAGATGAATTAGCACTCATAGCATATGCAATACGAAATTACATTGTATATATACAGACAAAAACATATAGTGCGAAAAGCGCTAAAATTAAAGTACCGCTAAATGATGTACGTTTGCAGTGATTCGGAGACAGCAGATTGCCCAAAGAAACATACAATATGCTGCTTGCTATTTTTTTTATAATAAAATTAAATAAATCAGATTAAAATAGGATTTCTTCTAATTATTACAGAGAAATTTTATTTCCAGTGACTTTGATTATGTTAAGGTTATTTGAATTGTAAATCTATTTCAATAAGCTATCAAAGATGTACTGTAGCATTCACAGCATCATTTCCCTCGATACCGAATCTTGCATCCCTGTTTAATTTTCGAAAGATCTGCATGGATGCAAAAATGTGTACGAGTTGGCGGAGATATAGAAACGGGGTCTGTCCATGCGTCTGGTTAAGAAGAATTGCTCCCATCTATATCTTTCCTACTACAGGTGCTATGTTGATTATACTTGCATCAATTGTGTATCTAGGGTTGCTCTACTGAATGCATATTGTGGATGCTGATGTTGACCTATATTTTACGCTTCGTGTTTATGATGACTCCTGCACTGCGAGCGGGGGATATCGATGACAGCGTCTTTGTTAGTTTTAAGTGAAGGGGAGATGCATATAGAAAGTACAATCTTTACTTCCTGGCTAACACAGAATCTCAAAAAGCCTCTGGTCCAGTACAGTGATTCTTAAGCATTTTCACAACAGTGACATAGGTCTTTCCCTTTGTATTGAAGGTAACACAGTTTGTGTCCATTACTAAGATGTCAAGAGTCTATTCATTTATAAGAAAAGAAACACTTTTCAATTGTCTTCTCATACATATATCTGTTTGACCTTCTGACTTATTTGTCTCTTTGTGCTGATGGTTTAGTTTGACCATCCGTGTTTATACAAGACATTATGACATACTTGAACAACATTTGGACATACCTATGACTTAACTATGGACCCCTGTCCAAATGCACTCAGGTTTTTCGTATATATAGTAACCTCCCCTTAATTTTATTTTGGATAAAGGTACTGTAGAAGAGTTGGGCCAAGGCAGTCCCATTACCAGGGCCATTTTCGTTTAAACCGGTCGGACCACAGTTGTTCGTTTATGAAATAATGTGGGACCTGGTAATATGATGCTGCTTTCAGGCGAGCCTTGACAAAGCCTTGCAAGGCATGTATAAACATTTGCAGGTCTGCCACGATTTATACCCGAAAATGTTACATTTAAAAACGGACAAACTGGTTGTTCCGCACACACGAACAGGCCCCAGGTAGCTCAGTCAGTTAGAGCGGTGATATAACAATCTTCATGGGTAGGAAAGTCAAATGCAGCAGTGTCTGATAATACATAGTACATATATCTGTACCTTTCTGTATCCAATCTGACTTTACGTTCCAGATTTAAGTAAGATGGAAAGACTGATAAACACAACATATTCAATCCCCTCTAAGTCCACCAGCCATACATAGGGAGGTATTAATAAAACAAACAATATGTAACTTAAGTGTCACCACAATTTATTCTATTTTACTGGCACTGTAACATAAAAGAAATAAAAATTTAATCTGATGTTTTCTTTAAAACAACCAAATACTATACATAATGTGAAACAATTTATATAAAAATAAATGCATACTTTGCATTACTGATTTGAATAGTACAAGGACCATTTCTCACCCAGTTATTATAATAACGACTAAATCTGCTACTTAACGAAAACGAATAAGCTTGGCTTAAAAAATAAAAAATAACTAATGGAGGGAATCATGGAATTATTACTCTATCTTTCGGTTCAACTTTGGATAATTAACATAACTATCACGGATCCATAGGTCAGTATATATATTAGCATCATCAACTGACCAGACAATATATAGTGGCACTTTTAATCAACCCTCATTGTGTTTTTGCCAGCCTTCAAGCTATAGCGTGATGTCACCTGGTTACTAAATCACACAATGCCGAGTTTTATTGTGATGTCTCACATACGACCATTCACCCCTTGGGCATTAGATAAGGGATCTCAACCAGAGGGAGAAGATTTTGAAGATGCTAAACAGGAGGCTTGCAGAGTGTTGGGCAACTTAAGAATTTCCCCCAAAGGGTTGAGATTCCCATCATTTTACCAAAAGGGGCGATTGATTCTTCTTCTTTTTCCCTGTTCTAGTGTTGGCCCTGTCATATCTGAAATGCTGAAGTTGCAGGGTCATCACATTGATGACGAGACAACAACACATCGTTGACATGACGTCATACAGTTGTTATGAATATAAGAATCTTTTCGTCTCAACCATAAGGTGAGCCGAGGATATCTCACACAAGGAAATGTGCGGATACACCTGTCCAGGGTAAGAGAAATGTCCCACACGCTTGTGAGAGGGCTGTATAACAAGGATTAGTTATCTCCTGAGGTATAGGAGATTGTTACTACAATCAACTTTACTGGAACTAGTTGTAGAAAAATGTTGACTTCCAAAACATAAAAACAGAACATTAACAGAAGCTAGGTAGCTGTCCTAATATATACATAGAGTTTATACAGTGTATAGTACCAAGTTACATTGTAATATCACATATTTGCAGGAAATTCTAATTTACAAGTTATATCACATATTTACTGGAAATTGTGATGCTTCTTGTCACAATCATTCAGACCAACACTATCACTTACTGCATGATCAACTAACTACACAACCATACACCGCCCTAATGCAATATATATCACTCATCTTGCACAACCATGCACCGCCCTAATGCAATATGTAGCACTCATATTACACAACCATACACCGCCCTAATGCAAAATGTAGCACTCATCTTACACAACCATACACTGCCCTAATGCAATATGTAGCACTCATCTTACACAACCATACACCGCCCTAATGTAATATATAGCACTCATCTTACACAACCATACACAGCCCTAATGCAATATATAGCACTCATCTTACACAACCATACACCGCCCTAATGTAATATATAGCACTCAACTTACACAACCATACACAGCCCTAATGCAATATGTAGCACTCGAAAGCCTTACACAACCAAACACTGCCGTATTGCAATATGTTACACTAAGCTTACACAACCAAACACCACCCTAATTCAATATGTAGCACCCGGATATCTTACACAACCATACACCGCCCTAATCTAAAGGTAGCACTCCAAACATTTTACACTTCCATCACTGGTTCATCGTAATATTCATCATAAATGAAATGCTCAAAGGTTGTACACTTCACAAGAACGTTGTACTCAAAACATCTCATTCGTCATGGTCAATAACATTTCAGTAACACAAAATAACGTGCATAGAAATTGCCAGAACTCATAACTGACCAAGTATTCAATGTGTGTTTCTCCGTTGTCCCGGATACAGCAGTTGTGACAGATATGTTCGTGTATGTATCCCATCTTAACAAAATAGGTAGAAACTTGAACATCCTGAAATCAAAATCTATACTTGAAAACAGCCTTCATTTAATCTCTAGTTAGAGCTCTTACACTGAAATGTTGTCATCAAACGCCTAAATCACTTTCTGGTACGCTCTCTCAATCTAACAGATTAACAGCTAACAGATACTGACTTCACCATTAAACCTGGCATCAGTTCATCATTGATTCCTTTAGTTTGCTGATATTTTCATATCGCTGTTGTCCGACACAGATTTGAGCTCATTAACACATATTAAAGTATCGACTTGTATTTGGCGGCAAACATGACCCAGGTAGCACATGCAGACTCAGGGTAGGGATAGATCCGCACTCGCACAGCCAGCCGAACGTGATCACCACGGCAATTAATGATCTCCTCACAGACTGGAGATCTGGAAAAACAAACAGGGAAAATTGACACCTAAATAAAATATAGTTTTTTGTATACAAATACTGAGACTGATCTCTGGAATACATACTTATCTGAGGCATGTGATAAATACTTTTAATCCATTCTACTTAATTAAATATCTGACCCAACAACCTGCATAAAGTACATGTACATGTCAAGACCTGTAACTTACATGTGTTGTACTAATTTCAGCCATGTGACGACCCACATGTGTGGGTCACAATCAAACCTAGATACTGTGTTCGAGCCCAATTTCTTGTGAGTGATAAATGAATAAAAATATCATATTTTGTCAATAATATGCAAGAAATTTGGAGGGACTTGAAGCTGAATACTGTTTTCAATGTTTACAATTTACTTTTTGATCATGTTTCATGATTTAAGCAAGTTACAAGAAAAGTCAGCTTGAGCATGAGAACAGTTTCACGAATACAGGTCCAGCATGCAGTGTACTCGAGGTGTCTGACAAATGCCTTACACACGTCACACTCATTTGAGATGTGTGATAAATGACTTGTGTATGTTATACTCACTTGAGACATGTGACAAATGCCTTGCGTGCGTTGCGGTGAGAGAATTGTATTGGGAAACCTTTGAACGTGTGACCGTCCGGCACGGCCTGTTTGATAGAGTCTTGAAATTCCTCATTACCAGCCGTCAGTCCTGGAAATGCAGATTACAAAACAATTAAACACTACCAAGATAATTTAAACAGCAAAGAAATATTTGAGGGTATAATAGACTTTAGTTGATATTTTAATTTTTTTGAGTTGAAGGATGTGTTTTATATCTTATTGTCTTACAATAAAATTTCACCCACTTAAAATATAGAAAAGGCCACAGCATACCTGTGACTCTTTCCATTTCATATGCTGACAACGCAGGGGTAAGGAGGTAGCTAAGCTGGTCATCCCAGGCCGTCGTCAAACCCTGGTCCTGTAAATGAATCAATACTTGTAAGGGTGATACCCACTTCTACACACCAAAACTATTCAACCTATTAATGAAGTATGGATAACGAACATTTATTTTTGTTTATGTTCACTAATTGACAGCAAACAAACATTTATACTGTCTCTAAACACTTTTATGGAACAATGACAAAAAAGGGTGAAAAGGGCATCTACAGAAAGGTGAGAGCATGTCTTTTTTATGTCTAGGAGATATAAATATATGTCACAAGACACTACCTACCCTGCGGTGTTCAAAGGTGAGAAGGCGGAGCTGCTGTTCAAGGTCGTTACTGACGAGGGATGGGTCAAGGTTAGAGGCACAAAGAGGTGGCAGGGAAGGCCACTGAGGGCTAGCGCCAGGACCGCAAACCGACAGAATGGCATCCTGTGACATTGACTTCCATCTTGACTCATTTTTCAGGTCAAATATACACACCTCAACAGAGTCCATTGGCTGAAATAAAATACAGTTTCTGGTAAAATACAGCAGATCCAGAGTCCATGAAACATGACATGGTCCATACAAACTTTAGAGCAACATTCAAGCACTTTCTCAGCACTGTTCAGTTTTCTTGGTCCATGTTCATACAACTTTCAAGGTCCAAGTTTTTGGAAAAAGGGGTAAAGATTTTAAGGGTTCAGTGTACATATACTGTTACATAACAAAACATGAAAACGAATCAAAAGAGACCTATTTTCCAGCTAATTCATACCTGACTGTTGGCGTAGAATGACTGGTGATTAAACACACAACCCACAGTCTTGTAAGGGTACTTTGGGCGGTGCTGTTTGTCTAATGGTGGGGCATTGGGGTCTATGGGTACATGTAAGTATCTGTAAAAGAATCAATTTGTATAAGATTAGCATGAACCAATAGCCTTTACTGATCAAAGAGTCAGAGATTTTTAAGTTTTATTAAAATATATCTATCAGAAACGATGCGATACTTCAGCAAAATGATTTTTTTTGAAGTAATGATCTGAATGTATAACATATTTACTGATAAAATTTGTTTCTAAACCTATAATATACTGCATCAGTTACATTTCAAAGTGTAAAACAAAGCAAAATTTTGCTAATTGTCTTTTTGTTTTTAAATCTGTGTAGAGATAAACATCTTCAAAATGGCTAGTTGTTAAAAGCTTCATAACATCCTAGTTGAGTGGTATTACCTGTGTCCGTTAAGACTCTCCCAGAATGTGATTTGGCCGTCAACTGTAATGGCCATTACCCAGGCTACCACAGCTCCCTTAGCCTTGGTCCCCACACATACATACGCATCCAGTCCAAATCCCAGAAGGAGACTACACAGCAGTGTGGCATGGTCTTCTGTGTCCTGATAGTTAAGTGTGTTCTTAATATTAGTAGCAGCATAAATAAGTAACACTATTTACATCTATCTTGATACAGGACTACCAGTTAATGACTATATTCAAGTTGTCCATTGACAGGCTTTAAATGTAAACTCCATTTTTCCCACACTGTGAACCCCATTACTCTTTCGAGATTACAGTGAAGCTTAGCCTATTCACCCCATGCTTTTAACACGTGAACAGTTGAGCTCGTCTCTTATTCTACTTTTGAACAATAAAACTCATCCATTTTCCCCACACATGAACAATAAAACTCATCCCTTGTTCCTACACTATACAGTAACACATGAACAGTTTTTGCAATACACATAAACATAATGACTTACCCCCTTGTTCCTGCACATGAAGGCGTGCATGTTGGTCCACTGCTCTGTACGGGAACCTCCTCCAAGCATTTGTATGCGCTCGTGGTGGATGAGACTGACGAAGCGAGCTGCGTGCCGTGCCGTGTCAAGCAGTCGTCCGGCTCTTAACGGCTTTACAAATGAGCACACAGGTCGGTTTGTGGCATTCTCATCCTGTTAGTGACAACAGGAAAAGAATATTATATTACTATATTACCTGTGATAAGCCTTTTGGGCCAACATATTATCTCCGACTCAAAGGTAGAAGGTTGACTTATAACAGGACCAGGAAAAAACATTTGTTGGAATATCTACAGAACTGCAATATACGGACCTGCTTAATACTAGACATGTGCTTATTGCCAGATAAAAAGGTTTAGATCAAGATTTGGAATCACTCCATTTTTTTTATTAGATGTGTAACAATAATTGGGTATGCACTAGCCATGGGCAATATAACCAATAAAGGAATGTTATGAATATTAGTGGAATAAACCATTGAAGATGTAAACTTGGTTTAACCAGAAACCAGTAGAGATTCAGAGCCTTGCGTTCAGAAATTATCCCAACTTTAACACTTGAACTTAGAACATTCATAAAATTTGATCCAAAATATACACAGTACAGGAAAATATTTTTCTTATATATAGTAAAACCCTGCTAACTCAAACTCCAGATCAATAGCTCAAGGAATACACGGTATTCGATCAATCCGAGGTTTGACCGACATCGTCAATTTTTTTATCAGGTGGGACAACAGACAGTACGAGCACTGCAAATATCGCAGGTAGTAGATGATGGAAGAAAAAGAAAGTTTAAACAAGATGACAGCATTTAATAAGATTTAGAATAGCTAAATATTGAAAACATAAAGCCACCAGCATTAAGAAAGTAAATAAAATTAAAAAGCTGCATGTGTAACATACTCTTGTTGTTTTGACCTAGTCCGTCATACTGTAATCGGCTACGTTAATTTTACAAAATATCAAAACGAGAGGAACTCTTCGGTCATTTCAAAATGAAGATAATCTTGAATCCTTGTTATCATAATGTTGATTGATAGCAAAATTAACAATCACGACGTATTCAAGTTTAATTATCTTTAAGGTTGGTCGAGAATTTTCTATGTGATTTCCGCTTAATATTGCCATGCCAAAATATGGTTTCGACAAATCATCGATGTCAAAACATCGTCTTGAAAAAACAAATAGGCACACAAAATGATAATGAAGCTACAACAGGGTAACAGTACAGTCTTAATGATACTGGCATTAATCCTCTAATTATCTGACATCTAGTCAACACCTGTATAAGCACAATGGGCATGGGGTAAAATATCTGTCAGTCATGACAGGTCACACCTGTTGGACTAATAGATAGGATTAATACTATGACCATAAAGAGTTGGGGACAACGTTTTGTTCCAGGAATACAGGGTATTTTAGGAATAACGGTGCGACTTATTATATAATCTAGGGTTACTTTACAAAGAATATGTATGAAGTCAGTCGGGACTAACAAACTGTTTGACGAATGAGGGGTATTCAAGTAAACTGAGGTCGAGGAAGTGGGGTTTTACTGCATGAGTACTTGGATTTAAATCATTAAATAACATCATGAATTTTAGAGATTTTACCTGTTAAAACATCTTGAAATACTATTTTGCCTTAGCAAATATCTTTTGACACTGTTATCTGAGCAAATTAGTTGAAGAGTGGTTTACCTGAGCAAAGATCTTGACAAGTCTATCGCTATGTTCGGGTCGTATCTGGAGATATTCTTTCCACCACTGCTTAGCATAGACAAGAAAGAGACGTTCCCTTTCTGCCTGCCGATTCCTCTCCATGGTCAGTTGTGCTGTTAGTATATCCTGACCAATGGATTTTTGAGCTTTTGGGAACAGCTCCACCAAAATTTCCAGCACCCCTGCAGCTACTTTACTCTCACTTCCTTAAAACAAGCAAATACATCAAATGAGCATCCCTACTAAGGTAAAAGGAAATGAATGTCACAACTTATATGAAATGGTTATAATTAAAATCCTCCAACATCAAAGAAATCAAAACCCTCAGCTTTTGCCCATTACAATGTACTTGAATCTGTTTAAAGTATATTTTGATAAATTCCTGCTTAGCTCTTGGCTGCTTAACATTAGAATATAATGTTAACAAGGCACAAATCTCCTCTCATGCATATGCAAGAGGAAATGAAGTCGATGACAATTTTTTCTAAAAAAAGTAAAAGTGACCTTGACCTTTAACGCAGCGAATTTGTACAAGGCATTGCCATACCAAACACTTGTATGAAGTTTCATGAAAGTGCATTGTTCATGAGGAATGAAGTCGATAGAGCAATGACAAAGTTTTTCTAAAAATAGTAAAAGTGACCTTGACCTTCAACATAGAAACCCAAAACGCAAACTTGTTCAAGGTATTGTCATACTTTACACTTGTATGAAGTCTCATGAAATTCCGTTGAGGAATGAAGTCAGTTGAGCATAACAAAGAGTGTAACATACATACGGAATCCTATATCCCCTCAAACTTTCGTTGCGAGGGGATAATAAACAGTTTGCTTTCTGGAAAGTGAGGCAAGCCTTTTTTAACTAAAATAAATTCACAAAACATACACTAATGATGTATGATTCAGCCTCTAAACACCCAGGAATAAATACATCTTGATATCTTTTTTTTCCATTTCTGTAACAGCCTATATGATTGAACCAGATAAATCAGTTGACCTAATAATAACACAATTTTTCCTTAGTATGTGACGATGAATGTGAATCTCACCAATGCCCTTCAGCTCTAATGACATGGATAGTCTTCCCCCTGATGCTGCCAGGACTGGACGCCACTCAAAGAAGTGCGAGGAAACCAGACTTGTCTCCCCTATCATGTCTGTCTTAATAAGCACCAGGTGGACAGGGTCAGATATAGAAAGCATGGATGAAGGGTCGGCCATCTTGGCTGCTTCTCCTACCACATAGAATAAATTCATACAATTAAAGACTGTTTGCTGAATAAACAATATCATTTTTTCTGAACACAATTTGAAGACTTTGTTAAAACAAGATTTTTTTTTAGTAATAATTTGCTTTTCATATAAATAGAAGTCTTTGTAGTTTCTTAATAATATCAGAAATATAAAGCTTTTCCACACCAAAGTTGAAGATGTAATGATGTGTAATCAAATTTTAAATTTCAAAGATTAAAATCTGGTGAGATTCCACCACATTTTATATTGCAATATGTAATAAACAATCTACCTGCTGACTCTTTATGTAACTCTAGAAGAAATCCCTCATCAATGCTTGGCTCACAGGCACATGGTACAGGTCGTGAACGGAATCTCTGCCCACGGAAGTACAAGTGGAAGGTGAAGTGGGAGGTTACCTGGCCGGGAACAGGGTCAGTGTCCTCAATATGCTCCAGGAAAGCCTTCCCAGCACGAATGTGGAAATACAGATAACGTCGTGTAGGATCGATATTTGCTGCAACAAAAATACAATACTCACAGAGATATTTCATATGATTTAATATCTAACCTTTTAAACAGTCACCATGTTCACTTAATGTTAAATCTTCATGATCATAAGAAAATTCCTTGTCTGCAGGTCAAAGAGTGACTTTTTAACACCACCAGGTACCTCTGGGGCAACCAGCGAAAAAAGGATTAAACAACAAATGTAAAGATTAGGAGCCTCAGTATAATGCCTGGATAAACACTCTTTGTCACCAGTGTATACCTGGTTATCATGGGGTTTAAACTAGGCACAACTTTGAGCCCCAGTCTGGTGATCCAAAAAGATTGCATTATAAAAGTGATTAACACATTTGAAGGGAATCCATTGTGGTGATTATTGTCTTGATTTATGCTGACTTCAAATGATTTCATTTAATTTTAATTTTGAGCTTAATTTTAAGCAAAAGTACAATGTCAGTCTGCTTTGGGCCATCCAAACAAGGATCACCATTTAAAAGCAAGAAGTTATGATCAAAATTGTTTTTCCAGAGCTAGAGAAATCCCTGGGGTAGACGTAATGTTTACAAAAGTGTCTTCACGGTGTACAACGTATACCGTTTTAATGGTATTCTGACCAATAGAAATAATCAATCAAATAATCAACAGCAATTATGACATTTCATCTTTGATTATAAAATTTTAAACTCCTGTTTATTATCACTACCTTTTTTAGAAGGTAACTGCGTAAGTTTGTCATCCTTATCCTGAAAGTGTGTAGCGGGACGACCATTGTTGGCACCACCACTGCTATCAAACTGAAGCTTCTGGAGAATGTCATCAACTAGTCCTCGCTGTTTGAGTTTTTGCAGCAACTCCTCCTCCCCAACCTGATCCATTCGTCCTGGATACTCATCTTGAATTGACTCAGATATTATGTCTCGGATACGATTTTGTACATCCATCTGAAAAGGACAATTCAAAGCATATACAGCTGGGAGCAAACTTAACTTGGTAGCCTTGTGCACTGGAGTTAATGTACATAGCTACATTTCATTTCATTTCCAGTTTCCATTAAGTTTTGACAATTGCATGAAAATACAAGGTCATTTTTTTTATCGAGAATTGGGTTGATTACTGGACCCTAAAAACACCTGAGGGCCTAATCAACATGAGTGTGATAACATGCCACAGGAAATTCAGCGAGTCTCCGGTTCCCATCACCAAAATTAATTCATTGCCATGAAAGTCTCTGTAATAGTCCTCACCACAGGCACAGGATCAAGAATATGTACATGTGTGTAACATGAGAGGAAATTGAATGATCAGGCCTGGATTAAACTCTGGGCCCTCCAAACTCTTGACATACACTCTAAATAACCAGTCAAGCTACCTGCGGGTGTACTCCAACAATGTTAGAGGTTTTACACGGCGAAAAACTTTTGACAGGGGTTACAGTCGGCAAAATCATATCTGATAGAAAAAAGGCCAACCAGCGGCCCCTAATGTTATGGGAGTACCTGCGGGTGGTGATTTATAGTTAACAAGGACCTAAAAATGTTCACAGTATCCATAGCTAGGTAACAGAAGCCAAGAAGGAAAAATGGATTGAATAAGCTTTTTCAGCTTTTTGGGACTGTTCTTGTTGTCACCATTGCATATACATATTCTTAGTTTTCAGTTCTACCCCTGTATTTTATATATTATTGTTTATAAATAGGCATTTCCTGATGTACACCTGTAATTTGGCGACACATTTCACAGGTAAAATATATTTTATAACGTATATGGTTGTAGTCCATTAGGTAATGGTTATATTATGATGATTTTTACCAGTTAAGTAATTCAAACATCAGACAAACAACTGAAATATGTATATTTATTTTGCATATTTAACTTATCACGCCCCAGGACTGACTTTGTTTACATTTTCTCCGGTATATTTTTTATTGTTAAAATTTAGTTTATGCATTCCGGTATAAATCATGTTAATTATTTGATCGGTTTCCCATACATACTTCATATGTTCAAAATTAAATCACAATAAATGCATGAGAATCTCTACTGCCACCAAATGGCAATGACAGCTGAAAACTTGTTCCTGCTTGTTTCGATTTGGAGCTTGTTTGACATTAGTTACCTGCGATAGCTGCGAATGAATGATTTGTTTCAACTCTGAAATCTTTTCTGGTGGGAGTGCCATCTTGGTTGATCTATGATAATAGCAGTTCAGTTTTCAACTACGAGCAGTCAAAACTTTCAATGAAGCCGCAGTCATATTTTTCCATGCGGGAATGTTTTCGAATATGGCCGCGAAAGACGTTGTACGCATGCGTAAGTTTTGCCGGCCTTGCAAGGTCAACTTTCATTTTCGCTATTTCATTTCCGGTTTGTTAAAACGTAAATATCCGTCACATGCAGATGACATACGGATGGTAGTTTAAGAAGAAACATTACAAAATGGGTGTCGCAGAGAGTAAAGATAATGATGACCACGTTGAAGGAAGCTTGTTTTCAGCGGAAGAACAAATTGTTATCAAACATTTGCACGGGAAAATATCAGCTACTGAAGATTCGTTCAAGGTACTACTGTTTACTTACCTACACAAATGTACTGTACCTACTTACAGGAACAGTTCTGTGATTATGCACTTATGTATATATTGTACGAAGTGACTTATTTATTACCTTTGTGTTGACACCATTTGTAAGCCTTATTGTTTAGCCTTAATGGCTAATAGAGCCGCATATTTGTGGTAATATTTAAACGGATAGAAGGGAGTCATGTTGTTAAACATGCCTAACAACAATGAAATGTGAGTGATATAGTACAGCTGGTCAAAAGGATCAAAATGCAGGCCTAGACTGATAATTGCAGGTCATTTCAGTTTATAACATTTTCAATACTTCTAAGTGAGCAGTGTGGTATCTAAACTATCAAAGATTGTCTTTTAATATGTGGCAGATTTTAATTGTACATAGGATTATGGTCACCTTCTAGCTTCAAGCTAGAGGGAATTTCCCATTAGCTCAGTGGAAGAGCGTCGGACTCGAAACCTGGAGATTGAGGGTTCAATCCCCGGTCAGGAAGCACACTATTCTTGTTCCTGTTACAAATGGTGTCCGTGGCCCTCATGCGGTGATTATTAGGGAGTTAGAACCTGGGTTGTGGTGACAGATTTTAATTGTACATAGGATTTCGGTCACCTTCGAGCTAGAGGGAATTTCCCTTTTGTATTCTTGTTCCTGTTACAAAAACAATAGGATATTTTTCGATGGAGTATTTTAATATCAAAAGTTTTAAAAAGGTATTTTTAAACATTACAAAATTGGGATAAGCAATGGAAATGCAACAGATTCCAAACTATACTACAATCTGTGTAGGTCCTTAAGTCATTTGCAGTTAGAATTGCTAGGTTCCTGGAGTGACTATGAACTAGTTCCTGCTTTTCATCATATAGCATAACTTGACAGGGCTTTCTTTCTGACTTATAATTTTGAAAATGGGACCTCTGGCTTCGGAAGTGGGAATCATACAAGATGATGATTTCTTTTTTTTCCCAAAAGTATTCTCTAAAAGACTAAAAACATCCTTATTTATGAAGACAATTGTATCTTAGATGTTTCTGTTGCATTGTCATCTACATGAAAATAGGTTGAGAATAACAAACATTTTTTTTCAGATGGAATAATTATATAAAGATATTTTGGGAAATAATAGTAACTTTTTCCACGGGAAATGAAGCCAAATTCGGCACCAAAATGGCCCAAGAAAAGGGCCTTCTTGAACATTCATTTGGACATATCTAAACAGACAATATAATAAACAAATGTATATCAAAATGTTAAATCATTGAAAATTATTATTGATACAAATGTAATGGTAATATTATGTGCCATTTCCTGTACAGTAGTTATTATTTTCTATTTCAGGATTGGTAATCAAGATGCTAATTTTAATGAGTATCCCAAGTTGTCATCTGGTACTTTCAAATGTCAAAAACTGATTATTTTTAATGCTATCTTCATTAAATGTCTCTTTTTTTTCTTTTCAAGGAGACTTTTTGGAAATGCAATGAAAGCTTTTATATTTGATTCCTAAAATTTTCAGACATTACACATCATCTTTAATCATTTTAGACATCCCTTATATTTTTTCGTCAGTCTTATTACATTTCATTGTAAAAACAGAGTGTGGAAAAAAATCAATAGGCATGCATTATTTCTTTCTTTTCAGAACCACTTAAAACTACTGAATGACAAATTGGCAGGAAACTTAGTGAACTATTTATCCAGCCTTAAACCTCGTCCCCAAAAAGGTGTTTTATTTACATATCGCCAATTTCATACACTGCTCAGTCAAATATTCAGAGGAAATTCCACAGACCAATCAATTGCTATAAGGGGATTGTGTTCACAAAACAAGGAGATTTCATCTGAAGATCTGTTTCAGGTACAGTATAACAAAATTGAAGCTTGTTTGAATTTCTTGATCATACTAGTGTTAACTTGAATTGATATAAAATATTCTTAGATAGATCAAATCTTTTCATTAAATGGTAGTTTAAAAGTGATTTTGAACAACAACAAAAAATGTTTGAAGAAATATATTTTTTGGTGGCAAAGTTATTGCTTAAATGTATAATGAGTTTTACTGAATTTCTAAGCCTGAAAGCTTGGAAAAGAGTGACTTTAAAGTTTCTTGATATTATTGCGTTCCCTATAGGAACATATGTTTATAGACATACAAGTTTTTGTATATACAGTAAGACCTTATTATAATGCCCATGTTTCATTTGGCAAGTCACCTACTTTTTTTCTCCAAATTCCTTTTCATCGCAATCTGTTTCTGCAATGTACTACCTCTCCTACAATATGTTGCCAAATCGTAATGCCAAACTTTTGTTTGGGGAATGGTGGCAGTACACAACTGTATATATATATATCACATTATTCAGGTTCAATGAACATATGGTCAAGAAATTAAATGGAATCAAATGTAAATTTGTCAACTTTGAAAAATTCTTGAATTGATAATCTATGTATCTCAAATGAAATAAAATTAAAATCTAGGTACAGTCAAACTTCCATAAATCAAATTTTGAAGATTTGAAACTTGATGTGTCAAACTTAATCAAAGAATGTACCATTAAATAACACTATTGATATTCCATTTATGAGTCAAATTTCTGGCTGTTTCAAACTACAATCAATGTCCAATCCTTGGGAAAACATTGAAAATTACAGCTAATTAATGAAGGTAAAACCATTATCTGTACAAGAACATTGAAATGTCCTTGGGTCATTTTAACACCTTAACACACAGGCTACAGTGTATAAATATATGAAACATGTTTTTTAATTACATTAAATCCAATATTTATAAATTTCAATTAAATTTCTTGCCTTGTGTGCTGTCATTTAACAATTACGTTCGGTCTTATGCAGTATATACAGGATATCAAAGATGTTCAAAGTTCAACATCAGTGAGTCGAAGTCTTGATGCTTCAATTTTTTTCCAATGGTTCTGCAAAGTTATATGCATTGAAGTTTGACTGTACTTTTGTTCTAATAATGTGGGCAGAGATTTATTGGCTAGATTGACATACTTGCCAACTTTTTGAAATTTCTATTGGGGAGATAACTTGTGATCAGAATGAAAAGTAGGAATAAAATGTGTGTAGATATCATCAGATCTTAGAAAAAAATGAATAATTTAGTAAATTCACTGGTTGAAAATGCTCAATTTTAGGGTCCAAAATCGGGAGTCTCCCTCCTAAATAGGGAGAATTGGCACATATGGATTCATGCTTTAAACACATAAGTCTTTTTCTTCAAGGCTGTATTACAGTTGGTGACAGCTTATAGAGAGGTGACTCGAAATCTACCAGCATGGTCAAAGTGGACTTTGGATCAAGAAACTGAGCAGCACAGAAAAGAATTTACTTTTGGAATATTACAAGAGCTGTTCGATAAAGGTCTGTAATATGATTTAAATTGATTTCAAATCTCTCAGATATAATGTTTAATTGTCATCAATATTTTTATTACAGAATAAAATCTCTGTGTTAATTAGCAACTTGAAAATACACCACAAACTGTAAGAGGATGGATGAACAAAGACTTAATGTAGTGGTGTTTATAAGTAATTGTAGCAGATACAAATTTGAGGGGAAAATAGTGTCCTACTGGCAAGCAAGCTTTTCTAGGAATGTGGTATAACCCTGGGACTCCCTCAATGTCAAGGTCAGCAGCTGGATTGGTGACCGCCTACATGTGTTACATTCAGTGGCAGCCTAGTGACATCATGTAAGGCCAGTTCCTGGTGGTTAGGGAAGGTGCATTGGTACATAGGGAGGACCCAAAGGATTCACAGGGCGAAGTCTCACGGCGAGCCTTCTCAGAGGTTGGAACAGTGTAACAGCTAAGGAATCTTGCCTTACTGGCAAACTATATAGCTAGCTTTTCCAGCAATGCGGTATGACCCTTGGGGTATGCTCACTATTTCAGCAATGTCGAGCGTGGTCAGTAGCTGGATGGGTAACTGCCTGCATATTACATTATAAAAATTTAGATGAATAAAGTTTTAAATGATTGAAAATTGTTTCAGGTTCAAGTAAGAAGGGCCCAGTACCAAAAGCCAAGGTTCCAGAGGGTGTCAGCTATACAGAGTCTGATGTGGAGGATCTGTTACACAAATCTCCACTTTTCATACATGTCTGTGATACTGTGTTCACGAAGTTATTTCCTATCAGTACAGATGTGAGTGTATTATTTTGAAATTATGTTTTATCTTTATTTTAACAGAAATTGAAGTTCTATGTGCTTCACCCTATAATTTACTGTAATACTTTTAAAATTAGTAAACATCTCTTTGTTGATTTATATGTATATATAATGATGTTTAATGTTGTGGTAGGTTTTTGTTTTCACTTGTTAACCCTTTCACCCTATGTAACTTTAGTAGACTCTACCATGCATTGAAATGGAGGAGTCCATTATGGTCTACAGTGGTGAAAGGGTTAAATTTCAGATGCATTTGACTTGTGATATAAAGCCATTGCAGTTCCTAGGTATAGATGTTTATGGTTAGAATTCCCAGATACAATAGACACTGTTTATCTGTCTATATGATGCTATCAGAATGCAGTTATTTGTACAAGTGATATACCCTGCTTTATTTAATATGCTCTATCATCAAATACATCTAAACGTCTCTGCATTACCATACTTCTTGTTAACTTGGCTCTCGATGAATAAAATATGAACTTACGGTAATAAAAAGAAAAAATAGGACAGTCATTTATGTGGTAGTATATATATGCATGTTTCCTTTAAAAACAATGGAAGTACTACAAATGTGTTGGAAATGCATGGATAGAAATATAAGAATAACAACTACATGTATATACAAAAGAATTTGTTTACAGTCAGTCAGGAAATGACTTTGTTTTTCAGGAGGTTTTCTATATGATTTGAAAAGAGTGGTATGGTATATGTTAGACAGTGATGGGTATGATTTCTGTCCATTTCCTTATTTCTGCAGTGTTTTTCTCTGTATAGAATTAAGGGATTGGTTTGTTAGCAGAAGCAGTTATATCTATTCACTTTAATTTATACAGGAGACTTTACGAATGGAAAAGCTGTGTTCAAGTTTGCCAGTTCCCGTAACCATGGTACCTCATCAAACTATACTCGATCCTTACGCCATGATGTTTTTAAACTTTAACCTTCCGAAAGATCTGCAGACAGAATGGCGGCTTGTGTTCAGCAACAGTGTGTTCGGAGACAGTTTTACACAACTCGTGGCTCACATGCTCAACAAGGGGCCCAGCCTCCTCATTGTCAAGGACAAGACTGGCCATGTTTTCGGGGGATATGCCACTCAAAAATGGCAACTCAACTCTAAATTTTACGGTATGGCAGTTATCATTTTAAAAATAAAACAAACATATCTATGATTTCTCAATACAATGTAGAAAAAATGTCTTGCAGATGATATTTTATTGGTCCTTTTTTTATTCAAGTCATACAGAATTACCTCATAATTGATACCTTATATTATATTCTTTGTTATATAATATGTGTACTGAACATGGCTTTTTCAAATGTTTGACATTGAAATGTACTTGTTTGTATGTGTAATAAGCATACAAGAATAACATTTATTAAGATATATTTACCATCTGATGGCATTGCCACTATATAACCCTACCAAATTAAGTTGGCATTCATGTAGGCTATGAATGCCATGGGCTGATTGTTGATGTCATCATTTTTATGACATCATAATTGTTACTTTGGATACCACTGACCCTCCCTTGGCGATGGCTGTTCTATTCATTGAACAAGCATACAAAATACATACATTATTTAAACTATATGCTGAATAGTAATAAGTATAATTAAATTTTCTATGAGATGAACAGACTCCAAAAAATGGTAAATATGAATATTGAACTGCTTTCAGTTGGCATTCATAGGCAATATGAATTCCAACTAGACAAAGGCATATCCAACATGAAGCCCTTAATGAAATACTGTATTTACAGGTGGCTAGAAATTTTGATTGGTTGTATTGTCATTTTAATTTTCTTTGGGAAATCAAGGAGAAATTAATCTTTATGCACATAAATATTAATTGTTTATATGGTTACAGGTTCTGCTGACAACTTCCTGTTCACCCTTTCTCCACAATATGGAATTTACACCACAACAACTTACAACTCTAATTATATGTATCTAAACCAAGGGCAACAAACACTACCCAATGGGCTGGTAAGTGGGTCACTTCAACACAGGGTGATCAGGCATTAGCCAATGGGTGTATTATCAGGTCAGTGTATCAAAGGGTCATCAGGTGCTATCTAACGGGCTGGTAATTAAGTAGGTCACTGTGACATGGTCATCACACACTACCTAGTGAGTTGGTCATTGTGAAATAGGGTAATCAGTCACTACTTTAATGAGTTGGTAAGTAGGTCACTGTGACATGGTCATCACACACTACCTAGTGAGATGGTCATTGTGAAATAGGGTAATCAGTCACTACTTTAATGAGTTGGTAAGTAGGTCACTGTGACCTGAGGTTAGCTTACACTATCTAATGGGCTTTTTTATGCTTTCATGATGAATTGAGGGAAATATAGCTTTGCCCATGTGTTTATTATAGTCTGTATGTGCATCACACTGTAGCACAATCATTCTGGCACCTTTGTTTTTCATTCTATTGCATCAAAACCTAAGTATTTGGTACATGTACCCAACTACCTCAGTCAGGCTTCAATTTCAGGGTCCTGGATCCAAGGTCAAGGTCAAGTTCACAGTTACTATAAATAGATTTTTTTTATCATTATTCTACATGTTTCATTTTACTTCTGAATTGGATGAAACTTCTGCACACACTTTGGCACACTTCCCCTACCACTAGGAACATGACCAGTGTGTGCAATGGTCTCAAAGTCATTGTGCAGTCATTGTGTAGTTTTCCTATTTTCCAAAGTTAGTTACTTTCAGTTCACGACTAAAACACTTGTTATTTTTCTCATCTGTTTGAAGGGCATGGGTGGTCAATTTGATTACTTTGGACTGTGGATTGACCAGTCCTTCAACTATGGCCATAGTAAAGCACAGCCTCGCTGTACTACCTATGCCAGTCCTCAGTTGTCAGGGGCGACAGAGTTTGAGGTGGTAGCCCTAGAAGTGTGGGAGGTCGGGCCAGAGCCCAAGGCTGACAGTGATGATGAGGATGACAATGAGGTAGGTGTATCATTTATAGTAAACCAGGTGAATTGTTTGTCGAACTTATCAAAATTCCTTTTCAAAATCCAAGGTCTCTCTCTTAATAACACAAATTGTTTATACACCTTTGGAGTATGTCATGTTGTTAGCTATTTGATTGGTTTCTGTTAAAAAAACACCTGACCAATTGCTATAGGTAGGACACCGAGCTCATGACCGAAGGGTTGCGGGTTCGAGTCATGTCACGGCACTGTGTTATATCTTTGAACAAGATACTTTACTCTACTCAGCTGTAAATGAGTACATAGTTGGGCAATGCTGTAATTGTTGAATGCTAGCTGTGAGCTCCTAAATGGCAGCACCAGCTGTATGCGCCCAAGGGAGTTGAGAAAGATATTGGCTGGTTGTAAAGGCCCTATAACCATGGATAATAATTTGTGAATCGCTTTGATATGACCTACAAACTAGGTTGTGATTAAACGGTAGATAAGAACCTCAAGTTTATTATTATTATAGCTGATAACTGTCCTTTGAAGATTACATAGGAGTGACAATTGACTTCAAAGCTGGTCAGTTTTACCATTATACTGCAGTGTGATTCTGTTGATGTACATAAAAGATCCAATTAGTCTACTTATATCATCCGCAATGTGGCATAGCCATAGTTGAAAATACTCGACAACATTTAGAGCCTCCCTCCTCTTTCTACAAAGTATTTTGTAACCGATCAATTGCTATAAGAATAATAAAATAGTTAATTAGTCCGTGATTAAAAACATAGATATGTGTGATATAACCAAAGATATCAATTTGTGAACCTCTTTTGAGACGACCTAGATAAAGCGGTATATATCAGAACCTCAAATTGTTATTATTATTATGTGATAAATTCATTTAAACTATTTATTAAGAAGTTACTTTGAATGAAAAAGGTATATATTCTGAATTATTACATGTAGTAAAGATTTATAATACATGCAATTGATTTTCCTTACTTGTTTATAGACAGCGTAACTGACTCTGATAATTTGTAAGTTTTTGCTAGTGTTATACAGTTAAACCTGTATAAATAGACCAATTAACCTAGGGTAGTCTTTTAATACATGTTCAATTCATAATTATATTACTACAATGGGGAACATTAGTCTCTAAATGATGGTGGCATGGTCGCATGAAAGGTTTGACTGCATTTATATGAAAACTGTTGTTGATTGTACAATATTAGTAATATATGCATTATATCCAGGATTCTGCTGAGATTGTACACACAGACTGTGTTGGTGTTTCCTATTTACCAGGAGTGTGCTACAGATCTTGAAGAAAGATATATGAACAAGTATATTTTTGGCCCTGTTTTAGTACATGTAGCACACAATGGTTTTTACAATTTTTTGTTTGTTTCTATATCTGACTCCAGACATTTAGCTAGGAGGAATTAATTTGATCCATTAAATTAATACAAATCAGTTATCCAAAAATAACGAGTGATTATGAAATATGAATTTGCAGCACTTCAGTTTCTTATTGAGGTGCATAAATGGTTTTAATTAAAAAAATAATTAATCTGTGTTTGTGTTTCCTATTTACCAGGAGTGCACTACAGTTTCTTATTGAGGTGCATAAATGGTTTTCAATATTAAGGTTATACATTCAGGACATATTGCAATATCTAGTTCGAGATAGGATCTGTTATGGTGGAATGTTTTATACTTTCAGAAGAAGAAGAAAAGTGTACTGGACGGTAACGCCGAGGCGAGGGCAATGCTGGCCCTCATTGGTAAGGAACGGGTTAGCGAGGGTTACAGGGATGAGGAGGATGACCTGGAGATATCTGAGGACATGAAACGAAAGATGAATGTGATACCTTCACTTATATAGACATGTGAATCCTAACATCTCTTATATAGACATGTGAATCCTAACATCTCTTATATAGACATGTGAATCCTAACATCTCTTTACATGCATCACACACGGAGGTGTGCAGGGTGAATGATTTAGAAATTGTGACCTTCACCTCAAGGTTAAAGGTCAAATCAGTGCATAAATTTCAGAGTTCTTCTGTGCCACAATATGGTGTACATTGCTTTATAATTAATTGGTCACTTTGACTTCACTGAAAATTCAAAGGTCAAACAAGGCATCACAAGTGATACAAATCTCCTCGCATTCACACATTATGTGACAAATGTATGAGGAAATGAATAGAAAATTCAATGATGTATCAGTATCTGCTCTAGCGACTGCATTCTTCAATGGATAAGAGATTTTTATTGTGCAGTTTGTATTTTGCTTGCATGAGAATATCTTTGTGTTTTGGAAATAAAAAGCAAAAACATAATGAGAATATTCTGTTACATATTAGAGATAAATAATTCTGCACAAATCTGTTGAAGGTAATGTCATGGCAAACACTTGTATCATGAAGTCGAGCGATGCAATTTTTTTTGTATAAATAGTAAAAGTGACCTTGACCTTTAACACAGTAACCGGAAACGTATCCTCGATATCCCGGGGTTACGCTCACTTTCAATCTCTGAATCCCTGGATAAATATGTCATAGCAAAATTGAAGGCTCAGTGTGCGCCACCTTGTTGATGAGACAAGAAGATTAGTTTGATCCTTTGATATACATCAAAAGAATTTCGCGGTCACGTAACGGTAAACATTGACAAGTTTTGAAGTCGGGCGTCTCTCCTTTGTAATCTTCAAAGGACAGGTATACGTTTATCGATAGGTCAGTTTTTTTTACCCTAGACCAATCAAACAGCTATCTTCGTGCCTTCAATTTTGCTATGACATATCCCAGGGGTGTAGAAAGCGAAAGTGAGCGTAACCCCTGGACATCGAGGCTGCCGGAAATGCGAACTTGTTAAAAGTATTGTCATACCAAACACTTGCATCTAGTTTCATGAAATTCTGTTGAGGAATGAAGTCAGTATATAAGAGCCCTGACAAAAATTTCTGAAAACAGTAACAGTGACCTTGAACTTTAACATAGGAACCCAAAATGTGAAGTTGTTGAAGGTAATGTCATGGCAAGGGGATAAAAAGTTTTTAGTTTTATCTGGGCAATAATTCTTAAGTCTTCAAATTAATTTTGATCAAGTTGAAGAGTCTTAAAGTGAACTGGAAGCATGTGTGCAATGATCTGTAATCAGATGTGTTGCATTATCACCCTCAGAAGTGTACAATACACTGTTATTTTATGTGTACTAGAATCAATTACAGGTGTGTAGTGTACTGTAATTAGATGCGTAATAAGAGGAGACATAATCATGTTCATGTTCAACCAAATAAAGAAAATCTAGTTAAAAGTGAAAGGATTCTGTGCAGATTACATACAAATTTTTCTTGTCCATGTTGTCAATGTGAGGCTTGTTTATAATGTAGCTATGTGTTAAATAAGCATTTCGAAATGTCCTTAGTGTAAATAGCTAAGATACTGTGAAAGTGCTAACTCATATCTGTGGAACTATATATAAAGGTCAATGTCACAGTGAAAGTTCAAAGGTCAGATAGAGAACATGTGTTTCTTTGTAATACTGTAGAAGAGGAAATCCTCACATGGGTTTGTATTGTGAATGTTTAACCTGATGTGGCAACGGTTTCAGAATATATGTATTCTACATATCTAGTCTACATAAAAATTGGTCTCCAAACGTAGGAGAGAACCAACATTCTGGTTGTCGTGCTCCAAAAATGGATTACATGTTTTATTTGTTGAGGACAACTGTACATGTCATCGACACTGATTTCCTTACCATAGTGTATGTGTACAGTGTAATTACATTGTGCCAGGTTTGTCCGATAACTATTTATTTCTGAATGTATACAATTTCGGTATTGCCTGATTGTGCATGTAATCAATATTCATTAAAAATGTTGTTTTTTATATTTAAGGGTTTCTTGTATTTTTTTGCATGAGGCTTACATTTTACCCAATATACAACAATATATAAATCAAACCAAGTTTGAAGAAAATCGGTTAACATTTGTTGTAGTTATTGCACAGAAACAAAACCCAGTAGATAATTACGTTTTTCGTTATTCAAGGGGCCATAACTCTGCCAAATGGGGTCTGCTGAAAGTGGTCATCAAACTTGGTCGAGCCCTTAAAGCATTGAACCCTGTGACCAAGTTTGAAGAAAATCGGTTTATATGTGTTGTAGTTATTGCACGGAAACAAAGCGTGACAGACAGACAGACAAACCCAAGTTAATATCCCCCGCTTTCACCAAAAGTAGGCTTATTAAGGTGACGTTTCAACATGTACTGCGGTATGCATGTAAACACAATGTATCATATGATGTGCTGTACCTATCCTGAGTAAATGACAACAGGACACAGAATTCATAATAAATAAGTAGATGTTTTACTTCAAATGAAGAATATTGTGTACATGTTTTATGCAGGGATCAATAAAAGCTCTTATTAACTCATTCACCCATGAAGACTCATTTGAACTCTTCCAATTCAAAGGTTGGATTATTTCATTATGAAATTTCAGGGGTGAAAGAGTTGAGGTATCTATAGCATTACTGTACACAAACAAACTATTTTACAGGCACCAATTTCACCATAACAATTAACAATTAGGAAATTAGGAAATACCAACAACTATTAGCAAGTATACACTCAATGTAACACTTGAATTTTCCATTGCTTAAAAAGGCGAGAATTTAATTATATCATGTTTTTGATAACATACAACTTAGTTTTTGTTCTTACTTGTAACATGTAAGAGCACAAGTATAATATTGCAAGGATTTCCACCAATATCCTAAAATACATTTGGCCAACATAAAGATGTTGTGTTTTGGGTTTCTTGCCAAATATTCACAGGTTTGGGAGGTAAAATATTCTATTGCATTATGTACATAATTTGTAGAACAGGGATCAATACTTACTGAAGACAGAGGTTGTCAAACACAAGTTTCACGCATAAAATTACAGGTAAATATAACATGTAGCTAGCATAAGCAGCTATACAACAAACAAAGGTATATAAACAGCACATCATCAATAAATAACAAAGGAAGTATGGTTCATAGCAATCTTAATCTGTTTACCAAAAGCAAATCATAGGCATTATTGTTTAGGCCAAAAAACAAAAATTACCAGAATAGTTTTTGTTGTTGTTATAATAATATAAAAAAAGCCAATTGTAAGAGTCCTGCATATAGATTATATCTCTGTAGTGTACATTTCGTTTACTTATTGAAAAACAAAGGATATTTAAATGGAAAGATGCACCCTTGGGAAGTCCAAAAATTGGTCTTTTAATACAAGTTCAATTCACAATGAAATCACTACAGTGAGGAACATTGAAAGTGGCCTCTTAACACAGGTGGCCTCTTAATGATGGGGTCACATGGTCAGATTTGACTATAGATACATACCTTGAGTATGGTTCATTATTGACACTGCTAAACATAAAGAGCAGGAATACTGAAGGAGTTTGAACAATATACACACATCCCATGCTACAAATACTACCAATTTTGACTTATCGCTATATTGTAAAACAAAGGGCTGCACTTTGAACCATTCTGCTAACACATTCTTACATAAAGGATCTTACATGAGTTTCTATTTCATTTGAGATTTATGAAACGAGTCTAAGAATTTCACAATTTAGCGAGCCTCTGAAAAATGAAAATTCGTGACGAGTTTCATAAATTTCATTTGAAATGAAAACGAGTGTAAGATCCTTTTTATCACATAATCAAGATTTCTGGCATTTATTTGTGTAAAACGACAATTGTCATGCAACATTGAAATGTAAAAAGCCGCCATTTTGACTCCAGTGCGCAAGTACTGTGACGTCGCAATAAAAACAAGTGAAACTTATAACCAATCACAGGCCTGACAGGTCATATTACATGGGTATATTGACTGGATAACACAGTACATTATGTGATAAAACAAAATGTATATTGAAATATAACAGTAACAAACTCTTTTGTAGTTTGTTACTCGAGAAAGTTGCAGTGTTTCATTGATGCTTTGAAATTGGGAAACATCACACTTTACTAGTGAAAGGATTAAGACAAGGTGCTCCTCCTCTTTGACCTTACCTTTCCAAAACCTTCTGTGTTAAGATTGCCTCGCTTTGCCCATTTCCAAATCATTTTAAAAACAAAGACAAAGGGGTTTGACTCTGTATATAAGCCAAATTTTCTGTATGCAATACTCAGCCTTTCTAAGACACACAATTTTTCAAACAATTTGCTTAATGTTTGTTAAATAGTAAGGAACAAACTTTGGTATAAAAATCAATATATATATCCATAACTCTGTTTAAACCCTATTTCTGTATGAGACACATAACCTTCCCATCAGACCTTAGTATGGTAAGTTTGTTGAATATATTTAATATGACAAGAAAGGATTCCAAGGTTTAAGTTCAAAGTCAGCCTGATTTCAAATCAGGCTTATTATCAAGGTTTTAGGGTACTCTTCTTCAATTTTAATTGAATAGATTTTTTATTTATTTTTCGATATATATAGTGAAATGCCATCAGTCTTTCACATTATGTCATTTTTCCATTGGATTCTATGTTACTTCACTTTTGGAAAATCAAAAAGTAAATCAACATAGAATAGTAAGAATACAATTCTTTATGCGTTATGTGAAAACCTTATGGGGAGGTCACCGTACATTAAGTTATTACCTCCTAAGAAAAGAGATGTGCTGTCATTCAGACTGACACGCATGTTGCAATATTACAATTCCTAAAGGTTTCAGTGGTAGATCATTAATAAGAATTTAATTTTTTGAAGGTAATATTTCCCTTAAAAAAATCAAAAATCTTTCAACCATATTTCATTAAAAGCACAGTATATCAACCATTCACATGCTTATATTTACATTTGCTCTGCATCCTTCCATTGCAATGCATTGATAAGGCAAATGTTGTTATGAGACTATGACAATGTTTGCTATTGTAATGTTATCTATTTCATTGTTCTTAACACTTGTTTTGCTGTTCAAAAACTGTTCAAAATAACTAAATAAAGCATAACTACTCTATAAAAATGTAAATATTAATAATGAATATTTTAGCAAATATTGTTATGGTCCTATAACACACATTTCTATTGCTGTCAAACTTACACACTGGGCTTTATAAAGTTTGTCATCAATAGCAATGTGTGTTATAGGACCATAACACGTTTGCTAAAACATTAGTAAGATTACTGTACATACAATTTCAATTCATCATTGTGTCAAAACATTCAAAAGACAGCACTGACCTCGGCAAGTCGTTCCTACTTAACATTATCTATAACATATATATGATAAGATTTCAATTTTAATACATCATAGGGGAAAACAAATACATGTTTATAAAGCTTTGTTCTACTTCGTTTTGAGTATATAGGGAGACCTGCTTCATATGTATATATGTATATATATTAAATATATAAACAATCAGAAAAGAATTATTTAGTCATATTATCCAGTGACATCGTCATATTTGTATTGAGATTAATACTTATTACAATCACCTACTGGACAAATAAAGGGAGGCAACTTTATACAATCTGGTCATCTGCTTGATAGATAAAGGGAGACAACTGTATACAACAATCACCATCTAGGCAAAACAAGGGAGATAAATATATACAATGATCACCAACTAGGCAAAACAAGGGAGACAACTATATACAACGATCACCAACTAGGCAAAACAAGGGAGACAACTATATACAATGACCACCAACTACGCAAAACAAGGGAAACAACTATATACAATTTAAAACAAAATCAAAATACATATTTATAGGACTCATTCCGAATATATATACAATACAGTCACTTCCTGGATTGATCAAAGGAGGCAATTATTTACAATACAGTCACAACAGCTAGACAACTACAAATACATCTACTATACATATTAAGTGGGGTAACTATAACAATACAGTTAGCTAGCTACTGGAGAGATAAGAGCAACAACTACATACAATACAGTCATCTGCTAGACAATCCAAATACAATACAGTTATCAACTGGATAGATAAAGGGAGACATTTATATACAGTATAATCATCTATTACAAACCATGTGTATGAAATAGTGATCAATTAGACAACTCAAGGGAAACAACTATATACAAATCCACTAGAAAAGTCAAGAGAGAAAATTATATAACAAGTCACCTACTAAACTAAGAAAAGTAGAGAACTATGTACAAATCTACAGAAAAGATCAAGGGAGAACATTATATACAGGTCACCTACTAGAAAGATTAAGGGAAACCGTTATATAAAACTGTTGGAAAGGTCAAGGGAGATAATTATATAACAGTCACTAACTATTTAGATAAATGGGGAAAATTTGACATCAATTTACTTTGAAAGATCAAGGGTAACAACTATATACAAGGGCGCATTTGTTTATCATGATCCAAACATTGAACTGGTTTGACATGAGTTGTTCGTTTATGAAATAAGGTCAGACTAGTAATCTGATGCTGCTTAAACCGGATATGCAAAAGGGGCCCCAAGTCAATTGCTAGTCAGATCAAGAGAGACAACTACCTGGAATATATAATATGGTCACCTACTAGACAGGTAAAGGGAGACAATTGTATACAATAGTCTCTTATCAGACAGGTAAAGGGAGACAATTATATACAAATAGTCACTTACTAGACAGATAAAGGGAGACAATTGTATACAATAGTCATCAACTAGACAGGTAAAGGGAGACAATTATATACAATAGTCACCTACTAGACAGGTAAAGGGAGACAATTATATACAATAGTCACCTACTAGACAGGTAAAGACAATCGTATACAATAGTCACCTACTAGAAAGATAAAGACAAGTATATAAAATAGTCACCTACTAGACAGGTAAAGGGAGACAATTATATACTATAGTCACTTACAAGACAGGTTAAGGGAGACAATTGTATACAATAGTCACCTTCTAGACAGGTAAAGACAATCATATACAATAGTTACCTACTAGACAGGTAAAGGGAGACAATTTTATACAAATAGTCACCTACTAGACAGGTAAAGGGAGACAATTTTATACAATAGTCTCCTACTAGATAGGTAGAGACAAATATATGCAATAGTCACCTACTTGATTGGTAAAGGGAGACAATTATATACAATAGTCACCTACTAGACAGGTAAAGGGAGACAATTATATACAATAGTCACCTACTAGACAGGTAAAGTGAGACAATTACATACAATAGTCACCTACTAGACAGGTAAAGACAATTATATACAATAGTCACCTACTAGACAGCTGCCTTCAAACCTGTGTAGCTATTGTCACACCTAATATTTGTTTTCAATTGCACTTTGCTGTCTTTAATATGATGTTTATATCATGAGAGCTTGAACCTTTACCATGGTAGTATGAACTTGAATGACTAGAATATACCAAATCTAAGGTACTGTTTCAACACACTGTTTTATGGTTGCTAGACATTGCTTTTAGGTCTGGAAGGCTAATTTTGTTGATGCCATATGTAAAATATCCAACCTTTTGAATTTCCATAAGAGGATTCTGCATAACCAAAATTGAAAGTAACAATAAAACTACCCCTTGGGAAAAATTACATTTTTAAAAGACATCTTTTAAGTTGCTCTTTCATACGAAATCATCAGATCTTGGAATGAAGGAAAAAAATAGCAATTTAATTGGTTCAAAATATTAAGCATTAGAGTCCAAAATTGGGAGTCTCCTTCTTAAACAGGGAGAGCAAGCAAACATGCATATAGCATCAGTTGTACTAAAGAGTTAAATTAGAACTAGAAAACTTTATTTATAAATGCCTGACATTGATACCTAGACTTGACATTTGACCTTGACACATAATGAACCTTTGCTATTTGACCTTGACACGTTCTCTGAGATACGATTATGTTACAGGCCTGTATAATTTGTCTTGTAATGTAGTGAGGCAGTAAGATTATCGTATAATGTATCTTCCTCATAAAGGCCATGTTTCTATTTTTAATGGGGTTAAAACATTGTATGATAGTCAAAATTGCCTGTGATAAATTTCATTTCATGTTGCATTTTGATGTTACCATAAATTATTAAAATAAAGATTATGCAATTAATGAAAAAAAATATCTTATACAGTAAACAACTCATTTTACATGTACATCAAAACTGATTCCCTGTCTATTTCAATTTCCCCCCAATCTGACTCAAATTTTGAATATTTTGTCAACCTGATAATTTGTCATACTGTAAATGTGCGCATCAAAGTGCACTCAAAAAAATGTGTTTAGTGCAAAAACACAATCATAATTAAAGCTGTTATAGCTAAAAGAGCTCAGACTATCATTACAACATGTGTTTTTTAAAATGTTCAAAACATTCTGTAAAGCAAACCTCAGGTTATCAGGTCATCAAGACTTTTTTAAGATCCAAAAGCCAAAATTACAAATTTCATTAATATTTTGTTTGAAAATTGGGCCTTTTTGGTAGTCTGTTTTTGAGAGATGATCTCAATTTGTCTATGTGATTAAATGTGTTTTAAAGATGTCTTTGATAGCTGATGTCACATGATGTCTGTCTTAGACATTTGATGTTACCTGATGTCTGTCTGGGAGAGGAGATGTCACATGATGTCTGTTCAGGATAGGTGATGTCACATGATGTATGTCTGAGACAGGTCAAGTCACATGATGTCTATCTGAGACAGGTGATATCACATGATGTCTGTCTAGGATAGTTGATGATACATGTGTGTCTAAATAGGTGAAGTCACATGATGGCTGTCTCAGAAAAGTGATGTCACATGATGTCTGTCTCAGAATAGTGATGTCAACTAATGTCTAAGACAGGTCAAGTCACATGATGTCTGTCTGAGACAGGTGATGTCACATGATGTATGTCTGAGACAAGTGATGTCAAAAGATGTATGTCCGAGACAGGTCAATTCACATGATGTCTGTCTGAGACAAGTGATGTCACATGATGTCTGAGACAGGTGATGTCACACATGATGTCTGTCTGAGATAAGTGATGTCACGTTATGTCTGTTTGTGATAGGTGATGTCACATTACGTCTGTCTATGATAGGTTTGTCACATGATGTCGGTCTATCATGGGATAGGTGATGTCACATGATGTCTGTCTATGGCTGGTGATGTCACATGATGTCTGTGAAGGTTAGTTTGCCCTGATCCCACTGAAGGCTACGGAGTCGGTGAAGCGGCATTCTAAACATGGTTGAAGAATGTCCACGTTGCATAGCTGGAGGGTTCTGTACCACACATCGCCAGCTGTTGGAGTGAAAGTTGAACCCCCGGACACAGTGGTATGTTCCGCCTACATCTAGTGCCCCTATCACCAACACCTCATCTCCATCATAAACTGCTCCATAGATCTGAGATGCGTCTGACATTGTACACAAACCGACACCTCGGGTATGGGCATGAGCCCAATAGTCGTTACGTGTCGAGTAGATCTCGGTCCCGCAAAACTTTACACTGTGGCCACCATGCATGGCACTTGGACACTCAATACGTCTAAATCCACCAAACACATAGATATCATTGTCAACAGCAACTGCCCGCGCGTCACATCGCCGTTCTCTCATCGGAGACACTGAGGTCCATGTTTCTGTTCGTGTGTCATAACATTCCACTGCTTCAAAAAGTTTTCCTATTGCACCACCTGCTATCACATAAATTTTCTTTTCTACTGCTGCAAATGAAGACCAGACTCGCTTTAAGTTCATCTCAGGTATCAGACGCCATTTGTTGGTGAGAACATTGTAGACCTCACCAGAGGTTAGTGGGTCTGTCATATCATTACTGCCTCCTATCGAGTAAATATGGTCGTCAATGGCAACCAGACCGAATCCCACTCTAGCATGCTCCATGGGAGCGATTGGAAACCATTTATTCTGATAAGGATCATACTTTTCACCAGAGTTGAGGATCTGACATTTGTTATTACGTCCTCCCACTGCATACAGATAACCACCTGTAAAGAAGGCACAGTTCATGATAATTACATTGGAATCTGCATTTGAACTAGGTTTATAAACACTGAGAGAACTACAGCTGAACCTGGTATAGCACGACTCAGTAATCTACTGTAGAATCTGGTGGAACTATCTGATATGCAGCAAGCCAAGTTTACGGGGTTTCAACTCCATACCAGTGACTTGTAATCTCACAGCTTTTCATAGTGTGCCAGCTGAGGACCACATCCTTTCCTGCAAATCACATATACTCAAAACCTCTCCAAAAATAATCCTTAACCACTTAATTGTATTCAGGACAAAAAGAGTTCAGTCTCAGGAAATCACTGCAGAACCAGATTTATTAATACTACTGCCAACCCTGGTTAATGGAGATAAAGGAATCTATTGTTGGACAAGTCCATCTGGATTATGCGAACTCAGATAACTACAGATGAGCCTTGTTTATGGTTATCAAGTCTTTGAAGTGTCATAGTTTGCCTTTCACATGCATGTTTGAAATCTCTATAAAGCTAGGATCCATTGGATGTCATGATGGTGAGCTGTTCGGTGTTATGCTATGTAATAGTCATATTTTAGCCAGATCCTGTTCTGTAATGAACAGCTTTGTTCATGCTTTCTCCTGTCTTGTCAGCAACCATCATTCCGATTCCTAACAGTACTTATCAACTTTCACAATGTTGCCCACTACCTAGACAGTGGTGATTCTGACCAGATCCTTATACCAGTAAAATGTACTTACCTACTTCTACAATGCCATGTCCTATTCTGTTTGTGGTCATATTGGCAAGGTCAACCCACTGACCGTTAGTGTGGTTGTCACGCTTACTGGGAACAATACACCGTACACAGGCCTTTATCTGCAGCTCGTTACTCTTCCTATATATACAAAAATGAATAATATCAAACTTTCATCTCATTTATACACAAAATAAACTTATTTAAATATTTGGTTTATGTTTCATTAAATAGACATATACATTGTATAAACATTTATACTGATCAGGTTGTCCTTCCATTATCAACACCTACAACTCCAACACTGAACGTACAGATTAGCTTAAAGTTTTCTCTAACACTTGACAGGTGCATCCCTGTTTTTCCGATTTTTTTTTTTAGAGAAAACTATTATGCCCATGAATGAAGTATAGGGAAATTCCATCCAGGTTTTTCCCCAAAATGGTTGAAACCCCAGGCTTGCCTTTTTGAATTAAGTGGAAACTTTGAGGGTGGAATTTTCCTGTCCTACACCCCATGGCATGAAAGAGTATTTTTCTCTCATTCCAATCACTAGAATTAGCTCAGAAACCAATAAGAAATGCATTGTAGTTTTGCGTTGCAACATCAGAATGTTCCAGATATTGTGACGTCACTGTTATTCCATTATAACATCACTCTCACCCGTGTGAAACAGGGTGTAACATAGAATGAGAGAAAAATTTGTCTTTACTTGCCTAGTGAGAACATCACCATTCTGTCATCACTTCATACAGTGTAACCAGGGTAACGTCATTAATTTCGCCACATATTTCATACACTTTTGATGATTGCGCAGTGCATTGGATCACCAATACAAATTATTTTATGGTAGGAAAGTAATCAATCACTCCTTTATGATTTAGACAGAAATCTCAACCCTTTGGATAAGATTTTTGAACTTGAGCACTTGGCAAAGTCTCATGCTTAACTTCAAAAACTTAAACTCAAGATGAGATTTCTCTTCCTGCTTCACACCGGGTGCTCGATTCTATAAGTTTCTATGTACCATGTGCACACACTAACTAAAAACCAAACACAGAACTTACACATTTGGTTGTCCCTCCCCGGGCTCAGATTCTGTAACATCCCCACCTTGGCTTACACCTTGGTTGGGATAATATTACGAATCTTAGCACTCGACTGAGATGACCCGATCTCGCTCAGTTACAGGTGATAGATTTTATTAGTCTTTTGAATTACCTGCCATTAACTGACAAGCAAACAAATAATTGCCACCTTAGCCATAATGAAAGTTGTCCCTCCCTGACACACACCAAAAACATAATAGTTAGCCTCGAGCTCTAACACAGAACTTACGTATTAGGTTGTCCCTCCCCACCAGACACCAACAACACCTTGGCAAATCCGCGACATTTATGGTCTGGTTTCAGCATACGAACGTTTGCAACAATTTTCCTAAGAATATCTGGGTCATAGCCAGTGTCCATGCGAGTCAATTTCTGCAGGAACGTATCAGCCATCTGATCAGCACGTAGACAAGACAACATTAAATCCTCCAAACAGACTTTTCGAGTGGCCTCGTCAAACTTGACCCATCTAATTATACTACTAAAGACCTCCTCCTCCGACTTGATTGACAGAGTGTCATGGGACAGCACCTCCTTGAGAGAATCTGGGGACAGTCTTAGGTACTCCTCACAGTGACTGATGTCTCTGGAAACAGATAAACACATTGTGGACGAGTCATAATTCATTTTTGCATATGTAACTTATAGTAATAAGAGTTATTCAAGATTAAAGATCTTAATTGTTTAACTTGAGAAAATGTAACTTCTGATTCCAGTTGTGATGTACAAGTTTAATTATCTGCAAAATATATATAAATATGACACAGGCAAGGGAGATAAATGATAATATTGTTGATTAATATGAGAAAGCTACAGTGATATGATCAACTCCTAGGTATAAACATACCTGATATCAATACTGGTAGAAGTTTGAAAGCTAAGTTTAAGTTTCTAAATTAGACATAAACCTAGAAATAATTTCCGTATTCATGTTCAGGAACAGGTTGTTGAAAATGTAGGTAGAAAAAACACTGTACACCTACCTTACTTTATTTTTCCAAAGCCAATTTTCGAGACATACTTATTGTTTTTAGGACTTACCTAAAATGTTCATCAAGAAACATAGAAGCCTTGAGATGTATCCAGGGACAAGAAAACCTGGAGGAGAACTCCCGGATACCCAGGCAGTTCTGAGCAGTGATACACTGCTCAAGGTAGTCACAGCACAGTTCTTTTAGGTCAACCAGCAACAGAAGATCAGCAGCCTGAAGGATGTCCTGTATGTTTTCATCACTGATTTTGATTTCAGATGTGTAGATGTAATCTAGGATGGTCTCAAATGTTTCAAAACTGATCCCCAGGGATGTAATATTGACGGTTTCCTGTTTGTTCTGAGCTGTGGGATTCACAGGATCTGGCTCATAGTTGAACACTAGCCTGTAAGTGTTTGAATATAAAAAGAAAACAAAGTAATTATTTGGCTATTTAGTCTTTTTATCTCCAAATTAATACCTTCATATATGTTATAAGTACTCCATTAAAAAAAAAATAACGATGCCAGTAAAAGATGCTGTTTAGCCAAATTTGATTAAATATCAACAACTGACTTTTTTGAGATTTTCTGTTTTCCTACTACTCAACTCGCAGAGTTATTCCAAGAAAAAACCTCTACTTAAACAACTACTTGAACTACCATCAAGGCTAAACAAAATTCTAATGTTCAAGATATTGACTTTCATTGCCTTTCCAAATATATATTAATTATGAATATTTGATTAAATTTATTTGATTTTCATACAAGACAAATGTGCCTTTCACACACTAAGAATTATCAACGTTTGAAGATGACCAAATAGAATTAAGGGCTGATTAGGAGTTATTCTAAATCCAAAATAATCAATACAACCATTTCTAGTCTAAATCTTTAAAAGCACAAGAAAGGGCAAGGAAGCATATATTGTATATTTCTTTCAGTGTAATTTTATACACACGTGCCAAGCCTCGATCATAAAAATGCAATATCACCCTGAAATTTCCCACATACACTGTAGGTACATTTATATGAACAACATATCTTCTGAGGTAGCAGTGTACAGTAGCGTACGGTGGCCATGGGTGATATTTTTTAACAATGAATAACCCCTGTAATATTACTTGTATCAAAAGTTAAAAAAAAATCAGTTCTAAAATTGGCATTTACATGATGAATCGGACTATGTGGGTTTCACATTTAAAAAAAAATAAAAAATGGATTTGGCTCGAGACTACACTTTTGGCCATTTACGAATCTGTGTCTACACAACAAAAGCTAGCTTTAAATGTAGTCTATTTTTGTACTCGGCACATGTGTAAATATTGTGAAAAATTTCGTTTGACGACCTATGCTAAAACTTGAGTATCTGTGACCGAGTAGGTGATATTGAATTTAAGACAGGTTTTAAGTAAAAAATTACTAATAATGTGGGTCAAATTTTGGGTTAAAATCATGTTTTTTTTCCATTTTTTGGTGTGGTAACCATGGTTTTCACAAGTCCCAAATCTGGAGAAATAACTTTTTGAAAAAATATTTATTCTTCTAAAAAAAAATGTATTCAAAATGTATTTTATAAATATATATATATATGTAGGTGTGTTGTGCAGGATGAATCCGCTATCCATGTTTATCCGAGACATGCCCTTTATTTTTAGGGTCAAGCCATTTCTACTGTACTCTGCTACCTTTAAGTGGGCTATTTTTGGTTGAATTTAAGGCACTATTTGACTTTAAAGTTCATTACATTTCTATTTTAAGTGTATTAGTATTTTTTTTACAATGTACATACCAAATTTGAGTGAAACTGAACAATTTCTAAATTGCAACTAATCAGAATTCTCTGTGTAGTTGCTATGTCAACGAAACGTATCCAATTGAATTTGCAGTCCCCTAATTCCCCTATATACCAATTTTCATCAAAATCAAACAATATCTAAATTGCAACCAAGCAAAAGTCTTCTTGTGGTTGCTATGGTATCGAAACTTATGCGGTTTTATTCGCAATCCCGTAATACCCCTATATATACCAATTTTCATAAAAATCGAAAAATATCTAATTTTCGACCAATCAGAAGCCTCCCTGTGGTTGTTATGGCAACGAAACCTATGCGGTTGAATTTGCAGTACCTTAATATCCCTAAATACCAATTATCATTAAAATGAAAACAAGTTTGAAGAAAATCGTTAACATTTGTTGTAGTTATTGCACGGAAACGAAACCCAGCAGATAATTACGTTTTTCGTTATTCAAGGGGCCATAACTCTGCTAAATGGGGTTCGCTGAGAGTGGTCATCGAACTTGGCTGAGCTCTCAAGACATTTAACCCTATGACCAAGTTTGAAGAAAATTGGTTAACATTTGTTGTAGTTACTGCACGGAAACGAAGCGTGAGGACAGACAGACATACAGACCCAAATTAATATATCCTGTTTCGGTGAAAGCGGGGAATACAAATAATGTACATTACATGTAACAGGGTCAACACACTTCGACCAATGGGCACAGCCTCAGATAAGAAATCTACTAGGAGATTAGTCTTTATCCTTTCTTACGCTTATTTGTGAAATTAACAACAACGATTTTCCTGGCTTATTTTCAATGTCTCCTGTTGTTGGCCCCGTGGCTTCTATCAGATCATAACAAATGAGGCAGATATCTAACGTGTATCGAGTATCGTGAAAATCAAATCGATGATTATGCGTACTGGGCGATCGATAGTTTATTTTGTTATTGTTATTAACGGCCTCCAACTTTTATACTTCATATGAGGCCAAAAAAATAAAAAATGTCTGTTTAGGGTTCCCGACCCGACCCTAGCTTTTTACCCCTGACCCAAAACTTTTTGATAAAAAAAATGAAAAAATGAAAATAATGAAAGAAAAACACGCTGATTTTCGAATTTGAGAAGGTTCCTTGCCTTTCAAAATGCATGGCTTCCAGCTTCGTGTTGGCACTAACTGTCAGCATATGGAGCACAATTTGCCTCCAAATGAACCTTGTTTATGTAATTCTTTGTTTTACATACAATAGTAGGGTCATAATCACATGGTACACCAAAATATACAAAAAAAAATGACCTACCTACCCTTGTTTTTTTGCCCATGCAACCCTAAACAGACAATATTTTGTTTGGCCTGATATATACCATACATATAGTATAAACTGATGGATGAAGCCCGAGAGTACAAATTAACCCGAACATTAGAGCTCTTCAGAAGTCCTTTGGTTCTTACGGTAAGGTGCATGGAAGCGATGTGATTAGCGATCTTGTCCAAAGTTGTACACGGACGCACTCTAGTACATCCTCTTAAGTGAAAGGATGCTCCCAACCTGATTAATATTATATAAAATATCAGTAGTATTGCTACCGGAATATGAAAATGATGGTAACCTGAAGTAGTGGCTAGCTGCTGCCAGAACGTTTTTCTGTACATAGATACTACTGTCCCTTATGACAACTGTTCCGTCACAGAAAGGCTGGAGCTTTCTGTTTTCGTTCAGGGCATTCAGAATCTTTCTGGCATGCCTCTCACTGGAAAACTTTCTCTGTCGGTCGTCTTCCATGGAGGCAGCCATCTTTCTCGGCGAAACGTAAAACACGAGCCGGTAGGTATTGTTTTGGTATTTATTTTCCGGAATGGTTCATATCGCAAAAGGGGACAAATTGTGTCCTCGATAATTTTGATTGAATAAAGTAAAATATCACATTGATTATTTTAACAACGCATTTAAAACAATTATATTCATCAAATAATGCTACTTAAAGAATTTTTACATAAAAAAATGATACTTAATTGCAAGCGAAAAAAAATAATAATTAAAAATTGCAAAATATCTGTAGGGTGATCATAGGGTACCCAAAATGGAACGGTATCCAAAATGGAACACTTTTAATATGTATGACCACGGACTTAGATAATCTAAGTCCGTGGTATTCTCAATCAAAATTTAGATAGTTTTATGCATTATGAACAAATATCATCTGCCTACCTCTTAAACATTGCTCATAAACTGGATTGAAATATTTAAAAAAAAAAATGAAAAAAATCCCGGGAAACAGTACGATGCGAAAACATAGATATTTCTAAACATGGAAAACTGTATGTTCAAACGAATATTTTAGGAAATAAATCAGTAAAATCTGTCAGGAGTTGTCAAAACTTTTCTTTAAATGAAGAAAATAATTTAAATGCTATCAGTCATTTTCATAAACTGACTTATATGATGAAGTGTTCCATTTTGGATACTCGACCAGCTTAAAGACACACGCGCTGTTGATAACCAAGAAATACACAAGAAGGTAGGAAATTCACCAGATCTGAAAAAAAACAGTTGGAGTCCCAGAAATTTTGTAACTTGAATGAACTACGAATAAAGATATAGGTCGATATCTGAAATATTTTGACTTCAAAAGAATGTGATGTTGTGCGTCGGTATTGTGTAAATAACATCTGTATATAATCAGCGATTCAGCGATAAAGATGGTTAATGTGAAAAGGCAAAACCATTCTTTTAGGGTATGTTGCACTTAATTGTTTTTCTCCTTCATGACTTAACGTCCTATCCGTTACAAACAGTCTTTCGTTAATTTCCATTCCGTTACGGCCACTTTTTCAGAACTTGAGAAAAAAAATGTAATAATTCAATAAGAGAATAGTTTTGATTTGTATTTTTTAAAATATGTGTGCCATGGAGTGCTTTTTTATACCAGAAAAACGTTGTTTAATTGTATTATTAAATTTTCCGTCGCAAAAAGGTTAATGTTCCAATCCTTTAAAACTGAAAAAGCATGAAACTGTTTGAACTGCATGAAATAGTTTGAACTGTTGTCATCAATTCTACGGGAAACATCACATAAATGTTAGGTTGTTGGTTCAGTTGTTAAGTACAAATAAATTGTAAATGATTTAACGGTTTATTTTTTATGTGTCTTGTCATCCGTAAAGCAACGGACACATCGCCGTTACATGTGAGTAATGACGTCATCACTGTGACGTCATATTATTCTGTCGTGCTCAGAAATTGTAAAAAATAGTATCTACTATCCTAACCTTATTCAAATACATGTATCTGGTGGGTTTTTTCCCTTGCTGTAATTTTCTACTAAAAGAGCTCAAGTTCCACATATATATATATATGGAGCAAAGAAGTCATTCCAACAGTGTGGACAAGTTATATATATATATATATTACTTTTAAGACTGCACCGAATAAATGGGTATGCTTTTGAATGTAAATGTAGAAATCTATCCGCGTATCCCGGTTGAAACGGTAACGTTACAGGTGGCGTAGAAATATCATTCCACGATAAACGAACGCACTTGGACCGTTCTATAAGCAGAGCTAAAACAATGTATGCCCTTCTTTCACGCGTCCACTGACTTACATAACGTACTGTATCTACATAGAAAGAAATAACGCAAACTAGCCTAGCAATAGTCAGCATTTTAGTTTCGGTCAGGTACGTCTGGAACCCGCCGAACATATGTGCCTGTCGTTTTCTGTACAGGTTCAACCGTTGAAACCGGATTCGCGAACGAATACATTTTTCCGGATTTCATACGTTTAGCATAGTTTTTCAACTTCCTCTCGAATCATTCCGACTGTGACAGGTTGCAAAGTGAACTTTGTAACCGTTCAAAGGCCAGCTCTGACGTAAGCATAAATAAGACACATTTTGTCATTTGTTACTCGTCAAGATGATTTTCATTTGAAAATGCGATAAAGATGCTTCTTCTTTTACGGGTTGTCACTAGAATGGCTGTGCAGTCATTCAATGCTCGAAAAGATGATAGTGGATCGCTTTCATTTTTCGCGTTCCGACTGTTTAACAAGTCACATCAGATTTGTTCAACTATGAAAAAGCCGAACCTTGTAATCTGATGTTACTTTACAATTTATAATTTTAAGGCCTTCATTAACATTTGCATGTCGATCAGGCTTTATCCCTAAAAGGATGCAACTTGTAAAAGTGGACAAACCAGTTTGGCCTCACAAATGAATAGGCCCCTGTATTTCCAAAAGTGCTTAATCATAAAGTGATAGTTAGATTTAGATCTATTAAACTTGCCACCCATCATATGGGTTATAGATGAACCGCTACTTTCTGTAGAATGCATGCATGAAGCCAACATGATTTTATTGACATTGGGTTTGTATTGTAGGAGGTCCAGTTTCAGTAATTAATTCTGCTATAAAACAATTTGCTGCATGTAATTTTTACTGCAAGTTTGTTGATCTTAAGCTTTTTCTGTAGTGAAAAGAAACACTGCTGATTGTGTCTCTGAACAATATTTAAGAAATTTGGCTCAAACAATGAAGTCCACAATATTTTACTCTCGTACATATAGAAAAAATATCTTTTTAGCTCACTAAATAATGTTCATTATATTGAACGTTTTAGAGTATCCTGTTGAAGTTGAAGTGTCACCATCTATCTCAAAGTTTCCTTATGCTTATAATGGTGTGCATCTAGTATACGTCCATCAATCCGGCATCAGTTTTTTTTCCTTTAAATCTTTTCTTCTGAATAACAAAGAGGCCTACAATTGCAAGAAGAATGTTAGGATAAGTGTAATGCAGTTTGTACAAATGAATGATGACCTGATGATGCATGATGCATGACCCACATTAAGGTCACACGAGTCAAATTTATAAAAACATTTTTTTTAAAAACAGCTTCTTCCGACAAAAAGGCATATAGGTTGATGATATTTGGTCAGTAGCATGCTAGGATGAAAGCTAAGGCTATCAAGTTTGTTCAAATGAATGACTTTAATCTACTTTCAAGGTCGCAGGGATCCATTTTGATACGAGATTCATTTAAGTGTAGGATCGAAATGTATATATGACCATCCAATATCAGACTAGTTAAAAATCCAACCAAAGATTCATAAGTTGTGGAGTAAATAGCTTCCACCAGAGACCTATAATGTGTAAAGCTATGATATTTAGCCTATTTAAATAAATTTTAACTTGACTTTTTTTGAAGGTCACAGATGTGAAATAAATAGCATGTTATAGCAGTTGGAAATCTTGTTTAATTGTCTGTCCTTTTAGGTAATCTAGATATTACATAAATTACAATATATAAGACATTTCTAATGTGATTAAACAATTAATTTCTGCATGACCATTATCACAAATTTGGCATGTGTAATGGTAGATTTAGTGTTATAGTCTTGTTTGAATCCTGTTTGCATTGATTTAAATCCTGACATATAATATTGTCTCATAAGTTGAATTTTTTTTCATATATTTTCTCAGTTCTTTAATTTGCTCTCTCTCTATATATATAAAAAGAACAACTACCAATGATGTGATTTATAATATGACTAAATATTTGTATCGTTTTGATTGTAGGCCAGCTAGAATGTCGACTGAGATTATATTTTCCGGGACTTTGTCCAAGACAAATCCTGAGAATTCACCTGTACTCATAGTGGGCCAAGTGAAGAATCTGACAAGGATTTCTTTTAACGATGTGAAGTTAAAACTGGAACCTCGGGTGGATGCAGAGGTATGTAGTAAGCAGGTTGCATCACGTAATTCAATATAAATAACTCACATCTGTTGTCCCTTAGTGAGACAATTTTTTTGAAATTATGCTTAGTTATTTTTATTACTTGTGTTTGACCTTTCAGAATTCGGTTCATTTCTCTCAAAATTTTAATTTCAATTACATAAACAGGTTTTATTTTATGATTTCTTTTTCATACCCTGAATTATTTTACAAACATAATTGTACAGTAAACCACACATAAAACATATACATGTCAATCTGATTAAAATCACATGTTACATGGCTTCGTTAACTTCGTACTACGCCTGAACATCTGAGTGTGCCGCGGTCAGGGTCACGTTCAGGTGACCTTTATATTTATAAATACTCATTAAATTTTGACCAATCAGAGACCCTCTTTCAAAAGGGCGCTCGGAGATGTAACAAATATGTCGGACATTGATGAAAATGATGCGAAAGTTCTGAAGTTATTTGGGATCGTCTGAAACCCGAACAGAATAAAAATCGAAGCTTTATTAGAGAAGAAAGACTGTATGGTGGTGTTGCCTACACAATTATTACCCAATGGGTATGTTTTCCTTGGCGTTGTAGAAACGTCAGTTCCCGCCGCCATATTCGTTTTGGAAACTAATCTGTTCGATACTCCTCGCTATTTATTAATCAACCATGATATTCCGATTCGCTGGCAAACTTTTGCCAGCGCGCCTCTGATTGGTTCATCTAAAGGTCACTTGAACGTGACCCTGACCGCGGCACATTCAGATGTTCAGGCGGAGCCATGTAACAGATGATTTTAATCAGATTGTATACATGTATACCCCTTGGGATGAGTTCATTATAGGAAAAATATTATTTTTATAAATGTCATGTTCATGAGACAATTGACTCTTCCTGGCCTTGGAAACACAACTATTGCTTCATATGTTCGTATAATTCGTATTTATTCCTTGTACTTTTTTTCAGACTTTCGAGAAGGCAGTTTCTGGTCTCCATCCCTCACCAACAGATTCTTGTCCGTTATGGTTGAACAACGCTGCCGTGTCAGCTCTCCCTACTAAGTGTAGTCGTCACAACACACCCTCACGGGCACACGCCCTCTCCAAGGTTGTAAAGAGCTTTATTGGCAATGGCACCAGTGAATATGTTGTGGTAGGTATTTCAAATTAAATTTCAATTAAAATGAAACTGATTGTTTCATAACCAGATTTGATTTGTTTGTTGTGAAAAAAATCGTTTCCGAGATATGAACTCCTAAAACCTAATCATGAAAGTCTGATTACTAGTTGAAACAACAACTTTTTAGTTGAAATAAATATTTCAAAACAATTTTTTTGAACAAAAATAAAATATAAATGTTGAATCTAGATTGATTTCTTAGGAGTATGAATAATTTAGTAAGGAAAGTTAAAAAAAATGATGAATTCCTTTAAAACAGCTGAATTTGTTTTTGAATCTTCTCCAATAGATTGTGTGTGAAAGAAGTGATGTATTGGCATCTGGCTGTGCAGTGGCTCGCATACTGCCATTGTTCAATGGTAAATCCAATGCCTCGACAGAAAATCGTACTGTAACAGTTGAATTCCTCCTTGTCGGTGATGAAAGTGGGACACGATTGACTGATGAAGACCTTTCCTGTCTCTCAGCAGAAGCCAAGGGAGTTCGGCTTGCAGCAAAGATCGTAGACATTCCATGCTCAGAAATGCACACTGATGAGTTTCTTAAAGTAAGTAGAAATGAGCATTGTTAATTCCGCAACCACTAATCTGGTTGTCACAATTTTCATCAACACATATCTGATTGTCCTACAACTCAGTTTACATTAATCTGGTTGTCACAGTACTCATCAACACATATCTGATTGTCCTACAACTCAGTTTACACTAATCTGATTGTCACAGTTCTCATCAACACATATCTGATTGTCCTACAACTCAGTTTACACTAATCTGGTTGTCAAACTTCTCATCAACACATATCTGATTGTCCTACAACTCAGTTTACACTAATCTGGTTGTCACACTTCTCATCAACACATATCTAATTGTCCTACAATTCAGTTTACACTAATCTGGTTGTCCCACTACTCATCAACACATATCTGATTGTCCAACAACTCAGTTTACACTAATCTGGTTGTCACAGTACTCATCAACACATATCTGGTTGTCACACTACTCATCAACACATATCTGATTGTCCTACAACTCAGTTTACACTAATCTAGTTGTCCCACTATTTATCAACACATATCTGATTGTCCTACAACTCAGTTTGCACTAATCTGGTTGTCCCACTATTCATCAACACATATCTGATTGTCCTACAATTCAGTTTACACTAATCTGGTTGCCCCACTACTCATCAACACATATCTGATTATCCTACAACTCAGTTTACACTAATCTGGTTGTCCCAATATTCATCAACACATATCTGATTGTCCTACAACTCAGTTTACACTAATCTGGTTGTCACAGTACTCTGCCACCACTAGCTCTATAACCACAGATAATAATTTGTGAACCGCTTTGAGACGACCTACCAACTAGGTAGTGATAAAGCGGTATATAAGAACCTCAAATTATTATTATCATTATTATTATTATTACCACTGATTTGGCTGTCCCACTGCTTAGCCATCCCACTTATAATCCAGTTATCCCATTGTTTTAGATAGTTTGGTAACAAACCTCTTTTCTTGTAAAACAAAAAGTCCCAGCCATTTCACAATTTCACCATTTAAAAGTAGCATACAATAGTATGATTCCTTACAGATAAGCTCACCTTAGAATAAACTTTGACGTTACTGTTAGTTCATACATATTTTTCACTTTGTTTGAAATTTGTAATTTATGATCTTTGAGTCTGAAATTTTATGTGCCTGCTATGAATTGCATTGGCATAAAATGTAGCCCTTGTCCATTTGTGTTTGCACCCATTGTTGTTGATCATGTGTATATATAACCATTTCTGCACTTCCTGATGGTACATTTGTTTTAAATGCAGTTATTGTTCTTTTTTAGCTATTGGAGATTATAAGACTTTTTCATGCCCAGGGGTGTAGGATAGAAGCCGAGGGTTTTGCCAAATTTGAAAATCCAGAGGTTGGAATTTCTCTATCCAACACCATTGGGCATGAAAGAGTATTTTTCTCCATTCCAACTACCAGAATAAGCTCAGAAACCATGAAAATGCGTTTGGATTGGCCACCATTTTGAAAATATCAAATTTCCCCCTGAGTTTTTTAGACGAAAATGAATCAGCCAGCCAGATTTAGCATATCCCATATTTGCAAACAGCTGTTTGCGCAGAAAAATTAATCACATCTTTCTAACGTGTACGGTAAATATATCGTAGAATGTTTTAATTTTATCATGTCGACTTTTCCGCATTGCGACATCGGAGAGTTCCAAATTTGTGACGTCACATCATTGTTGAGCCATTGTGACATCATGTCACATGAAATGGGGTGTAAGATAGAAATTCCATACACCCTTTTCTTACCCGGGACAGCTCTATCTTACACACAGGGAGGTAAGAGAAAAGTGAATAATCAATATTAGGTGATGGTTGTTGTGGCACTTATAGTTAATTATATAAAGGCTGAACTAATTGTTAACATGTGTAAAGTGGGCTCCAGGAAAGATTAAGTGGCTCCAGGAAAGATAAAGTGGGCTCTAGGGAAGATAAAGTGGGTGCCGGGAAAGATAAAGTGGAATCCAGGAAAGATAAAGTGGGCTCCAGGAAAGATAAAGTGGGCTCCGGGAAAGATAATTATTGGTGGTGAAGATCACAAATAATAAAATAAAAAATTAGATTTTTTTTTCAGGTTGTTTGTAGAATATTTTCCATTAGATATGAGCTTTTTTTCTAAAAGAAATTTCAATTTGATGACTTTTATTGTTTTTCAGGAGATCCAAATTGTAGGTGATGAGCTTGGTATACATCCAGTGGTTATACGAGGAGAGGATCTAGATAAACAGGGATTCGGAGGTATATATATGTATTACTCATGCATTTGTACATGCCAAATATTTCAGAGACCATTACCAGTATTAAGGGAGATTGATGATCTTAATAAGGGATTTGGGTTTCCATTTAAGGAGGCTAGAGTGACAGTTATCAACATTTTTATCTGACCCTTTCCGACACATTTTTGCTGACTAATTTTTTACATTTTTTTATGTTTTGTCATATAATATATAGATATTTTTATTATCTTGGGTAATTCAAATTATTGAATTACTTACCTAAAAAGTACCCTCATAACTTCCGTTTCCTTTATTATTATTCAGGAATCCTATTTATGAATTGATTTGCTGAAATTTTTGTATCCTAGGTAGAATGTTTCAGAAATAAATATTATTATTTGCTATTGATCTCAATCTGCCTTCAAGTCTTTTGTTCATAAATCTAGATTATGAGACAAACAAAATCTGGTTTTGTTATCGCCCGCTCAACGAGTTGGCGGGAGATATAGAAATGGGGTTTGTCTGTGCACCTGGTTAAAAAGAATTGCTCTCATCTATATCTTGCCTACTACAAGTGCTATGTTGATTATACTTGCATCAATTGTGTATCTAGGGTTGCTCTACTGAATGCATATTGTGGATGCTGATTTTGATTTATTTTTTACATGTTAATGTTTTAATGACTTTTGCACTGCAAGTGGGGGATATTGATGACAGTGTCTTCTTGTTACTTCGTTATGTGTTCCATGAGAAAATTTGCTAGAATTCATGTATTATTTCGATCTCTTTCTATGCTTCCAGGTATATATACTGTGGGAAAGGCAGCAGTGAATCCTCCTGCTCTGGCCGTCCTCAGTCACCAGCCATCCGGGGCAACAAAGAGCATTGCCTGGGTTGGGAAGGGTATTGTGTTTGACACTGGTGGCCTCTGTATCAAAACTAAGGTGAGGAATGTACGAGGAGCTGTGTAACTGACTTGCATTACAGATTTTTTGATTTCCTGTCTTATATTCCCTGCCATTTTAACACTTTTACAACTTCATACATGTAGTCAGCTTGAAGTGAGAAGTTGTGTCAGTCAAAGTGTTCTTACTACTTGCAGACAGGTATGTGTGGGATGAAGCGAGACTGCGGCGGGGCTGCTGGTATCCTGGGAGCTTTCTATGCTGCTGTCAAAATGGTATGCACAGGTATAGATCTCCAGGAAAAAGAACTTACACACTGAAAATCTGTGGGCTGATACAAAAAAACGGCTTTTGTTTATTTTCTATCTATCGACCAGGTTGGATCACATTTCTATGTGAATGAGATTTTTTTAAAAAGTTTTTATGAACATTTACTGATTTTTCTCCAAGAACCTTTAATTAACTAAAGCTTTCTGTTATTTAGACTTCACATTTGCTTACAAAATGTTTTACCTAGATTACCATAATTTCTTTTTTCTTCGGAGGATAGGGTTTCAGTGAGAACCTACATGCTGTGTTCTGTCTAGCAGAAAACGCAGTAGCCTCTAATGCAGCCCGACCAGATGATATTTTCACCATGTATTCTGGCAGGTAAGTACACACATACATGTACCAGGTATGCATTACTAGGGCCTCAACATGTACTCAGACAGGTACTTGGTAAGTACACATAAACACTACCAGGCCCACACAAAGTACTCAGGCAGGTTAGTACACCTATACACTGCCAGGGCCTCAGCATGTACTCCGGCAGGTAAGGAAACCTATTAACTACCAGGGCCTCACCTTGTACTCTGGCAGGTTAGTACACCTATACATTGCCAGGGCCTCAGCATGTACTCCGGCAGGTAAGGAAACCTATTAACTACCAGGGCCTCACCTTGTACTCTGGCAGGTAAGTACACCTATACACTGCCAGGGCCTTACCATGTACTCCGGCAGGTAAGGAAACCTATTAACTACCAGGGCCTCACCTTGTACTCTGACAGGTAAGTACACCTATACACTGCAAGAGCCTCACCATGTACTCCGGCATGTTAGTACACCTATACACTACCAGGGCCTCACCTTGTATTCAGGCAGGTAAGTACACCTATACACTGCTAGGGCCTTACCTTGTATTCAGGCAGGTTAGTACACCTATACACTACCAGGGACTCACCATGTACTCCTGCAGGTTAGTACACCTATACACTGCCAGGGCCTCACCTTGTATTTAGGCAGGTTAGTACACCTATACACTGCTAGGGCCTTACCATGTATTCTGGCAGGTTAGTACACCTATACACTGCCAGGGCCTTACCATGTACTCCGGCAGGTTAGTACACCTATACACTGCTAGGGCCTTACCATGTATTCTGGCAGGTTAGTACACCTAAACACTACCAGGGCCTCACTGTGTACCTTGGCAGGTTAGTACACATACACACTACCAGTGCCTCACCTGCAGGTACTCATTCAGGGTAGTACACATATACATAACTAGGGGTTCACAATGTACTCTGGTAAGTTAATTCATATTATGCGGTATAAGTATTCATCATGTGCTCAGACTGGTGAGTACAATGTCAGAACCTTGTAACTACTGTATACTGGCAAACATTCACCCAGTCAAACTTTTGCCCTATGCTTATTAAGTCGTGTTAATTTCGCCCTTAACGATTGATTACTATGTTTAATATGTTGTTTTCTAATATTTACTCTAATGACCAATTCACCCTCCTTGCAGATAGCGAAAAAGGTGAAATATCAATTGCGATGAAATTTTCCAGGTATACAGTATACATTGTACAAGTTGTAAAAGTCCTATTTTCCAAGTCATGTCTTGGTCTGAAATTGGATCATATTACTGAGCATGCTTTATCTGAATATTCATTATTGCTATCATATTGTTTTAAATAGTAAAAACCTGTTCAAAAATTACAATGACATTCCTCACTCTATTTCAGAAGCATTTTTTTTATATATTGTAGAACAGTAGAAATGAACAACACTGATGCAGAAGGACGTCTTGTCTTGGGAGATGGAGTGAGTGTTTCTAGAACAATAACTAGTCCCTAGTTATTTTTTTCTGTTTGAAGGTCCATTTGATTGGAGGCTCGGTAGTCTGGTGGTAGGACGCCGAGCTCGTGCCCGAAGGGTGGCGGATTAGAGTCGCATCACAGCACTGTGTTGTATCTTTGGACAAGATACTTTACTCTGCTTGTTCCAGTCTACTCAGCTGTAAATGAGTACGTGACTGGGCAGTGCTAGAATTGCAGAATGCTAGCTGTGAGCGCCGAAATGGCAGCACCGGTTGTATGCTCCCCAGGGAGTTGAGGAAGATATTGGCTGGTTGCAAAGGCCCTATAACCACGGAAATGTAAACCTTAATATGAAGATTGTTCAAAAGTTTAATCTTTTTACAGAATTGAACCATTCAATTTTTACAAAGAAGTTATTGAGTAAATGATTATAATTAAAATCATGTACCATGATGTTCTTTCATCTGTTGTACAGTTTAGATACATTTATGTTGACATAATACAAGTTCTTTGTAAGAAATTAAGAAATAAATAAGTATGTTCCTCTTTGACAGGTTGCTTATGCAAGAAAAGATCTGAAGGCTGACGTGGTTGTAGATATGGCGACATTGACTGGTGCTCAGGGGATAGCTACAGGTATTTCATAATTTATTGGTAGCTTTGGCTACCACTTTGGATATGTTTATTTCGTTTGTAAATGATTCAAATTGAACCGAAAAATTGCTATCCTTAAAAATGAAAAATGCATGTCCTTTTGTTCAAAATGATTTTCATCAAACTTGACAAAGTATGAATACATGTAGAATCAATAACATTTTTAGATGTAGTACAATCAAATTCTGTGCATGGATGAAAATTCTGTCGGTGTCTTTATCTATTTTTCAATTTATTACCCACGGGCCAATCATTCTCCTTTGGGGAGGGGGTAAAGTTGACTTTAGTTAATATAGGGAAATAATACTTTTGCGTATTGTTTGTCCATTTTCAACAGGAAATTATTCAAACTTGGTTGGAATAATTATGATGCTAGATGGCAATTAGATGGTATGAGAAAATAAGATCCTGCCCCATCCCCAGGGGCTTGAGGGGTGGGGCCCAAATGGGGATTATGGTTAAAAGTAAAAGATCTTCTTCATCAGACTCAGATGTTTTACTGTTCATGGATAGAAAGGTCCTTACCTAAATTACCATTACCTAAATTATAAATTTTATTATCCCCCAGATCATCTGCTCTCCCTTGGGGAGAGGGTATAATTCTCATTAGCAAAATGATTTATTTGAATAGTTTTTAAAGTTCTTATCCTTTTGGTGACATGACAAGTAGTGTATTTCAATTTGTTTACATGTTTCCACATTTTGTACATCTCAACAATGAAATTGAGCTACTGGTACCTATAATATAACTCAGGTGACCGCTAAGGCCCTTGGGCCTCTTTTCATTATTAAGTGAACTTGCTAAACTGTTCCCATATTCTAAGATGTAATGATGTCATCTGAAAGAACAACTCAAAATATGTCATTTTAAAGGGTGATTTCGGTTCTAGGGGTCGCATACACTCACAGTATTTATGTTTTATTTTTGAGCATGCAGAATCTCCCCCATTGAAATTTAAAAATTGGCAAGTATGACATAGGTAAATCTAATATTAACACCAGAATGCCACTACGCCATCAAAGGCTCGTACATAATGTCATTGGAAAGACGGGACGTGGAGGTAGATCTCCCACACTGGGCTCTTAAGAGGTTGGCAACTCTCACAATTATGACAAAAAAATCTATCAGATAATGTGGGATTAATATTAGGAAACATATAACAGATGGTTTTATACACATGGATTAAGTAGAGTTCATTGTATTACCAGGGAAGTACCATGCCTCCGTGGTCACCAATAATGAGGACATTGAGCTGGCTAGTGTGAGAGCAGGAAAGGCCAGTGGTGACCTCGTCCATCCCATGCCTTACTCCCCAGAGCTCCACTACAGCGAGTTTGCCAGTGCTATGGCCGATATGAAGAATTCTGTTGCAGTAGGTATTACGTGTACTATAAAGATAAATGATGAAGATCAGTAAAGAATATCAGATAAATAAAAAAAAATAAAAAATTCAACAGTCAATTTTTTTTAAGCAAAATACAATTTCATTTTAAAAGGATTTTAATAGGATTTAATAGGACAGATGATGGACACATTTAATTATTTGCCTCTGTGTCCATATTATGTAACAGGTTAAAAAGTTATGAAACAATAAATTTAATTCTGGTAAATTTGTACAACAAATCAGTTATGAAGTTTTTTTCATGAAAATAAAAATAAAAGGAAGAAGGGAGAAGTTAACTGTCAGAGAATATGTGATACATTCCCCCAGTTCAAGGTAGGTATTGGTCTATAGATGTATGTTATGTAGGTATAAAGTAATATTAGTGTACATACATTATGTTTCAGGACAGGGGTAATGCACAAGTATCCTGTGCCGGCCTATTCATTGCCTCACACCTGGGATTCGACTATCCCGGCACTTGGCTTCACATAGACATGGCCTACCCTGTTTACAGTGTAAGTATTAGATTTGGAAGGGTAAGCAATCTGTTGTCCAAGTAAGAAACTCCACAATTTCTTGGGCTTTGTGGTGAAGCCTTGACGATTTCCACGGGATGAACTGCAAATATACAAGAAAAAGGCACAGCAGGAAAAAGATGACACAAGCAAACGGGTGGGAGGGTTGGGATTTTTGCTTCGGCAATTTTGTACCATTCCAAGATAAGACCAATAAGGGGCGATTACTTTTTAGTTAAAATTTAATCACAACAAATATCTACCATATGAAGAGATGTAACTCGAATGCTAAAACCCTGAGATTAAACTTTTACTCACTTGACCCATAAGGAAAAATAAAGTGTTAAAAGACTACTTATGTATTGGTTATGGGATTTTAACCCAATTTGGTATAAAATGCTTTTGGGCCATGGGATTTCAGTGTTGTTTAAACGAAGAGTGTGATCCTTGGGGGGGTTAGGCAGCTCTATGAGGCCCAATATGGAAAACAGTGGGTAAATATGTAACGGACTACTTCATATGTACTTGTGAAGGGATTTTAACGAAATTTAGCATGAAGCATTCCTGACTAAGGTGTTCATTGTTGTATAAATGAAGGGAGTTGCATTCCTTTGGGGCAGAGTAGGCAGATTGAAACCCAATTAGTGATATGGAAGAAAGTATATAAGATATTGTTCACTAACTACAGGTGAAGGAATCCCAGATTTAAACAAATTTGATAAGAAGCATTCCTGGGCAAACAAAATAAATGTGGTATACAAATCATGTAATGTGAACAACAGTAGAATATATCAAGATTATACACTCTTTGCCTAAGGAAGGAAACAGACGTTTTCAAAAACTAGCAAAATAAGTTTTCAATTCATGTTTGTTTTCAAAACAAACCTCACCTTTAACAGTAGAATTGTCCCTATGTAAATGAAAAATGGAGTCTTTCTCTATGGACCAGATGTAATGGTAAGTTCATTGTATCGTTTCTGCATGGAATTTTCTTATGAACAAGCAAATAGGGTTAAAATTGTCAGTTCAGCTTTTTCATATATGCTATGCTGAACATTGGAAACAAGTTAATATTGACCTCTTTCTATTTGATTTTAGGTCACCTAAGCTATGCTCAAGTGACCTATTCTGATCGCTTTTCGTCGTGCGTACACTTTTTACATTTTTCGACTTCTTCTCAAGAACCAATAGGATTTTTGCAAACTTGGTCAGAATATCCTTGGTATATGAGGCTACAAAAAGTATAAAATTGGGATACCTACCTCAACCCAAGGGGCCAGGGCGGGGCCCCAAAGGGAAAATGAATCAATATTTCAATAAATCTTCTTCTCCAGACTTGGAGGTACTACAGTCAATTTCTCTGTATGGAAGGAAAGATCATCAAGGGCTTTATTTAAATTGTAAATTTCAGTACCCCAGGGCCATCCGTTCTCCCTTGGAGAGCGGTAAGTTTGCCATAGTTTATATAGGGAAATAAAACTTTTGGGTATACATGTATTTTGTTCATTTTTTGTAGGATTTTTTTCTTACTTGGTGAGAATAATCCTTGGAGGAAGATGGTATCATATTGTAAAATTAGCATTCCTGCCCCAACCCCAGGGGTCAGGGCGGGGCCCCAAAGGAAAAATTAACCAAAATTTCAAAATTCTTCTTCTCCAGACTCGGAGATACTACAGTCCTCAATTTCTCTGCATGTATGAAAAGATTATCAGGTGCTTTGATGAAATTGTAAATTTCAGTACCCCCGGGCCATCCATTATCCTTTGGGTAGGGGGTAAATTTTTTTACTATTGTTTATATTTTGGCAATTTTCTGTAGGAAATTAATCCTACTTGGTGAGAATCATCGTTGGAGGAAGATGGTATCAAATTGTAAAATTGGGATACATGCCTCAACCCCAGGAGCCAGGGCGGGGCCCCAAAGGGAAAGTTAACAATATTTCAAAAATCTTCTTCTCAAGACTCAGAGGTTCCACAGTCAATTTCTCTGCATGTATGAAAAGATCATCAAGGGCTTTGTTTAAATTGTAAATTTTAGTACCCCAGGGCCAACCATTCTCCTTTGGGAAGGGGGTCATTTACTATAGTTTATATAGGGAAATAACACTTTCAGGTATACTTGGCAATTTTCAGTAGGACATTAATCTTACTTGGTGAGAATCATCCTTGGAGGAAGATGGTATCAAATTGTAAAATTGGGATACATGCCTCAACCCCAGGGACCAGGGTGGGAAACCAAAGGGAAAATTAACCAATATTTCAACAAATCTTCTTCAAACTCAAATGTAGTACAATCAAATTCTGTGCACGGATGAAAATTCTGTCAGGGGCTTTATCTATTTTTTACAATTTTATTATCCCGGGCCATCCGTTCTGTTTTGGGGAGGGGGTAAAGTTGACTCTAGTTTATAGAAGGAAATAACACTTTTGGGTATATTTTGTCCATTTTCAGCAGGAAATTATTCAAACTTGGTTGGAATGATTATGATGCCAGATGGCAATTAGATGGTATGAGAAAATAAGATCCTGCCCCATCTGGGGATTATGGTTAAAAGTTAAAAGTCATTCTTCATCAGACTCAGATGTTTTACTGTTCATTGATGGAAAGGTCCTTACTTAAATTACCATTACCTAAATTATCAATTTTACTACCTCCCAGGTCATCTGCTTTCCCTTGGGGAGAGGGTATAATTCTCAATATCAAAATAATTTAGTTGAATAGTTTTTAAAGTTCTTATCCATTGGTGACATGACAAGTATTGTATTTCACTTTGTTCACATTTTTCCACATTTTGTACATCTCAACAATGAAATAGAGCTATCAGTACCTGTAATATAACTCAGGTGACCGCTAAGGCCCTTGGGCCTCTTGTTTTTAATAAAAGAGGTAGCATTTATATAAACTGTTTTCATCATTTCCTTCAAGGGTGAGAGAGCGACAGGATATGGTGTTGCCTTACTGACCACTTTGTTTGGTCAGCTATCCCATAGTTCCTTGCTGCAACAGATGGCACCGTCTATAACACTGACGGAGGCAATGGACACTGACCCAATTGACTGTTCGGACAACAACAAGAAGATGCGTCTCGGCTAGAACAACGGTCGTCACAGGATGAAAATACCTTAGGATGCCCTCTCTTCAGTAAACTGTCTACTTTTTCAAGTTCTATCCATATCTTGTTAGAGGCCATCTTCAGGTTATTTTCATATTTCATTTTAAATCCACCCTAGCTCAATAAAAAGTTTCAGAGTGATCTTGACTTGACATTAAGGTTGGATGCTATTTATTGTGAGATGTGTCTCTTTGAACATGATGTGTAGTAGCAGTACTGTCAACTATTTTTCTGGAACAGAACAAGATAAAAAGGTTGAAAATAGGATAAGGTTGTTGAAAGCTCAGTAATTGAAAAGTAATAACAAATATTAAAATTGAATGTTATAAAGAAAAATAGTATTTGTAGGTTTGCCCAGATCATATATTTTGATTTGTTTTAACTAGGAAAACATTAACATACTGATTTTTTGATATTTTACTGAAGTGGGCAATTCAAATGGAAGACCACGTTTTTTGCAGATATTTATATTGTTGGTTTTCTTATATTTTTTATATCAAACTGGTATCTGTATATGAAAAATTACCATTTGTCCCATAAGTTTACAAAGCTAAAGAATTTTTCTTGTCAATAAGTGCTAAATATAGCTGCAATATTTGTTGTTTGGTAATTATAATGTGGTATTTATAAAGTTTTGAATTGAAATGACATGTGCCATTACTGTGTTGTGTGTATGAAAAGGAGTCCTAGAGGGCTACATATATTGTGTGATGATTCTTTTGCATGACCATAATTGATATTGCAGCAAAGTTATGACTATATCAGAATCAGTGTCTACATATCAGCAAGTTGAACTTCTAGATTTTCCAAGATCAGGTTTTCATAGAATACTAAAATATTAAAATATATTGTTTGGTTTATTTATAACAATATTTTATTATTTTTGAACACCAGTTGAAATTTGATAACTCTATGTAAATTATGAATAACTAAATAAATAATCTTTATTAACGTCGTGTACAGTGTCAACAATAAACCTAAGCTTTGGAGAACTTTTATTGCTAATGGAACAAATGTTGTTTTGGTGATGGAGGAAAACACACGGGGAAAACCACCGTGCCATCGGAGGGATAACAACTAAACTTATCAGACATCACTCTATTTTTCCGCCACCGCTGGGGATCAAACCGAAATTCTTGGGAGAGTTGGTTGTTTGAAGCTCACGCTTCAGCTTGATTGCACACATTAGTAATGACTGTGCGCATTAGCATTGTAAACATTAAACATTAAACATTGTATATATATATATATGTAAAAAAAAAATTAGGGAACACCAAGACTTCACTTTACCAATATAACTGAACTATCTGTATAATTTATCCAGCTAAAACCCCCCTCAACAGTAAGATAGCTAAGCAGACAAGTTAGGTTGTTTGTGTTGTAACAGGGAGGTCGTGTAATAAGTGCACTCCTCGAATCAGGACAGGTGTGTGAAGAATGCTTTGTGAAACATGTTTAAAATTATGTTCTTTTTTCCTCATTTCCTCATTTCTTCATTCATGTGTGTTAGACATACATAGAATTTTATTTAATATAACTGTATGAGTCTGATGGACCTAATACAAAGGCTGTGTCTTACATATTGGAGACTGCTTATATTTTGAAAACTAAATGCCCATTATATATTGAACATTGTACACCTTAGCATTGCTAGGGTTATATTGTGTGTCAGCCTTATGGTAATTAGCTATTGTCTCCAGTAATCCTTACTTAGTAAATTTTTCCTCAAATTTTCATTTACAGTTCTTAGTTAAGCTTGGTACACTTACCATCAATTATGGTAAGCATACCAACGTTACCAAGAATGAGCATTTTGTTTGTAAATTATTTTCAATCTTCACAATGTCAGATTGTATTGCAAATATGGTCACAATTGTAGACAACAGTAACTTAAGATAGAGTGTTCCAACATATTTCGCCTGTATACAGGCCTTAAAATGCTATTGTACTGTTAAATTTATGTTATTTCCTCATTATTCATACAAAGAAAATTACAGAATGAAAACTTATTTGGAAGCCAGAATGGTTTTGTAAGGATATTATAATACACAAATTAAGCAACTCCAAAAATAATCAAACTCCTTTCTATGTTGGAGATGCAACAAAGACCGATGGGACATGTACAGTCTACCTTAATCTGAAAAAGTATGTAACCTGTTTTAATACATGAAGAGCAATGTTGATTTGGTCAATGCACATACATCAAATTGAAAGAGAATGGGATAAAAATGATCTAAAAATAAATTATAACCACTGAATGACCAAAGTTTTTGTTGTTAATGCAATTTAAGCAGTATATCGGGGCCGCTTTTGTTTATCGCAATCCAAAAGGTTGGACCTATGCACCAAAGTTGTTCATTTATGAAATAGGAAGGGACACAGTGATTTGTTGTTTTCCGCCACACCTTGGCAAAGACTTTTAAGGTCTGCATCTATCTTTCCTTTCCTCGAATGATGTCTGGTTCTTTTGAAGCTGCGTCCAGAGGCAATGGTAGCAGTGTATAGTAGCGTACGGTGACCATGGGTGATATTTTTGTACAATGAATAACCCATGTAATATTACATGTATCAAAAGCAAAAGAAAATCAGCACTAAAATTGCCACATACTTGATGAAGTTGACTATGTGGGGTTCACATTTAAAAAAAAAAATCGAATTTGGTTTGAGACTACTTTTTTGGCCATTTGCAAATCTGTGTCTACACAACAAAAGTTAGCTTTTCATGTAGTCTATTTTTGTACTCAGCACATGTGTTAATATTGTGAAAAATCCAGTTGAACGACCTATGCTAAAACGTGAGTATTTCTGTTACCGAGTAGGTGATATTCAATTTAAGACAGGTTTTAAGAAAAAAAAATACTACTTGCATGGGTCAAATTTTGGGTTAAAAATCATGTTTTTCTTTGCATTTTTAGGTCACCTGAGCTTTAGCTCAAGTGACCTATTGCTATCCGTTTTCGTCCGTCGTCGTCCGTCGTCCGTCGTCCGTTAACATTTTACATTTCAAACTTAAAGTCAAGTTCTGCTGGGCCGATTGAACTGAAAGTTGGTAGGAATGATCGCCTCATGGTCCTGACAAAGTGTTGTTATTTTTCGGGTCGATCAGAAATCCAATATGGCCGCCACGGCCGCCATTTTGAAAACCTATTTCAAACTTAAAGTCAAGTTCTGCTGGACCGATTGAACTGAAAGTTGGTAGGAATGATCGCCTCATGGTCCTGACAAAGTGTTGTTATTTTTCGGGTCGATCAGAAATCCAATATGGCCGCCACGGCCGCCATTTTGAAAACCTATTTCAAACTTAAAGTCAAGTTCTGCTGGACCGATTGAACTGAAAGTTGGTAGGAATGATCGCCTCATGGTCCTGACAAAGTGTTGTTATTTTTCAGGTCAATCAGAAATCCAATATGGCCACCACAGTCGCTATTTTGTAAATACCTATTCTAAACTTAAAAACAATTAATAATAGGCCGATCTTATTTAAAATCGGTCTAGGAATGATCAGCTCATGGTCCTGACAAAGTTAAGTTAACATTATACTTAACTATTTTTTACTTAAATTGGTACATATTTCAACAGCAAAAATAAATACTGCAGGACTCAGGTGACCGTTAAGGCCCATGGGCCTCTTGTTTGTCGTTTTTTGATGTGGTAACCATATGGTTTTCACAAGTCCCAAATCTGGGGAAATCAAATCGTCCTTCTAAAAAAATGTATTCAAAATGTAGTTTATAAATATATATATCTATGTAGGTGTTTTGTGCAGGATGAATCCGCTATCCATGTTTATCTGAGACATGCCCTTTCTTTTTAGGATCCAGCCATTTCTACTGTACTCTGCTACCAATATACCAAATATATATATATATTTACATACGTGTGCATATTCGCAATGGGTCTTAAAACGGGTACAAAAACAGTGTCAAAGTAATGGGGAAGAATAAGAAAAAGCCAATTAAGGATAAGGACAAAAACAAAGGTCAGGTAGTCATCCCGTATATGAAAGGTATATCCGAAAAAATCCAGAGGATATCTCGTGGTCATAGCAACAGCAATGAAGCCCCACAAGACGCTTCGTAATATCCTAGTATTCCCTAAAACACGTAAAGAAAACGTCGCAGACTGCGTATACAAAATCGGATGTAAAATCTGGGATGCCTCGTATATTGGAGAGACTGGAAGGTGATTTGTGGTCAGCCTTGGTAAATACTGGAAAGATACGGAATCATCCTCAAATGTGCTATTTAATTTGTATTAACTTTGTGTGGTCCAATAGCTATTAAATTTAGAAGTGTGTACAGTAGAAACGCTGCCAAAATATGAAGATGAATAAAACCTAAGTATTGAATAAATAAAAGATTCAAATAATGCTCTCAAAGCAACCAGATAGCAATTAATATAGAATATTTTATATTTCGATATATTTTCCGGGGTTTGGGGTGTTCCCTTAGGACGGTTAGATGATAAATTTAGCATGCTTTGAGCAACACACTGCAGTCTGTTGGAGAGGAGTTCTAATTTCAGGCTGATGATGCAATCCCGTACCCCATAGTTGTCATGTTTGTCTTTGAGGCGACGACGAAGGACTTTGTCAAAAGCCTTATAGAAGTCTAACAAAAAAGCGTTCTTTCCTATCTAGTTGATGGTCTCCAGTAGCTAGTTTCGAATGAAAGTCTGGACCTGAAGCCACGATGTTTCATCACACCTGGATGCCGAGTTTTCCTAAAAGGACATCACTATTTGTTATGGACTTTTATAAGTCAGAGAGACAGGGCGATAGTTGGATGCTCGATGTTCTTCCATTCTCCAGTGAATACTGGTATACTCGGGTCAAATCAGGTTCTGGTTCTTCAGCAGCGAAGTTGAAGATGGATACCAGTAAAGAATCGAGTGCCGTAGTCTAAAATGGTTCAGTAGCTTCGCTCTTCTAGTACGCCTTAATGTTGTCCATGTATCTATATAGTCTAGTTCTCGACCTTCCCTCTTTCCGTTATGGATAAAATGAAACTGGTCATTGTAAATCTTTACCTTAGATGCGACTTCGTTGTATAAACAACCATCTTTGTTCCTTCGGAGAAGTCTGCTGTTAACTCTTAACAATTGACCAGAATTGCTTAGGGTTTTCCTTCATATAACCACTACAATTACTTTGTGCCTTCACCAAAGGTACGCTCGGCTCTTTTGGAGTATCTCTGTTGCTCAGTTTTCAGATCCTGTGCTGGTTAATGTCCGCACGGAAAAAAAGTTTTGGGCCCGTATTCATGAAACCGTTCTCATGCTCAAGCATGGATTCTGTGCTCAAAGCATTTTCTTGTAACTCTCTTAAATCATATCAAATGATCAAAAAGTCTCATGTAAACAGTGTTCGGCCTGGAGTCTCGCCAATGTTTTTCCAAATCATTAACAAAATAAGATTTGTTTATTAGGCTTGAGCACAACACGAGAGCGATTAAATGATTACGGGCACTGATGTCCTCCCATACGGAGTTGACGTCTTCAAATTTCTTCGCCTTAATGTGGTATTCTAAAGCATCCTTGGTCAATGGCACAAGTGAGGTAGAGTCTACATTACAAGGGTGACCAGTTTTTCCCGTGAATAACTACCGAAAGTCGATTGAAATGATATTCACAATATTCGAGAAATACGTGTAGTAAAACTAATTCACATAACATAGAATAACATAATAGATTCAATATCATTTCGATTACAATTTGTCTGCGTAATCAATGTTTTGGTCGGATAACGTATTTCTCTAAGTCCCCTGTTCTTATATCTGTACATTTTTTCTCCACTGAAAATGTTTAACTGATAAAATGGAGATAAAACTGATTATAGCGGATATTTTTGGCCTATGAACAAACAAATATGTTGACTGTATAAACTAGAATAAGTACATTTAATAGATAATTTTGGCTGGTATACGCATGTTAGATCCGGGTGTGACGTGTTGTGGACTGATAGTATACTAGGGGTAATGCAGTTACAATTTCGTGGAATACGAACATGATAATTACGCGGTGACACTCTAGGATGGTTTTTTTTTTCACAGGTAAACCATCTATAGCCAAATATCTGAACTGCACATTTAAGGGTAAGATATGTGAACAACAAACCACACTTGTCATAAGATGCTTTATTATGAACAATAGACACCTCTCACTCTGTCAATCTAAAGCTACGATTAAATAATAAAATCTATTGTGCAGTGGATATTTTAGTTTTTTTTCAGGACGATCTTTTCCCATTTCATGCAAATCTTTTCTTAGGCATATGAGATATACTTATATCATTGGACTTTTGGGAAGGGATGTCCTCATTTCGAAAAACCATCCTATGCTAGAACAAACACCATCTCCCTTTTTGGATTAACATCATGTCCGATATTGTTTTGGGGGTCGCTAACCGTCTACAGTCATAAAATCTGGTTGTAAATGTTGGTTGGTAAAAGGAGAATTTGTGGATTGCAGCAGACCATTTTATTGCCAGCCAGGGTTTTGTACGAGATTGTCTTTTCATTAATTTCACAATAAATATTCTATATTTTCTACAAAATACGTTATTACTGTCGATGTCTCTTTGTCTCAGAGGAGTCTAGAAATGGATTAAATGTTAATATGTTTTGTCAGAAATGAGATCAGTGGACTTTAAATGTAAGTGAGAAATTCATAAATGGTTTGTACTGTTTAACACACTTTTCAAGCAAATCTGTTTAAAAAAATATATGGCAATTATACTGGAGAGTTAGATTAATGAAGGGCATTAATAAAGTATGTCTAAAAAATATCGATGTTTGATAAAGTTGCTGAATAGGTTTGAATCATATCGGAATAAAGTCTTCTTGCTTAAAGCACATTCAATGTCATAACAATGGGTAATGGATTTTGTTTGATACCTAGCAAACCTCCATCTATGTGAGGTTTTACAATTATTTCGATATTTTTGTCAAGAGCACCTCTCAAGTTATCAAGAGTACTTTAGTAGAGTATAAATACAATAGATTAGATTCTGATTTTTGTTGTTGTAATCTTATCAATGACATACCAATGTAATCTAGACCTGGTGCGTCTCCTCTAAATAGGTAAACACACTACTTTAACACCAAGGCTCAATGAGATGCACACTCAATTCAACTCAATACTTACATATATTTATATTTTAAGTGTCAAATTCGTGGAAACTTAATGAATGGACCACTCGCCATCAATTTGATTGCTCTTTGTTTTGTTCAAAAATATCTGGTTTCATTTTTTGTATAAAAAAGAGAGCAATAGTGGCTACCTGAATGTTATATTTCAATTCAATTACAAACAGGAATTGTGTTAATATACCGAATTCAAAACACTCTGAAACGATGAAACCTAAAGATTTGTCTATGTATGAAATTCATAAAACATTTAAGATTTAGCTACACATAACACACATGTAATATGGTGGCATGATGAATTAGCTAGTTATTACAAACATGTATTATACAGTTTTGATAATTTGAGCTTTGTTGTATTACTTTGAGCTAGGTATACCACATTAAATTCATTCATTGGAATTTGACAAAAACACATAACTATTCTAGTTTAATTTAAGTATTACACACATGTAATAAACTAGCTTGGGTTAAGCATAACATGTTAGATACAAGTTTCAGTTAAGTATAAACCCATGTAATATTTTAGATTGAGTTGAGTATTTATTTCACACATACAATAAATTAGATTAAGTTAGATAAATACTAGTTTAGATAAAGAAAAACACACAAGTAAAGTTAAAGGTTAAGTATAAGTTGAGGTTGAGTAAGATATTACGCACATGTAGCATTCCTGATTCAGCTAGGTATATTGCTAAAATAATACTCTGGTTTCAATTATTTACTACACGCATGTGATATATTAATTTAAGTTATGTCTTTACGCATACAAATACAAATCATAGTTTGGCATTATACGTGCAAGTTTCTAGTTTGTGCCTTGTTTTATAGGCATGAAATATACTTCTTTAAGTAATGTATAATACACGTTATATACTTGCTTGAGCAAGGTATCAACACGTATAATATACGAATTGAACTAGGTCTTACAAAGTACAATATACTAGTATAATACACATTATATACTTGCTTGAGCAATATACAAGGTATCAACACGTATAATATACGAATTGAACTAGGTCTTACAAAGTACAATATACTAGTCTGAGTAAGGTACCATAAAGGGTACCTAGGTACACTGTATCACATATATAATCTGCACTCGACATAGATCATATCGAACTAGCTCAAACAACTGCATAAGTGTTTACATCGCGTGTAAAATTATGCCCGTTGCACAAGGCAACATAGTGTACTCCATCAGATAAAAACTGATAACACGTTTTTACACACTATTGGATATTATGTTATAAAACCAAACGCTGATAAAACCTATTAGAGGTAAAAGCACTTCTCATTGCAATCCTCTCAGAAGTACAACACGTTATATTGTGTATAGATATGATTCTCTGATTAAGAAACACAAAATAACGAGCAAGCGCTTTCAGAAGGGAAACAATGTGGCAAATAAATACCATGTAACAAACAAATATTAATTCAAAGAAAAAACACAAAATGACAAATAATGACAAATTGAACAAGAGATCAATGGACCTTGATAGCTCACCTGATATCTTAATTTTAATTTTAAAACTAGCTGAATGCCATATCAGTTTATCTAAGGAGCACAAGAAATATAAGCTACAAGAAGGAATAAAACCCTTTGGGTGGGCTAGACACCAAGGACATGGTGGTGTTCCTCATGCACAGTAATTTTGGTTATGGTAATGGGGTTGGAATCTCAACTGTTTCCATATTATAACCCGATGAGTTGGTCCCCACAGGTGAGTCTCCGAGCCATTCCTGGTATCATAAGCATCTTCTTCTCTTCATGCCTAGACATTGCTTTTTTTGGTTATAGGGTGGGGACGACACACCTTTTTTTCTTTGCAAAACTGAGTTCACTTTGCCCAATGATGCTTCAGACCAAATTTGGTTCGATCCACTAAGCCGTTAAGGACTGATAGCATTTGAATAACTCGACAGACGAGGACGACGGACGCTGCGCAATGGCATAAGTTCAACGGATCTTCGATATAATACAATTTAACAGATAAAAAATAATGTAAAAATTACACGCTATGAATTAATACTAAAGTGGCAAATAAACAAAATGTGACGAATAAACACAATGTAACAAATAAATCACCACTTTTCAATAGTGCATTCTAGGATATTGATAAATAAGAAATTAAACTAATATATCAAAAAGGATAATTCTAAAATTAAATTAAAGTTTCATACAAGATAACTCTAGACTCATGCAAGCACATTCTCATTCATAATGTAATTGGATTATTATATTTTGTAAATAAATCACAGCTTTATGAAGTAAAAATAGATATGTTATACATCAATAAAGTTCTATTAAATAAAATCAAAATATAACAAAACAAATCAACAAAGCAAAGTTAATAAATACAATAACTTATTACAATTAATGTCTACTACGAGTACGACCCTTGCTACTGGTACAATACTATCTGAACCTGTCATACTTTTTTAAACAGTAAATACTACATCAGATGTTCTTTTACCAATACCTTGTTTTCGACATTGTGTTGTCAAAACCCCCATGACCTTAATATAGATCAAAATGATTCATTGGAAAAATGCAGTAGCTCTTTATCCAAGCATGCAAATGCCATTTTTTTATGGTCTTCTAATGATGCAGAGAAAATCTTTTAAACCTTTAAATGTTTCAGGTATTTTGCTGTATAAATTCAAACGTTTGTCACAGTGATTTGTTTTAAACAAACTTGTAATCGCTTTATCACATCGTGATAATCAAAGATCAGGTCGTTATGTCAAACACTTTTACGACGTCCTTCACGGGTTTGCCATCTTTCTGCTCTGCTAACGACACTGCCAGGTACTTCCTCTGTGTAGAGGGACTGCAATACAGCGCCAGGGCACGGGTGTGGATAACATTTGAGCGAAAGGTAATGAGGGGTTGTTTAGACAGTGCTCTTCCGTCGACATCAAATGTGTTAACACCATTACAGGCCGCTACGTACACGGTCTCCGCGTGAGCCGCCAGTCCCCGTACATTGTACAGGTCTTTGTTCCATCGGCTCTGTGCGAACTCAACTTTTAGAGGTTGTTCAGAATTGGCATCGTGGTGTACCAAGGCCAGGCGCCTGTCGTTTTCATCAGCTACGACTACCGTATTTTTATCTACTCTGCTCAATCGTCTAGGCATGGAGAATTCATTACCATCTGGATCTGTTATTATTTTGGATAAGATCTTTTCTTTCCTCACCAATGCTATGTTTAACGAACACTTATCACCGCTCACTGTCACGATCATGGTGTCTCTGTCAATAGCAGTGATGCCTTTTAGTATAGTTTTGTTGCATTGTTCATCTCTGATTTCCCTAGTGTCTTCAATGGTCATTGCTTTGGTGTCGATGATAAGTATTTCAAATGTGTCCCTGTATATCATTGCCACGTGGTCATCGTCTATCCGTGAAAGTCGGTTCGGCATTTTTTTGAACGGAAGCTTCTTAATCGGACGACCCATAATAGTTACCTTCTTGAGACATTTGTTGTCCGCATCTAGTACCAATAAGTATCCATCTCCAGTAAACGACACACCAAGATACCTTTGCGATCCTTCTTCTTCGTCCTTAAACACACCTTCAATTTCCGAAACCCTGAAAATGTTCGTATCAGATCGTGTTTCAAAATCTTCTTTCGATTGAGTTCCAAAATCTGTTTGCAGTGGTCCCACGTAGGATTTCATGAAAGCTGAAACAGAAAAAAATACGTATGAGATGAGTGCAAGTTTATTTAGATTGCCAGCCATTTAAAATAACGAAATGACGTGAATGTATTTTAGTGGTAAGTGCTGTGTTTGTTACCTGCTCTGGCTACAGTTTCATTGAAACGAGTTAGAAATTCCTTCGTGCATTCAGCTCCTTCATACTTGACAGGAAGATACGATATGTCTTTGATGAAATCTGGTGGTTTCTCCTCGTCGTTTGGAAGAACAGGTATGATTGAGGGACTTCCTGGTCTGTCACTCAGCGATAGTAACAAAGACTTCCGAAAGTCGTCGATCATGTCATCCTTCTTGAACGACTGGCAAATCCAAAGTAATAGGACTGTATTTGTTTTCCCTGTCATATCTAATATCTTCTCCAAGGCTTCAATGGGGGATAGTTCTTGTTCCGTAGAGTCGTCTTTTGCATATCGGAGACAGTAACTTTCATCATCGACGTTCTGTTTTGCTATTCGAATGTTGTGTAGTTGTTCCACTTTTTGTTTGATTAAATTTAGGGCTACTGATATTGAGGATTTGCTTAAATCAGAATCTATATGAGATACCGAGATTACATGGTATTTATTTTCTGGAGGGAAGTTGATCTCTTCAAATGTAGTTTGGCACTCAATGGCACTTGTAAGTTTGTCAAACCACTCCGGATCAGACTGTTCCAAAGGTTTATATATATCAAGCATTTGTGGAATACGTGCACCATCAATAACAAAAGGGATTACTGATTCTTTCTTGCGCATGATCAAAGCATGAAATAAGCTCTGCTGTAATTCATAATCAAAGAACCCATCTTTGATGTTATTTTGAGATATCAGTACAAGAAATTTGCGACTTTCCCTAATAGCTACTTCTATATTTTCAAATATTGAGAAACCCGCTAGAAAATCCCGTTCGTGTATACAAGTTCTGATACCGCATTGTTCCAGCTTTTTGGATACATAGAATGCAACGGTTTTGTCGTCTGAAGAATGAATGAGGAAAACGTCATATTTTAGCTCATTTATGTTTTTTCTTGTTGGTGCTGCCATGAGTATATACGAAATAAAGGTAATATCCAATTTGAAAAATAGAAAAAGTATTCTAAAACACTCATTTCATAGTTCTAGTTTACTGTTTTTTCTTGTTAAATGAATAATAACGACTAAAACGTTCATCAGCCGTCAGTCGGTATTTCAGTGTTTCATCTCTGTAGATCCTGAGATGTATACAAAAGTTGATTTAAGGTCTATGAAACAATTGTTGTATCATCAATTTAAATGGGATTTGTTTGCGAGTGATCAAAGAATGAACTGAACCTATGTCTGTTGCCTGTGAGATACATATTGCAGGTACAACACACTTGAACCTCTCTTTAACTGCTGCACAGATAACGTCGATGATGGAAATCCCACTAGTGTAGTCGTGTGTCGGTCATCTCCGTATCTTCAGTACAATCTGCCAATATAACAAAATGGGTGTACCTGAATGTTTATTTCATTATTATTTAGATCTGAGTACATAATCATTAAATGTATGATTGCAAGCCATTATAATAATGTGTATCTGTTTGGGTACATAATCATCTGCAATTAATGAATCCATGTAAAATAATATATGTACATCCGATTCAGGTAATGATATAATAATTTAGTATAAGTAAGATACATCAGACTGGGTACCTATTTATTTGATATATATATCTAAAATAGTGCAAATCATTTACATCAGACTGGGTACTTACGTATATAATATATATAAAAGCAGTGATAATCATATACATCAGATTGGGTACTTACTTATGTAATATATATAACATAGTGCGAATCATATATACATCAGACTGCGTACTTACTTATGTAATATATATAAAACAGTGAGAATCATATACATCAGACTGGGAACTTACTTATGTACTATATAAAACATAGTGCTAATCCTTTACATCAGACTGGGTACTTACTTAAGTAATATATGTAAAATAATGCAAATCATATATATCAGACTGGGTACTTGCTTGAGTAATATATATAAAATAGTGCTTATCATATTCATATTATGTTCAACATTGTGATTTTGTTAACTAGGGGCAGCCCAAATCGCCTGCTTTCTGGACTAAAATCTGACGATATGCTTTTATGCAACGTAATTGTATATTTTTAAAATGTACCAAGGTTGTTGTGAAATACGACACTGAAATAAATAAAATATGAGTTGAGTTGACAAACACAGAGGATAATGTAAGCACGGAAGACTACGTACCGTTAAATCACAAGCATCATCCGCAACCAGAATATATAAAATATCCACCTGATTTACATGAAATACAACCCACTTATATATTGTTAATGGCCTTATGCGTCCAAACAGGGTCTCGTCTCATAAAACGTAATGGAGATAACGTAAGAAAATCGTGCTAAAATATCAGCTTATCTAATCTCATTGAAAAAAAGTCAAAAGCAGGTGCATTTTTGGAAACAAATTGTCCACACGATGTACATTAACATGTAACTCAGATATTTAAGAGTATTAGTGACCAATTACATGACCCACTGCTCCATTAGTGGTAGTCATGGAAACCTTAGCATGCCATAGTACTGTTGTAAAAGGTAGCCATAGTAACCTTATAACACGACACACTACTTGCGTCATTGATGATCATTGTGTCACTATATATCGCGCTATAACGTAACATAATACCGACGTCAACCGTGGTCATGGTAACACTGTTACACGACACACTAATTTTGTTATTGGTAGTCGTGGTAACCCTGTAACACGACACGATACTTGTTGTCATTGGTAGTTTTGATACCCCGAATCAGTGATTTATTGTACTTAAATCTTACCCTGCAACGATACAAACATACAATACTTTACTAAACATACACATAATGCTATCGATACATTTATAACAGATACGAGTACAATCTGACAATTAACACTTAGCTGTAAAATACGTACGTTTAACCGGGGATTATATAATAACAAATAATGAATTGGAAATAGGACACATACTATTTCCTTATCTATTAGTAGCAATATGGATTACAATTTACTTTTACACATATATTATATTATAAGTGTATGGCCTTTTGGCATTTACTTTTGACGTTACTCATAAATGATGAAAACTATTCACGGACGTACACTATGACGGGACATTCCAAAGGATATATATACCTATTGGGATTTGTAGGACTTATAATGAAATAATCACCTCTGTGTGGCAGAAGGCTTTACAATATGTCCAGCTCATGTATTAGTCTGTACACACATTCAAGTCTGTAAACATAAACCATACAAATAATAAGATATGGAATATAAACACAAACGTACCGGCCGGTGTAATGGCGGTCACTCAGGTAAACCCAGCGTACGCACACATACATGTTTTATTTAAAATAATATGAAATACCGTACAAATGGTATCAGATAGTGCTCGCGGGAAATACCGCACGCCGGACAGGAGAAAGGACAATTCGAATAGATCGACAGGTCAGTTTGTAAATCGAGAAATCGAGTTTATACCTCACTCATATTCTTGTCAGTCGTCGGTGTCGTCGCTCTCTCGTCTACCTAGTCATATAAAGGTATCGCGCGCCAACCCCAATAGCCGGTCAGATAATAGATATATACTGACGTCACACTACTGACCTCTATACCGGAAATATTATTATACAACAATTATTATACAACATTACAAATAAATTTGATAAAATTCAATCCTGCCACATCCTCCTCCTGACCATATGATAAAATACAATCATTCATACCTTCTCCCTCAAATTCAATCCTGCCACATATGTGTTATTGGTATCCAGATAACCTAGCTATAACTTACATATGCCACTTTTGGCGCACTCCCCCAATGAAAATTTACGCTCCCTGGTTTGACATCATGTATGTTTACACGTGTAAGGGTAAAATATATGAAACGTTCTCTATTTCGTTGCTATATATATGATATATTTGAAAAAGATCGACATGGTATTTCCTTGTCTAGTGTACTGATGCTGTGAAGTACTGGATAGAATAATGTACATATATATGTACAACCATTGTTACTGTATGATTGCAAGAATGATGGGAAGTTCTCCAGTGTCTTATGCTCAACTCATCATGTCGTCTTGAAGAATATATCTCTCGTCAAAGGGTGATCATCCTAGTTGGTTGAAGTTGATGTTATAAACTGATGTCCGTAGCTTCGAATCTCAGTCGGAATATATTATTTCACGAATGTTTGTGAGATCCATGCAATTTTGGAAACTCGTTTTTCGCAATGGAATATGCTATTTATCATTATATGAAAGGAATTAATTTGTCAGTTTATCTCCAAAATGTGTCTTGAGGTGCACTTTGCAAGGATTGGATTATGAGAGGTCGAATGATTCGCTACATTGGGATCAGCGATGGCATCTAAAATATTTCAATGGAGATGCCCCTCTACTCTTTCTAGTGTCATTTATGAGGGTATAATTTCTACTGCTTTTTGCATAATATAAATACATAGCCTGAATACTACCTCGTCTTTTGTGGGACAATGCGTTCGTAAACTACTTCTTTAAAAACAATATTGAAAACGTTTCCTGGACCTTTGCTATGACTCATATAGATATATTTAATACATTTCTTTCTTACAAATATATTTTTCTTTAAATAAATACTAAATAAGATACGATATTTTGTTTAGGCAAGAGCGCTTGACATTGGCATTTTGAGTTGTAGGGTTATTAAAACAATAAAAAATAAAATCTTTTGCAGAGGCAGTTGATATTCATTCTTACATTTAAAAGTGCCATATCACAACAAGCATACTGAGTATTGCTAAAGCAATACATGTCCCCTACCGGCCCCCGCTAGCTATTACACTGTAATGATTCATAAAAATGGTGCCCTTTGGTGCTAATTTGGGAAAATGATAAGTATATAATTAGCTTTTAACTGATTTTAATGTAATAATAATAATACAAGAAAATAGTAACGGTGACCATGACCTGACAACCCTTAAGCTCGAACTTATCCGAGATGTTATGGTCCTTTGTAATTGATTGAAGTTTGATCTAAATCCCTCCAGGAATGAAGCCGCTAGAGCGCCGACAAGGATTTTCTAAAAATAGTAACGGTGACCTTGACCTTGATCCCAAAAACCCTGAAACTCAAACTTGTCCGAGATATTATGGTCTTTTGTAATTGTAAGAAGTTTGATCAAAATCACCCTAGGAATGAAGCCGCTAGAGTGCTGACAGACATTGTTGTTACGTCATACAGGAAAAGTATACATCAAAAAGTCGCTAGTCTACATTTTTACGGTTTCAATGGACAGTCCGACGGATCTGAAATGTTATTTTTATCGTATCTCGACTTTCATGAAACAGACTTTAACCCAATGATTAAAAATGTATGCAATTGTTATTTGATCCGATGTGATTTGTTACGATAACCCATATCAGCTGCCATTATACAATTTAAAGTCTCGTGTGTAGAATGTACGTGTACTGTTTGCCAGTTTGCATTTTGACATTCTACACCTCAAAGTCTCATGTGTAGAATGTGGTATATTTGCGTACCCTGCCATTATGCGTTTTTATTCATTTCCACGGCAAAAAAATAACACTTCCTGAAAGTAGGTGCCGTGCATAGTAAATGGTGAATGGACCTACACAGACATTAAAAACAAGAATGAACATGTCCTCTCCCTCGTTATATATCACCATAATACACGCACATACGTTGATTATTTTTTAAGTAAACAGAAGTTCTGGATAAAGAACACACACTCGTTGTCCCACACATGTGTGAATTGGTTATACAGTAAGAACACGTCTAAACAGGCTCTTCCCCCATCTGTTTTATCTCAGATTTCTGTCCTGTTTATATTTTATTTTGTTTGATTTTTAAAATGTGGCACCACTATCTGGACAGTCAATACGGAAACAAATGTCAATTTTACGGGATAAAGACTTAAATAAAGGCATGATAGGCAAAAAAACATTAAAAAAATACTGCAGGTAGTTTGTCATTAGTACGTAGTATACAAGGATATTAATGACAAAGCAGTATGCAAGGTACGTTATAACAATAATAAGAAAATGGTATAAACAACTCATTGGAATTAAAAAACGACAGGTGTCAATAGTTCACCTCTCTGTAACCTATGGCATATCGTTGTGCTATATTTATGTTGTACTTGGTCGTACTTAAATTTGGTTACTTTTGCTATTTTATTAACGGAAAAATGCTGTTACTACGAATATCCCGAAAACTAATACCTTAATAGCAATAGATACGTGTAGCATTAACTGAGCATATGTTCTGCACACCTATTAAGCCATTTGAGAAAACAAATTTAACCTGAGATATGGAAAGAATAACATACATTTATTTTATGCATATCATATGTTTTTATTTTTCCTACTGTAAACCCCACCTTAAATGTCTCTCACCAGCTGTTACACCGCGGACTATTGTCTTGTTGATATTTTAGTTTAAACAGTATTTTATTTAATATATGGCAGTGACAAAATAATATAAAAATCAACAAAGAGGATTCGAAAACAAGTACATAAGCACTTATAGCAATTCATCTCCTTATTAATAAACCTGGCAGTAGGACGGCGCGGTTACATATATTTTGAGAGTAGAAAAGACCAAGACAAGGAGAAGAAATCAGGGAGGGGAGGACAGAAGGGGTGCATCAGGAAATGAAAGAAAATGGTTACGAAGAGAATAACAAGATAACTGCATTACTTGGTTGAATCTGGTTGAAATGTGATTCATGAAAAGGTAACCCTAATGAGCTCTCTATAAGGATGCATTAAATACATTTGAAATCTCTTAATTACATATAAATTGCCTTACGTTGAATCCAATCAAAAAGTATACTGATATCCTGTAAAATACAAGAGTGTTGTAGTCTATATTAATTTCAGTATCAACAAGACTCATTAAGTCTAAACAGCATACTGGCCTGGTTTAAGCGTTGTCGAACAACATAGTTTTCAAAGTTAATGTACATTGTTTAAACAAACGCAATAATTACATAAAAAATGAAATAAGATAAATAAATCTTTCACTAAAATCGTTTCGACTTACAGATAAATTGTTGCACAGAGTCAAACTCTAAGTTATATTTAAGTTATATTGATCTGGCATATCAGGTGATTATTAAGGGATCTATAGTTCGTCCCCAGTCGAGCATGGTTAACTTTGGCCAAATCTGCTTTTGCAGTAATAGTATTAATAGGATGGAACAAGATTATTGTGATAGTTGACATTCACGAACCTCTTAAGGTTAGTGAGTGATGGGTTATGCTTAACGTCGTCCGGAAGAGCATTCCATAAGTCAACAGAAACAGGTAAAAAATAATCTTTATAGAGTTTAGTACGACATCTTATTTGACAGAATTTATTACCGGCTGCTTCGAGTTGAATATTTTCTAAGAGTTGGCTTTGGCCTATCGTTATATTGTCCCAAATCGCGTCACAATATTTTAACAAATAATGAATAAAAGTAAAATAAATAGTTTGAAGCGTTTTTCTGTCAATGGAAAATTTCAGTTTTCTTAAAAGGCCTATTTTTCTAAAGCTTTGTTAATTATATACTGAACATGATCAGTCCACCCTCCATTAGACGAAATAAATACACCAATGTGTCTGTGGCATGTTACCACTGTTAGTGGGCTGTTGTTCATAAACAAAGGGGGATGAAGTGGTTTGTCATTTTTAGCTCACCTGGTCCGAAGTACCATGGTGAGCTTATGCCATACCGCAGCGTCCGCCGTCCGTCCGTCAACTTTTCCTTTAAAACACTACTAGTCATGAACGACTGAGCGGATTTGGTCCATATTTGGTGTGGAGCATCCTTGAATAAAAGGAAACCAAATTTGTATAAACGGTGGATGTGGCCACCCTGATTGCTGAGGGGCGGGACCAAATAGGGGAAATATAGCAAATTCTTTAAAATCCTTCTTCTGTAGGAATGAAATGATTTGTTCCATATTTGGTCTGAAGCATCCTTGGGTGAAGGGGAACCAATTTTGTATAAACGATGGGTCTGGCCCCCCAGGGGCCTGAGGGGCGGTCCCCAATAGGGGAAACATAGCAAATTATTCTTTAAAATTCTTCTTATTCTATAGGTTTGAAAGCATTTGGTCCATATCTGGTGTGTAGCATCCTTGGGTAAAAGGAAACCAAATTTGTATAAACGGTGGA